AAATTCAATACCCTCTGAGTGAAGAAATGTTTTCTCAACTCAGTCCAAAAAGTCTGACCTTTAATCCTGAAACTATGATCCCTAGTTTTAGATTCTCCAACCAAGGGAAACAGTCTCACAGTATCTACCATCAAGACCTTAAAATCTTACAGGTTTCTATAAGATCATGTCTAGTTCTTCTATATTCTAGAGAATATAGGTATCAACCTCTCTTCGTAGGTCAACCCCCTCGTCCCAGGAACCAACCTAGTGAATCTACGTTGCACCTAAGGCAAGTATATCCTTTCTTAGAAAAGGAGATCAAAACTGCATACAATATTCTAGGTGTGGTCTCACCAAGGGCCTATACAATTGCAGCAAGACTTCCCTACTCTTGTACTCTAACCCCATTGCAATAAATGCTAACATGTTATTAGGCTTTCTAATTGCTTGCTGTACCTGCATACGTTCTTAAATCCCTCTGAATACTAACACTTACCTAGATTCCCCCCTCTAGAAAATAATCTGCTTTTCTATTTTTACTATCTAGGTGAATAACTTTACACTTCCCCACTTTATACTCCATCTGCCACCTTTCTATATCCCTTTGCATCCTCCTTGTGTCCTCCTCACAGCTTACTTTCCCACCCAGCTTTGTATTGTCCGCGAATTTAGATACAGTAATTAGCTCTATTTCCTCATTTAAGTCATTGATGTATACTGTAAACAGTTGAGGCCCAAACACTGATCCTTGCAGCACTCCACTTGTCACAACCTGACAATCTGAGAAGGACCCATTTAGTCCTACTCTCTATTTCCTGCCTGTTAACCTTTGATTCATGCTAATATATTGCCCTCAATTCCATGAGCCCTAATCCTATGTAACAACCTTTTACATGGCACCTTGTTGAATGCCTTCTGAAAAGACAAATGCACTACATCCACTGGTTCCCCCCTATCTAACCTGCTAGTTACATCTTCAAAAAACTCTGAAAGATTTGTTAAACACGATTTCCTTTCATAAAACCGTGTTGACTCTGCCTAATCATATTATGACTTTCCAAGTGCCCCACAATGATGCCTAATTATAGACTCTAGAATTTTCCCTACCACCGATGTCAGGCTAATTGGTCTATAGTTCCCCATTTTTTCTCTCCCATCCTTCTTAAATAGCGGTGTTACGTTTGCGACTTTCCAATCAACGGGAACTGTTCCAGAATCCAGGGAATTTTGGAAGATCAAAAGCAATGCATCCACTATCTCTGCAGCCACCTCTTTTAAAACCCTAGGAAGCAGGCCATCAGGTCCAGGGGATTTATCAGTTTTTAGTCCCAACAATTTCTCTAGTTCTATTACCTTACTGATATTAATTTCTTTAAGTTCCTCACTAATATTAGTCTCTTGGTTCCCCTCTATTTTTGGTAAGTTTTTAGTATCTTCTAACGTGAAGACAGAAGCAAAATATTTGTTTAGTGACTCTGCCATTTCTTTATTCCCCATTATAATTTCTCCTGTCTCTGCCTGTAAGGGACCCACATTTACTTTTGTTAATCTCTTCCTTTTTATATACTTGTAAAAGCTCTTACAATCTGTTTTTATATCTCCAGCTAGTTTACTCTCATATTCCATTTTCTCCCTCTTAATCAGTTTCTTGGTTATCCTTTGCTGCCCTCCCAATCCTCAGGTTTACAGCTCTTTTTGCAATATTATAGGCCTCTTTTAATTTTATACTTAAACCTCTCTAGTTAGCCATAGCTGAACCACTTTTCCAGTGGAATTTTTATTTCTCAAGGTAATATGCGTTCGCTGTGAATTATACGATATATAATAAAGTTTGTCGTTGCTTGTCTACAGTCATATCTTTTAGTCTACTTTCCAAGTCTCTTTTAGCCAAATCGTCCCTCATACTTGCAAAGTTGGCTTTATTTAAGCTTAAGACCCTTGTTTCAGACTTAACTAATCACTTTCAAACCTAATATTAAATTCCATCATGTTATGTCCACTCTGCCCTAGAGGAACCTTAACTTCAAGAATACTGATTAGCCGTGCTTCGTTACACAATACAAGATCTAGGATAGCCTGTTCCCTGGTTGGTTCCTCAGCATATTGTTCTAGAAAACTCTTTAATGCATTCCATAAACTCATCCTCTAATTTACTTTTGCCAATTTGGTTTTCCCAGTCTATATGAAGATTAAAATCACCCACTATTATTGGGTTCTTCCCCTCTACTGTTTTTATCTCATCCTTTATTGACAGGGCTACAGCCTCCCCACTCGTTTTCCATATTGCCTATCTTTCCTATACATCAGGTACCCTGGAATGTTTAGCTCCCAACCTTAGTCTCCCTGTAACCATCTCTCAGTAATGGCTACTAGATTGTAGTAGCTCTATTTGTGCCATTAATTCATCTATCTTGTTACGAATGCTTCGTGCATTCAGGTATAGCGCCTTTAATTTTAACTTTTTACTATTTCCCCTACTCACTGATGCCCTATTTTCTTTGTTAAAACTCTTTATCCCCACTTGACACACTGTTCTTCATCTCCCAAATCGCTACTCTGCTCTACAGCCTTCACTTTTCTTATTTACTTTGTGAGCTTACATTTAACCGTAACCCTCCCTCCTCCCTTATTAGTTTAAAGCTCTATCTATCTCCCTAGTTATTTGTTTTGCCAGGACACTGGTCCCAGCCCGGTTTAAGTGGAACCCACCCCGATGGAAGAGCTCCCTCTTTCCCCCATACTGGTGCTAGTGGCCCATAAAATGAAACCTCTGCCTCCCGCACCACTCTTTCAGCCACGTATTCAACCCTTTAATCTGCTTGTCCCTGTACCAACCGTGAAGAGACATCCTTAACCCTGGCACCAGAAGGGCAACATAGCCTTCGTGATTCCTGGATGCGGCTGCAGAGAAGAGTATCTGTCCTCCTGACTGTATTGTCCCCTATCACAACCACATTCCTTTTTGCTCCCCCCACTTGTGTGGCCTCCTGTACAGAGGTGCTCTGGTCAGTTTGCCTATCCTCCCTACAGGCTTCCTTACCCACACAGGTTGCAAGTACCTCGTACCTGCTGGGCAAGGTTAAAGCCCGAGGCTCCTCCACCACTCCCTCTGGGGTCCCCTTACCTGCCCGACTGTCAGTCAGGCTGTCCTGTCTCTGACCACTGACAAGATCTGTACATCTACTGAGCCTCAGGGGAGTGAATGCTTCGTGGATCAAAGTATCCAGGTAGCTCTCCTCTTCCCCAACGCTGCGCAATGTCTGCACCTCAGATTCCAGCTCAACAACTCTGAACTGAAATTTCCTGAGTTGCAGACACTTGTTTCAGATGTAGCTGCCCGGGCTTGGGCTGCTCTCCACGACCTCCCACAGCTGCAGTTGCCGCACAACACCTGCCCTGCCATCCTGCCGCTCACACTGACCTCACGGTCATGTCACTTATTGTTTTCCTGCAGCTCCGCCGCAGCTCCTGTCCTCGCTCTCCTCTCTGAATTCCTTCCTCTCCTTGTCCTCCTGTCTCTCTCTCTCTGTCCCTCTTTCTCTGTCCCTCTCCCTATTTTGTTTTTTTCCTTGGTTCAGCCGTTAAGTGTGGACGTCACTTGTTGTTTTTCCACTTTATACCTCTCCGAATTAGTGACTGCCGACCTAGCTAAGTTTTATACCTCCCCTGGGGCGCAGCTCCTCCTCACTCTGCCCTCGCTCTGCTTTCCGAATATATATATTTACATAAATACACATCATACACACACACACACAGCAGCCGAAGCTGGACACATCAGGGCCCAGACACGTTGTCCGACTTAAGCAGTGTCTGAGGCTAACTGAAGTTCCCTTACTTCTTCCAGCCCATCAGAGGATCGGAAGCAGCGCCTCCTCCTTCTCATTGCCATTCCCACTGGAGGGAGGCGGCTCCCAGGTGATTCACTGCCTGGAGCCGCTTGTGAATGGATGGGCTCTCCACCCAATCACAAGTGGCTTCAGCCGTCAATCGGGATCTGACCCCTCCAATTCCCTCCCTCGTTTGCTCCGTTCCTCCGTCCCTCACAAACTGACACCCCGAAGTCGCTTGTGGATGGCTGGAGTGTGCTGTCAATCACAATTTGACTCCTCCTATCTCCATCCCGGAGCTGGTTGAGACACAGTGAGTAGCCTCAGTGGCGAGTAGCAAGGCTTTCTATCAGAATTAATCAGATTGTTGTCTGAATTAACCGGCATATTTAAGAATACAAATTAATTGGGGCTGGGCGTTTTGTCCGATTTACCCAGCATCACAGGTTACCTGGCTAAAGCGGTGTCTACTGTACACATTTCTTTTTTGTTTATTGATGAACCTAGACGTCAGGATTGATCCCTTGTAGTCCTTCTTACCCCACATCTGGTCTCTGACAAGGACCATTTTCCTCTAGCTCTGCCAAGTCACCCACCTCTGACCATACCTCACACCCAATGTTGCTGAAACCCTTCTCTGAACTTTCATCACCTCCTGCCTCGATCTCTCCATTTGCCCTCCTCCCCAGCTCCACCATTCATAAAATCCAACTAGTTCAACACTCTGCCGTCCATCTCACCTGCATCAAACTCCACACCCCCACCACTCAATCCTTGCCAGGCTCCATTTGCTATCTGCTGCAGAAGGAATTAATTTCACATTCTTCACACTCACCCACTAATCACATCATGCCTCTGGCACCTCCCTACTTCTCTGATCTCACATCCCACTCGTCTACCTGCCCCATTCACTCAGCTAGTTCAGGCCTTCTGCACTTGCCTTGACCCCTCCACTGCACCATCAGCAGTCTTGCTTTCTGCCCCAGGACTCTGGAACTCTCTGCCTCAACACCTCTTTGTCAGTCTTCAGAACACACCTCTTCAACTGTGCCTATGGTCACCTCCCCTACTCCCTGGCTCGCAGTCAAATTACATCTGAGATGCTGCCCCATGAGAAAGTGCTTTATAAACACAAGTCACTGTGTTGGTAAATCAACTATTATTACCTGCTGTGACACGCCCACTTCTCCCTCACGGATTTCTAGGATATCCTCATGAATCAGGGCAAGAACTTGCTCAGCTCTGATGAGCTGCCTCTCCACAAAGGAGCCACCACTAGTTATCGATCTTCAGCTGTATTTCCACTGATCTTCCTTTGAAAGAACTGATAAAGCAGTTGATCAATGTTCCTGAAATTCATGAGGCAAAATCTTCCTCACTTCCTTGGGCATCCTGAAAGCCTCCAACTGTTCCATTTGACAGCAAGGTTTTTGTAGTTGTTGCTAAAATGATAGCGGGTGCCCCATGTTAACAAAAGCACACGCAATGTAGGTACAAAATAAAGGCCTCCATTCTGGAACATTCAGTTTCCAATTGTTGTATTGATTCTGAAACTCTAAGAGGGTCCCTTTAGCCCAGGAGAGCATTCACCGTTTAGTTATTCCCTTCCTGCCTCCCAGGAGTAATGTGGCTGTTGTACCACAGGGACACGCTTGAAACTCCTCCACGTTTCAACTGCCTCACGGAAACCAGCTTTGGAGTTTTCTGCCTCTCTTCCTGCTGCTGCACTTCCTTCTTTTTCTTAAGTTTTTCTTGCTTCTCATGTTTTTCCAATTCCAAATCGGTGTCAATATACCTCAAGACATATTCATGAGGCAATGCTAAGGGCAGTTCTGCAGCTCCATTCTGATTGGCTGGAGAACTGAAGGGATAAGATCAAACGGGCCAAAGAGCCTTCTTCATCGAAACTAATAATAATCCTTGCATTTGATATAGTGGTTTTCACATCTACTAGATGTCTCAAAGCGCTTCACAGAATATACTGTAAAGTGAATTGACTGTATATTTGTGGTAAGATGCAGCAGCCAATTACGCACAGCAATGTCCTACAAACAGTCGTGGATTGAGTGACCAAATTATTATTGTTTTTTTTGAGGGATTATTATCCCTGGAAAAGTGATCCGCCAATCGACTAACAACTAGTTTCCTACTTACTGCTCGGTAAAGAGGCGTGTGGAATAAGGAAACTTGCCCAACGTTTCTCCCTGCTCATGAATTAAACCCAGGTCTCACTTGTGAGGCAAGTGCTCTAACCACTGAGCTACAGGACTACATTGTTATTTTCCAAACATAACATTTTTCACTCTTGATTTAAAATCCCTTAACTCTTTCTGGGCAAATAATAATAATAATCCTTGCATTTGATATAGCGCTTTTCACGTCGGGAGGACGTCCCAAAGCGCTTCACAGAATATACTGTAAAGTGAATTGACTGTATATTTGAGGGCGAACGCGGCAGCCAATTGCGCACAGCAATGTCCCACAAACAGTCGTAGATTGAAAATGACCAATTTATTACTGTTTTTGGTTTTGGAGGGATTATTATTAGGTGTGTGGAGTAAGGAAACTTGCCCAAGGTTTCGCCCTGACCTGCCTGGAAATGAACTCAGGTCTCTCGCTTGCAAAGCGAGTGCTCTAACCACTGAGCTACAGGACTCCACCAGATGCACCAGAACCTACGAGTTCTTAAGGACAGTATTATTTTTTCTCTTCCAATTTCTCTCCATGAGAGAAAGGGGGAGAAATAAGTACATTAATGGGTAAACAGGAAAGGAATGTAACATAGCACACATCAACTCTGCCACGACTGAGATCAGCCTCTGGAAGCTTTAGGGAATTCATATTAATGCTTTGACCAATGATTAACACATTAAAATGGGAAAAGGTGCTTCTTCAGCAATTTACTTTGAAGTGACTGGTGACGTTTGATGTCAAAGATTAACCAGTCCTGATTTTTCACATCCCGTTCAACATAGAAGATGTCACTTAAGGCAGCAACGAGCTCCGTCACACTGTAAAACCCCAACTCCTTCAGTGGAAGCTCCTGCCCAAAAATATCCTGCAAGTCAAGAAAAATATTTTTTTCAGAGTAAGGCATTAATCTGTCATTATCTGTTAGCATTTTGCTCTCAGCAGAAGTCTTAAACATGATGACTTGCACATTAAGTTACACTGAAGGTGCTTTCAAAGACCAACTGAAATTACCTTAAATTCCACAGGGAGTCTGGAAGCCAATAAACCATCAGGCCTTTGTGCTACTGTCTAAATTAAAGACAAGAATAACTCAGAAACCACAAGTGGAACTGAATGTCAATTAACAGAACTATGATGCAACTCATTAAATTGATTTAAAACAAAGTAAAGATGTTCCTTACTTCCTCTGTATCACTGAAGCCAACACATTGCCATTACATTCAATTCTACTCACAAACCAGACTTTCTCCTTCACTTTTGGATCAATAGTGCCTCCAACTCCTTTCTCTAACAGCACCGCCTTCAGGTCTTTCACAAGCTTGAACAAAATGGTCAAGAGTCAACAAAGTTATTTTAGACAAGGGAGCATTATAATTTGGGATGAGAGCTGAAAATAGTATTGGTTCCTTGCCTTTTCACTGGCTTCTTCAGTTGCAATTCTAATAATAAACCCTGCATTTGTTATAGTACCTTATCACATTGTTGAGACGTCTCAAAGCATTTCACAGGATTTACTGTAAAGTGTATTCTCTGAGTATTTTGTAGTTGAACATGGCAGCTACATATTTGTACATCCAGTGCTGAGAATCCACCTTGATTTGCTTGCAAAGGTAAGCAACTGCTGCTTAAACTCTGCACCTCCAACTGGTGAAACCATCACTCAATGGGAAGGGATATGTGCCCGAGCTGTGGAAAGGAAGATGTTGGCAAAGCTCTCACGCCTTTCCTGCTGAGCTGTGTTGCCCACTGAGAAACTCACGGGGAGTCACTGGTACCTTACTCTCTGCCCCCATACTCTGGAACTCCATCCCACGGTCCCGTCGCCTCGCTTCCTCCCTCGCATCCTTCAAGACTGGTCTCAAGACCCTTCTCTTCGACTGTGCCTTTGGTCTCCCTCCCACCTCTCTGCCTTCGCTCACCCCTACACCACTCCTCCCCCATGTTCGGGCCCCAACACCTGACTGTTCTGCGCTTTGGGACGTCCTCCCGACGTGAAAGACGCTCTATAAATGCCATTTTGTTGTTGTTGTGTCCTCCCAACCGCAGGCTCCTGCCGCTGCCATGGGAGGATGTTCACCACGGAGGGAGGGAACGGAAGCTGGAATGTTGGAAATGGTCTCGGGTCGCATAAAATCATACTCCGGGCTGGATGTGGCTCACAGATCTTTCTCAAATAAGGAATCAGGCTCGTTTTTCGTACAGTATAGAAGAACAATCTGGAATATTTTTGTCAAGTAATTTTACAGGTAATAATTTTCCCTGAATTGCTGCAACACAAATAAGGGACAAGGTGAAAACTTTTGACAAAGTACACTATTGGAGCCCACAAACCTGCTCCAGCCTTCTGCCAGGAATATTTTAAGAAGAAACACAGGGTTATTTTCTTTCCATAACTGTGGAAAAATATCAAACCTCCATTCTGCATTGCACTTCAGATGGGCGAGTAACTCACATCAGGAGGAAATTCCCCTCAATATAATTAATGGCACATAAAATATAATAAGCATTGTATCATGATTAACAAACCTTTTTCATCCCTCCATCGAAATACTCTAATCCTGTGTTGGAACCTGGGACGTTGTCTGGATCCAAAGGCTCCAAGCTCTGCTTCTGAAATGTTTGTGTGGGTGGTTTGAGGGGGATCAATGGCACCGATGTTGATTCTGCCTCAACAGGGTGGTTTGCAATGGACTGGCAATGCCATTCACCTTCATCAATACAATGGGAAAACTGGTTACAGTTTTACAATGAAATCAAAGTCATAGAAGTCAAACAATGGAAGGAAACAGCTGCCCATCCTGAACCTTACCTTGTACAAAAAAACACTCTCTATTCTGGACCTTCAGCAATAGCAGGGAACCCCGACGTGTTTGCTGGATCACAATATCATCTGCAGCTGTTTTCAGCACCTCCTGCAAGGAGTAAAATCCATACCTGGCACACTGGAATGGCCGGCCATACTTTTTCACAAATGCTTTGTCAAAATCTGATAGCAGGATGCCATCAGGGAAGGAAAGCAGGAGCTCTCGAATTTCACATTTCACTAATGCTGGTAAAACAGGGATGGAGTTGCAGCGCCGAGGCAGGAATCCCTGCTTTTGTGTGAAATCATACCTAGGCTTTCTCAAGTTACGTTTGGTTTTGGAAGGGATCCTTGATTTTGCCACCATCTCTTCAATTCCCTTTGTTGTTGCATCCCCATTCCCTAGAAGTAAGCGACAAAAACGTTCTAATAAATAATAATCCTTGCAATTTATGTAGCGCCTTATTACGTCAAGATGTCTCAAAGTGCTTCACTGGATATATTGTAAAGTGAATTGACTGTATATTTTGTGGGCAAAACGTGACAGCCAATTGCGCACAGCAGTGTCCCACAAACAGTCGTGGAATGAAGTGACCAATTTATTGTTATTAAAAAGGTAGATTACACAATCAAATATCAACAGTTTTCATTGCTTAAACATATTTTCTTCTTACAAGAGAAACAGCAGGAATTATTTAGAATTATACAGTTCTCATATTACCATCATCACATTATTATTCCAAGAGTAGATGGAGATTAGTTTACCATATAATCCTCACAAAACTAAGTTAATATCTTGGTTGCATTGTAATATTGTCCATACAATTCTACCCCATACAGAATTCTCTGAAGTAGCAGGTTTAACTCCAAATACCAGAAGCTTTGCTGACATACCTGTCCCAGTTACATTCATTATCCACTAACCTTGTTAAAATTCACAAGTATTTGCTAACAGGTAAAGGGAAATCACTTGCACCTGACTGTCTCCCAGTGACCCCTTCCCAACTCCTTCTTTTCCTTGTTTATATGTTCCACTCGGTGCTGTCATCTACAGACTTGGAGTCAACATCCACATGGAGGCGGACACCCAAATTGACTTTAGAGTGTGTCCAGGATTTGTTTCCTTAATCAGTTTAGCGGAGGGAGGTGTTTGTAGTGGAATAAATGTGAAGATAATAATACAAACAAAATCAGGCAGAATAGAAAATATAGAAGGGAAGCAAGATTCAAAAGGTCAAGAGGGGATATGAGGAAAGACTGGCAGGGAACATAAAGAAAAATACTAAAGGATTTCAATAAACACATAAAAGGTAAAATTGTTCAAGAAAAGGTAGAAACAAAACAAGAAGTCCTGTAGCTCAGTGGTTAGAGCACTCGTCTTGCAAGCGAGACGCCTGGGTTCAATTTCAGGCAGGGTGAAACCTTAGGCAAATTTCCTTACTCCACACGCCTAATAATAATCACTCCAAAACAAAAAACAATAATATTTGGTAATTTTCAATCCACAACTGTCTGTGGGACACTGCTGTGCGTAATTGGCTGCCGCGTTTCGCCCACAAATATACAGTCAATTCACTTTACAGCATACTCTGTGAAGCACTTTGAGATGTATAGATGTGAAAAGCACTACATCAAATGCAAGGATTATTATTATTAAGAAGTGAAACCTAATCATAGAAAATTAAGGGCTGGCAGAGGTATATATTACATAGATAGTATTTTGTCTCAATTTTTACAGAAAAAAGTGGTAGTGAGACACTGAGTGTACAAAAACAGGACGTGAAGCATGTAAAAGCACCTCCTGATGTGAAAGGTACTTTATCAAGTGCAAGGATTATTATGATTATTATTTATGGATGGGATAGAACTTGCCAAGAGAAAGCTGAAAGAGATCTATAAGACCATAAGATGTAGGAGCAGGAGTAGGCCATTCAGCCCCTTGAGCCAGCCCCGCCATTTAATAAGATCATGGCTGATCTTCTAGCCCTATCCCCATATCCCTTAATCCCTCTATCTTTTAGATCTATCAACCCCAGTCTTGAATATGTTCAAGGACTGAGTATCCACAATCTTCTGGGCTAGAGAATTCCACAAATTTACTACCCTCTGAGTTAAGAAATGTTTTTTCAACTCAGTTCAAGAAGGCTGACCTTTAATTTTGAGACTATGAACCCTAGTTTTAGATTGTCCAGCCAAGGGAAACAGTCTCACGGCATCTATCCTGTCAAGACCCTTAAGAATCTTATAGGTTTCCATGAGATCACTTCTAATTCTTCTATATAATATAGGCCTAGTTTACTCAACCTATCTTCATAGGTCAACCCCCTCATCCCAGGAACCAATCTAGTGAATCTACACTGCACCCCCTCTAAGGCGAGTATGTCCTTTCTTAAATAAGGAGACCAAAACTGCACACAATATTCTAGGTGTGGTCTCACCAAGGTCTTATACAACTGCAGCAAGACTTCCCTACTCTTGTCCTCTTAACTGTTTTGCAACAAACTCCATCATGGTATTAGCCTTCCTAGTTGCTTGGGATCTAGGGACGTTGGGAGATGTTTCTTGTTATCAGGAGACTGTGGGAAGGAGAAAAACAATTTGTGGTACAAAACAAACTGGGTTTTGTCTACTGGTCAAGTTAACTAACAATTTCACTCCTGCTCACCTTTCAGAATGAGACTCCCATTCCCACAGGTGTGAATTTTAATAGCATCAGGCATGTCAGTGATTAGCTCCAGCACAGATCTGTACCCCAGAGCATATAACGGCAGACGCTTTCCCATCATCTTGTAGTAATCACTTTCTAACTCAACTGGAGACAGGCCACCTTGAGCAGAAATCAGCAGAGAACGCAGCTCCTTCTTTAGAACATCCAGTAACACCTCCTGATCAGACATTCTCAGGTACTGCATAAAGCAGAAATCGAGGAATAAGAAGAAATTATCAAACAAGAGATTGTGAACAACAATTTGATTTAACAGTGCCCTTCACGCAGGGATCGGAGCAGCAAACAATGGTGAAATTTGAAGCTGTTAGGGAGGTGGCCGTAGGCGCAACCGAAGAGGAAGGTCTTCAAATTGCTCAGTTCCCGCGAGATGGCACGGCAAATTCTTTACTGCTTAAAACTAATTATTCAATGTGACTTTAAAGCTCCTAATACACATCAGATATGAAGCTTCATGGCCATCCCTACGTTTCTCGCCGTTCCGCTTTCCAAAGTGCACCTTTTCTTCTTGTCTGAAAACCAACACGACAACACCACCCATAAACATCATCCAAACACCCACTGACAAGGCTGAACATTAGCCCAAACCAAATTATCAGGCACTAAGTTTCTGGCAACTGAAAACAAGCTGTACATCTTGAATAAGACATTTGAAGAGTCAACCAGGCTCTCAAATTACCGTCCCATCTTTAACTTACCAGCCCCCTCCCCCCTGCTCCTCCTCACCCCCTCCTCCTCCTCACCCCCTCCTCCTCCTCACCCCCTCCTCGCCTCCCTCACCCTCTGGAACTCCATCCTGGAGGCCCTTCCCCCATCTCCTTCAAGATCCGTCTCGACCCTTTCTCTCTTTTAACCGCGCCTTCACCCCCCCCCCCAGCCCAGCCCCCCGGCCCGGCTCCCCCAGCCCAGCTCCCCCCCCGGCCTGGCCCCCCGGCCCGGCAGCCCAGCTCCCCCCCCCGGGCCCAGTGCCTGTCCATGGCACTGTGTAAAAGCTCGTTACTCATTCCCTCCCGTCAGACAGATCCCCTCCTGTGCCTCTCGGGCGGCGCTGGTGCCGCCAACAGCTTCTCACCTCCTACAATCTTGTCGTTTACTGGGATTTTTCTCGCAATTCCTGACACAGCGCCTTCCCTCCCGCCTCTTCTCGCGCCCACACCACGTGCTCCGCCCCGCACCACGTGGTTTACAGCCCCACCCCACCCACGGGCTCCGCCCCGCACCACGTGGTTTCCACTCAGGGACCCGCCTTGCATCACGTGGTTTCCACTCCAGGATCCGCCCCGCATCACGTGGTTCCCCAAAGGGCTCCGCCCCCACAGCACATGGTTTACACTGCCCAGAGACTCCGCCCCCCTCCCCACGTGCTCCCTTCCCTGGCTGCACCCTGAGGCTGGGGCAGCAGCTGCTGGGAGGCCTTTCCTGTAACTCTTCCTGGTGTGGCAACACACATTTGTTGGGGCACAGAAAGCAGCTGCTGCTCATCTCGATTCACTGGCAACAACTTCACATTGTAGTAACTCTCCTGTCTCAACAGCTTCACAGTATCAGCTGGAAACCTGAGGATAAGGCGGGCAGATGGAGTTGGGTTAGAATGGCGGGGCAGGCTCGAGGGTCCAAATGGCCTACTCCTGCTCCTAATTCCTACGTTCCCGAGGCAGGGTTGGGGAAAAATGCACGGTTAAACAGAAACATCTTAAGACAGGCTTTAAAGATAGAGCAAACACAAGAGGGTTCAGTGAGGACTTGGGGGGGGGGGGGGGGGGGGGGGGCAATCGAGGCAGTTTTAAAACTTGAGTTTGGTTCGGAAACCATTAAGCTTAGTGATGGCTTTCCACATGTTACACATCTGGTTGCCTCAAAAAAAAAGGGTGAAGATGGTAGTTTGAAAGTAGATGATATGAGAGGATGGTGATGTCGGCTAGTGCAGGGAAGATAAGTGTCCAAGATAGGTGTCAAGTGTTGTGGGCTGAATGAAAACTGGATTGAATGTGGTTGAGGAGCGAATGCCAGGATGTGATCGAGGGAAAATGTGATGGTCTCATATTGGAGGTCAGGAAAGACAAACAGGGATAAAGTGCGAGTGGAAGCTGGATGGGAATTCCTCACACGGCACTTTCCCATCCCAGTGAGGTGTTGGAATCATGCCCTCCACCTAGCACAAGTGACCCAGTCACATGATTATATTTAATCTCACAAAAGGAGACATTAATTATTCTTATTACATTTCTCACCATGACACATTTGAAACATTTCAAGTAATTCAACAATGTTTATTCAATTAGATATTTTTCACAATAAAACATCTTAACATCTTAATTTTACTTTAATGACACCAATGGAATAAAAAGTAACACCTGCAAATAATGAACAATTCAAAGAATAACCAGATATTTTTGTTGTGTTTTACAACTCATGAGCCATTCTAAAGAATGTTTAAACATTGCATATCAAATGCCATAAACTGCAAATCAAAGGTACAACATTTACAGGAGTTAATTTCACAGTTCATTCAAAAACTGTCTTCCGGTGCTCCACATTGACTGGAGATATAATAGCTGATGTGTTTTGGGTAAGAAGGCTGGTCAGTCTCATTCAGATCTAAAGTCACACGGGAAGGGGTAGTGTCTGCACCTCATCGAAGCACTCTGTGTAGGCTTCTTGATATTCATCATGAGCTTTGATCATTATTGCGCATGTTGGTCGCTTGGATCCTGCTGCAGCTCCCAGGTCCTTTGGGAAAAATAGCCAGGAATCATCATAACCCAGATACAAACCCAACATCAACTTAACTGCCTTCTAACTACAATCGGTTAGTGAGCTTCAACTGTGGTGGCCACTGAAGCCATCTCTGTGCAATGCTCTCAGGAAAGACTCAAACCTGATGAACCAGCTTACTCCAATCCCTCCAAAACAAAAAACAATAATAAATTGGTCATTTTCAATCCACGACTGTTTGTGGGACACTGTTGTGCGCAATTGGCTGCCGCGTTCGCCCACAAATATACAATCAATTCACTTTGCAGTCTATTCTGTGAAGCGCTTTGAGATGTCGAGAAGACGTGAAAAGCGGTATATCAAATGCAAGGATTATTATTATTATAATCCTCAAACATAACTGTAATATGCTGAATTAAATTTGATCCTGTATCCCTCCGGCCCATCAAGAAAGACTGAGTTCATCTCAACTCAGCTGCAAACAAGTATAAGGATTTGATTTTAAAACAATTTGTTTAAATTTTAAAATAAAATGAAACCATACCGATTTAGAAGGAATGTAAGCATAGGGGATGTCCTTATCTTCACACAAGATCGGCAGATGGCTGTAAACATCAATAGGCAGAGTATCACCAGCCAACACAACTATCCTGCAACAAAAGTCAGATCAAGACAACATTGTTAGAAAGTCATTGAACTTCATATTTGAAGATGTTCCATAGCACAACTCCAAAAATGACAGTAACATTGCTGAGCGTAAATTTGCTGCTTCATTTATCTTCAAATACAGTCACTACACTTCACAGTAAAATCCTGTTAAGCACTTTGAAAAGTCTTGAGGATATTAGAAGGTACTAAATCAAAAAGATGCAATAACATTTAATATTTAAGTATAATTATTTCTATTTATAGAATCATAGAATATTACAGCACAGGATTTGGTCCATCATGTCTGTGCCGGCTCTTTGGAAAAGCTACCCAATCAAGTCTCAATCCCCCGCTCTTTCCCCATATCCTTGCAAAACTTTCCTTTTCAAGTACCTATCCCAATTCCCTTTTGAAAGTTATTATTGAATCTGTTTCCACCGCCCTTTCATTCCAGACCATAACAACTCTTAAAAAGAAATTCTCTTCATCTCCCCCCCCCCCCCCGGGTTCTTTTGCCAATTATCTTGAATTTGTACATCCATCAATTTGGATTAATTCTGCATTCCTTTTTTAAAATCAACTATTGTGAAGAATTGCAAAGGGTCTTTTCTGTAATAACAATATTTCAGTAGCAGCAAAGCTCCCCAAGAGGGGATTGATGATGTGCTGGCCACTCAGTGACATTCACACTCACCCTTTCTCCCCTTTGTTGATGAATTTCTGAACTTCCTTCACGCCCCGGCGGATGTGCTTCAGTTTCGCAGCTGTGGATCAGATAAGTCATCGTTACCGGAATGTCGGCAGCATCTCAGGCAGTCATTGCAGCACAGCCCCGAGGCTCTTCCCCCCCAGGCTCCCCTCCACCCCCCCAGGCTCCCCTCCTCTCTCCTTCCCCCCCACCAGACTCCCCTCCCCCCCAGGCTCCCCTCCTCTCTCCTTCCCCCCCACCAGACTCCCCTCCTCTCTCCTTCCCCCCCACAGACTCCCCTCCTCTCTCCTTCCCCTCCACCAGACTCCCCCCCCCCCAGGCTCCCCTCCTCTCTCCTTCCCCCCCACCAGACTCCCCTCCTCTCTCCTTCCCCCCCACCAGACTCCCCTCCTCTCTCCTTCCCCTCCACCAGACTCCCCCCCCCCAGGCTCCCCTCCTCTCTCCTTCCCCTCCACCAGACTCCCCCCACCACCAGACTCCCCCCCTGGCTCCCCTCTCGGCTCCTCTCCCCCCGGCTCCCCTCCCCCCCACCAGACTCCTCCCTCGGCTCCTCTCCCCCCCAGGGTCCCCCCGGCTCCCCTCCCCCCCGGCTCCCCTCCCCCCCGGCTCCCCTCCCCCCAGGCTCCCCTTCCCTCCTCAGGCCGGTACCTTTCCTCACGCACTTGTACAGTTTTTTGCTGAGTTTGCGGGAGGCCAGAGGCTGCGCGATGGCGTTCACATTGACCACCAACTCCTCGTAGCTCCTCTCCGGCGCCGCCTCGTTATCGACCTCCTGCTTCACCGACTTCATCACCGCTCACTGCGCACGCGCCGTCCACCGGAAGGAGAAGTGGCTGCTGGGAGACCAATAGAAACCGCCGTGGCGAGCACGTGACGCACCTTGTGACCGCGGGGGCTGTGTCCGCTGGGTCCTGGCGCCGCTGTGTTCAGTCACTTTAATAATCCTCGCATTTGATATAGCGCTTTTCACGTCGGGAGGACGTCCCAAAGCGCTTCACAGAACACACTGTAAAGTGAATTGACTGTATATTTGTGGGCGAACGCGGCAGCCAATTGCGCACAGCAATGTCCCACAAACAGTCGTGGATTGAAAATGACCAATTTATTATTGTTTTTGGTTTTGGAGGGATTATTATTAGGCTCTGTGTGGAGTAAGGAAACTTGCCCAAGGTTTCGCCCTCTGCCTGGAATTGAACTCAGGTCTCTCACTTGCAAAGCGAGTGCTCTAACCACTGAACTGCAGGACTCCACTTTGACCCAAAGCCATAATAATAATAATCCTTACATTTGATATAGCGCTGGTCGCGTCTTCTAAACGTCGCAAAGTGTTTCACGGAATAGACTGTAAAGTGAATTGACTGTATATTTGTGAGCAAAACGCGGCGGCCAATTGTGCACAGCAGCGTCCCACAAACAGTGGTAGATTGAAGTGACGAAATAATAATTATTATTTTTTTATTGAGGGATTATTGTCAGGTGTGTGGAGTAGGCAAACATGCCCGAGGTTTTGCCCTCCCGGGAATCAAACCCAGGTCTCTCGCTTAACCACTGAGCTACAGGACCAATGAGAGCTTTACAGCACGGGTTCCCTCTGACTCCGACAATGCACCATTGTCCCATCACTATTTGCCCATATTCTAATAATAAATAATAATACTTGCAAATTGTTCTCCCGGAAAATTATATGCAGTCAGGGCAGTTTGTACTGTGAACCACTTTGAGTCTCAACTATGTGATAAGGTCCTATATCAAATATAAGGATTATTATTATTAAAAGCATTGGATGCAGAACTTTTTGCTGCTACTAAATACTAAATAACTTGATAATACTTTGTGCAAAGGCATTTTTATAGTGAAAGGGTTCTGCAGTGACTCTCCTGTCTTCTTGAGAAGACTAAGAATAACAAGGGAGAAGTGATAAAAGGAACAACATGGAAAATAAATTCTATGCTGTACAGGAAACTGAAATGAAAATCAAGTTGTATTTAATAACCTGATGCAGTAAAGTTATCAACCAGCCTCAGGAAAAACAGTCAGAGTCATTTTGGACACTTTTAGACACAGAGAATTGGACTGAACACAGAACAAAATACTAAAATACATTTTAATGGAAAAACACAAAGAAGTTGCTTTTTTTCAACGAAAAGCCTGTCAATCAATCACTGCATAGAAATGACTGCATAATCACTTCTATGCAGTGATTATTGTCCAATTTCTCTCCCAAAATTTAACATCACTGGAGTGAAGACTATTAACTACTTTAAAAAAAACACATCAATGTGATACAAACACACACATACAACTGTGTACCATACTGATACAAAAAACCCGCTTGAACACAACTGACACAAACACTGCATGAACACAGCAGTACAGAAAGCCACTTTGAATCAAATACTGCATTAATACTGCAGTGAGATACAAAAACCTGTGTGAAAACAACTAAAATCTCCAAGAGCAAAACAGTTTTCAGTCATCTCCTCACACAGCAGGAATACTGTAGAAAGAAAATAAAGTCACGTTAATTTTCTGGCAAAATATTGGACCCAAAACACATTAATCTATATTCCAGTCAGACCCTGTTATAAGTCGGTGCTTTTTCAGTCTATCAATTAGACCACGTTTTAACAGTAGAACCCCAGGCTGGCTGATTGCTGCTGACATTTTGTTTACTCAGCCGGGGTCTGACACATGTGGAAACCCATCACCATGCTTAAGAGTATCCCATCTACGCATGGAAATTTCAGAGATAGTTTGTTGGAATTGAATGTGCACTCTCACTCTCCCTGGAGGGACATATCTTGATTACCTAATATTAGGCGTAGGTTGGAAGAGGTTAAAGTGTCCGTTGGGGTAACTGCTGCAGTCCAACTGGCTATTGAAAACAGTGTTGGGCAAGCTTTCCCACTGTTTGTCCAGCTAGGACCACCCTACCCATTAGGGCTTTGGCTTGCAGGGTTAACAGGAGCTGAGTGAGAGGATTCCCTGCCCCAGGTCCTGCCGATGAGCCAGTGGCCTGGAATACTGCAGACCTGCCTGGTTCAGAACTGAACTACTGAGACCGCTGGCTCAATTCTGACATTCTGTTACCAAATATTTCGCCCCGCTTGCCTCCCCCCCCAGGAGGATTGTCATTAGCTGGTTATATGACATCCGAGCGGTTTTGAACTTGGTAAATGTCACGACTGATGTTTGTGTTCGCGAAAGAAAGAATATAACACATCACATCTGGCTCATTATAATACATAGAAGTTCCTCCACAAACATGGAGATGAGAAAATAGACGTAAGTTCCCCGAGCAGGAATGTAAAGAATAGTCAGAATGTTTTACCTTGCCAAACTGTGACCTGTTGAGATTCTTGCTGCAGTTGCTGAATTCCACTGTTTCCAGAATTTCCTGTGAAATTTCAGATCAAAATAACTCATCAAATAACTGAACATAATAATAATTCTTACATTTGGTATAGTGCCTTTCAAGTTGGCAGGATGTCCCATAGAACTGTAGAAATTTGCAACACAGAAAAATGTCATTCGACCCATCATATCTGTGCTGGCTCCCTCAAGCGCAATCCTTTCCTTTAACCATTTATCTGCCATTACCCCTTATCCCTGTAGCTGATTCTTTGTCCACCTGTCTTTGCACCTTTAAGGATTTATGTACAATAACCCCAAATCCCTTTGCTCTCCCGCTCCTTTTAATATTTTACTACCCGATATTTACTGGGTTGCCTCATTCTCCCTCCCAAAATCTATAACCTCACATATGTCGGCCTTAAATTTAATTTGCCGTTTCTCTGCCCAGTCTACTGATCTGTCTACGTTCCCCTGAATTTGCTTACAATCTTCTTCACTGATACCTATACTCCCTACTTTTGTGTCATCCCCAAACTGAGAAATTGTGCCCTTTATACCCGGAATCCAGATCATTTATATAATGGAGAAAAGCAGTGGTGCTAACACTGATCCATGAGGGACACCACTATTTACAGCTCTCCATTTCCAATAACAACCCTGTAATAATAATAACAACAATAATAATCCTTGCATTTGATATAGCGCTTTTCACGTCGGGAGGACGTCCCAAAGCGCTTCACAGAACACACTGTAAAGTGAATTGACTGTATATTTGTGGGCGAACGCAGCAGCCAATTGCGCACAGCAATGTCCCACAAACAGTTGTAGATTGAAAATGACCAATTTATTATTGTTTTTGGTTTTGGAGGGATTATTATTAGGCTCTGTGTGGAGTAAGGAAACTTGCCCAAGGTTTCACCCTCTGCCTGGAATTGAACTCAGGTCTCTCACTTGCAAAGCGAGTGCTCTAACCACTGAGCTACTGTACTCCCACTCTCTGTTTCCTATCCGTTGACCAACTTTCTATGCATGCTGCTGCCTTTCCATTAATATCCGTAATACCATCAGTTTAAGCAGCCTAGTTTTTTAAACAAGCCTCCTCTGCGTCACCTCGCAAAAACTTTCATATCCATATATACTATACCCCTCCCATTGCATTAACATCATCTATCCTCTTGGTTACCTATCAAAAAATTATATTAGATTTGACAAGCAAGATTTTAACAAATCCATGCTAACTGTCCAAAGCGCTTCACAGGATATGCTGTAAAGTATAGTGACTGTGTGTTTTGTAGGCGAACAACGATGTCCCACAAACAGCCATGGAATAAGTGACTAATTTTATTTGGGGGATTGTTGGCCAGGACGCTGGGAGAAACTTCCTTCTCTTTTTGAATAGCCATGGATCTTTAACATCCATCTGAACAGGCAGACGAGGCCGCAGGTTTAAGTCCCACCCGAAGGACGGCACCGCAAACAATGCAGTGCTCCCCCAGCACTGCCTTGGAGCATTAGCTTAAGACTATAGGGCTTTGACCCACAACCCTCTGACTCAGAGGCGAGTGCAACCAATTGAGTCACATTGACACACATAACTTCCCTGTCAGCTGTGTTAAGTACTTTAAATGCTCTCCTGGCATGAAAGATGCTGCACACATGTAAATTGCTGTTGTATAAGGGTCTACCTCAGCTACAATAGCTAGAAAAAGTGAAGCTCTTGTTGGAGATTCCCTGTATTTAATTTTCACTCTTTCACTAAATTTAATTCTAAAAGATACATAAAGTTAGAATGATGACTGTAGCTCACTCTGGCTTTACAGCCTGGTTTACTGACAGGGGCTTGGTATATCACCTGAATCTGCTCTAAGACGTCTCGCTGCATTTCCAAGGCCATGTGATAAACATTGTGGTCGGAGCTGTTGTACATGACTGCATTCTGGAACATCAGCATGATGTCCCGCTGGAACTCTGCTGTTGTACAAATTAGACCTTTCTTGATATTTCGCTTTATATTCGATAAATCCATCGGTCTGTAATAAACAGTTATAACAATTAAACAACAATAAAACAGCACTAATGATATCATGAATAGAATGATTTCTGGCTGTAATCACTGTATAATAATAATCCTCACATTTGATATAATGCCTTATCAAGTCTTCGGACGTCACAAAGCGCTTCACGGAATATACCATAAAGTGAATTGACTGTATATTTTGTGGGCCAAAATTATCCCGTCAAGGTTCACAAATATTCATGAGATTCCCTCCACATCCCAGAACTGAAAGCCGAACAGTTCTGGTGTGTGGGGGTCTTGAGAAGCCACTCTAAACACAAAGGTAAATTATTATTGTCTGCTTTCAACCTTTGCTAACAAATTGTCAAAGCAATTTTCTGCGACTTGTTTATGTTCAATGCCGTACATTATAAGTAAGGATTATTATAACAGGTCTGAAATGGTATCTCAGGGTTTTAACATTTTATCGATATGCCAAGAAAAGATCTTAATTCTCAATTACAGTTGTGGGGGAGGAAGGACAGTTGGGGGCCGAACCTGACGCCCAGGTTACATACAAGTTCGGTAAGTCTTAGGGAAAGGCCGGGAAGGTCGAGGAGGTCAGAGCCGCCGGAGGAAAGACGTTGACGGGAGCCAAGGAGTACGGTTTGCTTCTTGTCAAAATTCAATTACAGGGGCTTGGTAAATCACCTAGATCTGCTCTAAGAAGGTTGTGCTCATCCAGGCCTTGATGTCTGACAGTCTAGCTTCCAGAACATCAGCAGACGTGGAGAAGGAGAAGTCGATTTGGGTGTCATCTGTATAGGATGATATCACTGAAAGGGAGCATGTAAATAAGAAAATGAAGGGGCCAAGGATGAAACCTTGGGGTATGCCACAGGTAACCTGGCAGGGATGTGAGCAAAAAAATGTTTGCGGAGAAACATCGGTCACAAAGGCAGTGGTCCAGCAATAAAGAGTGGAGACAGAGAGATAGAGTTGGGTGTTGTCCGCATACATATGGAAGCTAACCCCATGCCTGCGAATGATATCATTGAGCAAGAGCATGCAGATATTAAAAAGAGGTCCAAACCTAGAGTTGTGAGGAATGCCGCACGTGATGGTGGGTGGTGGGGGTGGGGGGGGCGGAGACGGTTCTTAGAATCTTACAGCACAGAAGGAGGCCATTCGGCCCATCGTCCCTGAGCCAGCTCTTTGAAAGAGCTCCCAACTAGTCCCACTCCATGCTCTTGCCCCACAGCCCTGCACATTTTTCCTTTTCAAGTACCTTCGGAAAGCTATTATCGAATCTGCTTCCACCACTCTTTCAGGCAGCGCATTCCTGACCATAACATCTCTTCATGTGAAAAAAAATGTCTCCCCGTCTCCCCTCTGGGTCTTTCGCAAATGATCTTAAATCTGTGTCCCCTGGTTACCGACCCACCTACCAGAGGAAACAGTTTCTCCCCATCTACCCTATAAAAAAACTCATAATTTTGAATACCTCAATTAAATCTCCCCTCAACCTTGATAATGGACGTGTAAATCGATCAGAGTTTGATCCTCTAAGTTTGGGCATCTGGTTTACCTGTGCACTCGGCTGTGATATCCAGGAACTCTGTCTTCAGTAACTGGGTTCAGAAACGGACTAGAAAATCTGTGATACCAGGAAAAAAACAGCAAATCAGAATTATGCTGGAATTTAAAAAAAATTATTTATTTTCCACTTTAGTTTCTCAGCACCAGAGATAGTCCTCAACCAAGCGTACCAGCTCAGATCTTCTCTCAGGTCTCAAAGCTTCTCTTAAATGGGTATATTAAAGCTGTGTGTATACGCTAGCTGTTTACATCTGCACTCAATATATCAGTTTTTGTATGAATGGATGCATGTATGTGTATAACTTTCAAATGTATTTTTGATTTATAATGCAACAGCCTGATTATTCTGTCGGAAACTAACATTGTAATAATTCCTTCAAAATAAAAAAAAAATTGGTGCTCAATCCACGACTGTTTGTGGGGCACTGCTGTGCGCAATTGTCTGCCACATATCATCCACAAAACTACACTTTACACTGTATCCTGTGAAGCGCTTTGAGACATCTCGATGACATGATAAAGCGCTATATGAAGTGCAAGGATTATTATTATTACTGCATGTGGCGAGGTGAATAATGAAAAGTGATTACAACTGTACCCAAACGCTCCCATAAAAATAAAGTTAAAGGAGTGGTCTTGGTTGGTATTCCATTTTAAATCCAATACATCCACTCCGATTAGACTTTGTAATTAGATCTTTGTAACACAGAACATGTTCTGTACATTAATAGTCTCTTAGTTACAGTGTCACCTCTGTTACACACTAACTGTCATTGGAAAGCTCTCATGATATCACTGTCTCTACATGATTCTTTAATGTTATATTGTATGCCATATTAGGCAACTGGTACTGCCCCGACCATCATTACAATGTGAAAACACACAGCTTCCAAGGACCAAATAGTACTGAAGATCAGATGGACTGTAATCTGACTGATGAACTTGCTGTTGTGACTCTGACTCTGACCTGTGGCCGGCTATCTCCTTCCATAGGAGGAGCATTGTCCTCTTCCAGTTCTTCTGAGCTGAAACTGGTTGCTGGTCTGTGCTGCTAGCTCTGATGTACAGACTAGAACTGTAACTATATTGAAAAAACATTCAATACAATATAACTGCGGTACCTTGGCTAAGTCTTATCTGAAATGGATCGTTTAACCTTTTCGCAACAATTTCTCAGTTAACTTTCTCCCTCCCCTTAAGATCCTGTCATTTGTTCTCACAAATGACAATTCTATCATCCCAGCAGCGCAGGGACTTTGCTGCATCATGGAGTGGTTAACCATCTTTGTTTGCATTTGTCCTCAGACCTTCACAGAAACAGAACAGCATAAGAAAGGTTGAACAAGACAAGAACAAGATCAATAGCAGAACCTTTTGATGGTTCACCATTTCAAAGCAATGCGACATAGCCCATGTACAATCTGCTCCATAGAATCATGGGATATTACAACACAGAAGGAGGCCATCTGGCCTATCATGCCTGTGCCGGCTCTTTGGAAGAGCTATCCAATCAGTCCCACTCCCCCATTTTTTCCCCATATCCTTGCAAATGTTTTCCTTTTCAAGTACCTATCCAATTCCTTTTTGAATCTGTTTCCACGACCTTTTCAGGCAGTGTATTCCAGACTGTAACAAATCTCTATGTGAAAAAAAGTCTCCTCATCTCCACTCTGGTTCTTTTGCCGATTATCTTGAATCTATGTGCCCCGGACTCTATCCCACCTATTTAATTGTAAGTCGTACAGTTCTGCATAAATATTCCCAGTTAGTAAAGGCAACCAAACAGAACTTATGGTGAACACTACACAGCCAGAGGCAATGTTTACATCCAATAAACACAAAGCACAACTCTGCCATTCATTTATTTCCATCTATCAGTGAGCACAAATCCTGGCTGATTTATTCCCATACCAGGTCCAGGAGCATTGGTGTCAATCACCAACTGTAGCACAGATCAAGATGAAACCTGGCACACTCTCTGTCTATACAGCTCACTATGTATTTATAATTCAAATGAAAAAGAAGTGAAAGAGCAGGGAATTGGGAATAGGGTGGATGGTTCTTGGAGGAGCAAACACTGACATGATAAAATGACCGAACGGCAACCTATTGTGCAATACATTTCTACAATGCACATTTTGAAATCGCTTACAACTCTGAAGATGTGTGACTGCTCGTTGCTGATTCATCCAAAACCAAGCTCTGGGTATTGGCGCTGGTATCACTTTCTGCAACAGATAACTCCATGTCTAATTCTTCTTCGCTGACAGCTCCTTCCTGAGAATGAAGTCAAAAGTCAGATAGACCGTTGCTTCGTGACTGTGGACCATCAGAGCCAGACAAATACTGAACACACAGAGGGACAGACTTGGTTCACATATCACACACCAACAGTTTATTGGTACAGGGGAGATCCCAGCTGCTCTCCAGAGACAGGTAACACCTGCTCCCTCTAACAGAGCTGGTGTGAGGGGGTGGGGGCACACCTGGATTCACAGTCAGTGTCCTGCTTTATGCCTCATTCTCAATCTCAGTCACGGGACCCACCATGCTCACATATGCACCTCTATGGTCTTTTAAACATTACCGAGATGCCTTCACTGCAAAAGCCCCAACCTGGCCATATAGTTAGATCTCAAAAGCTTCCTTTATCCATGGTCCACACTCTCCTCCCTCTCAGATACAACCTTTGGATTGACCTCCTCAAGGCAAAGCCTCCACATTGCCAATTTGAAATTCTGAAATTATATTATACCACGATGTTTGTTTAAATTTTGAACTTAAGGTTTGCTTTCAAATACACACACTTTTCAGAAACCTCTGTGAAGCACTTTCAGCCATTTTGTTCTAAGTTCTGTATCAAGTACCAAGAACATTATTATTTATTATTCTACTTTCTAAAATCCATACCTCTCCTGGCATTTTGTAATTTACTCCAGCCAATTCTGAAATGAAAACATAATAAGAATGTTTTGGTGAAAAAAAACAAACGTGGCAGGTTTACTCAAAGGGATTTCTCCCACAACGACACGGGTGACAGTAACCCAGGTCTTTCATTACCACAGGTAAAAAGCCACAAAAGTAGAATCCGCTTTTTCCTCTCAAATAATTTGTTGTTGATTTTAAGACTGGAAATAGAACAATTCTCCATTTGCATTAGCACCAAGGCCAAGAAATAGAAGAACTCAGATAAGCCTGGCTGCATCAAAATAACAACAACTTGCCTTTATGTAGAACTCTTTCATCCGATAAGGTCTTGAAGCACTTCCTAATGATAGAGTTGCTCCTCCCTACCTCTGCGACCCATTAAAACTTCACCAACACGTTTGTTCCCTCTGCTCTGTAGGTCCAACAATGGTCAGGCCTTAAGTCTTTTTGGCGCCACCCTTTGGAACTCCATCTCGGAGCCACTCCGCCTCAACACCCTCTCTTGTCTCCTCTCAAGACCTTCCTTTGCAACCGTGTCTTCGGTCATCTTCCCACATCCATCTCCCTACCCTCCACCCTTTTGGAATCCAGCCCCAAGCAAGGGGATGTTCCCCCCGACATGAAAAGAGCTGCATTTTCAACCACCCACCCGCAGTCTCTCATTCGGTGCTAAATGGTTGTGTACCCGCTGTCTCACCGGAGTTCCAGGAAGACACCAGGAAGAGGTGAGACAGGTCATATATGTTGTACATTTACGAAGTTTTGTAAAGAAGCAAATACTTTATGTTGTAATTTCCGTGTAAACCTCCTTACAGTCCTTACAATGTGCATGCACGCTTAAGAAATATACAGAGAAGGAATAAAGATTTAAAATGCATTTGTGTTGTTCCTGAGTCTCAACAAACATCACGATTTAGTCAAGTGGAGACAGGGATTCATCCCTTGTTCTGGGCAAAATTAATAAAACGCAACGCTGGAGTTTGAGCAGCTCAAACCACTGGTGCACTGTGGACCTGCCTGGCTCAGGAACCGGACTAGAGACCATCACAGAGGGAGGGGGGACTCAATTCCAATGTTCCATTGCCACGCAAGTCACATCAGCTCAGCCCCAAGGATGATATTAAGTAGATGTAGGAATTAAGAACACATGAAAGCAAGGAAAAAGGTAATTTGCTATACAACACAATCCCTCTAAAAACCATATACAATGAAGTCTGTCAAGAATCTTGTCTCACCCCTAGCTGGAAGTGTGGAGCTGACAGTGCTACAGTCACTGAGCAAGCTCAACAATAATGGCAATATGGAGGTAAAGGCTCCATCAGTCATTTTGGGACAAAAATGAATAATTATGTGTCAATCAAGTTGTACATGTCTTGTAAACCATAAATCAGCTGCCACTGACCTGCTTTCTGCTCTTTCACCACGGTGTCCAGCTGGGCCTCCCACAGCAAGGCCTGAGGGCTTGCATACAACTCACAGCCACCACTCACATACTGGGGATACAGGAAATACAGCACACACAATAGATCAGTATATTATTTGCCATGGATAGACTAGATTTTTGATCATGAGTGAATACTAATATGCTAAATTTTGTATCAGTAACAGTTCGCCTTGTGATATAATTAAGTAACTTTAATGCTGAGATTATATGCAATATCTTTCTCCACATTCGGACACTGAGCTTACAGTCTCCCCTGTTTGCCTTCACTCCCTAGGACGTCTTTCTGACCCGAAGGGCCCTTTACAAGTGTAATTTGTTGTTCACTCACTGCCTTTCATTTTCAACAGCCCAACAGTGGTGCTGCAACACTACCGCAAACCAGTAATTGATTATTAGAGGTGACATCTTTTGAAAAGGCCAGAGGAGGGATTACCGTCAGTTAATCAATAACATAGGAACTCCACACCACTGTCTGATATGTGTGATTCCCCACATAGTGAGTTACAATTTAAGCCGTGCCAATCTAGAAAAAACTCTGTGTCGTGGCCACATAATTCTGTAACAGACCAAATAGCTTAGCAGATGTTAATATCATAAGTCAGGACGAGACTTTCACCTGTAAAATGTTAAAGATGTTAACATAAGTAAATATATAGATTACCACATCCTGAACATCTGCATATTAGTATGGATAAGAATTACTGAATGGTTATAGTAATGAGTATTCCTGCATTTCTCAAACACAAAGCTTCTAATGCTCAAGTGGAGAATAACATAACTTCATTCTGTTATTAAAAGCAGCTGTGCAACACTGAAAACATGTATAAAATTCACAATGGCGTCGTCAACAACGAGTAAAGGAGTGTAAAACTGGTGAAATTATTCTGTAAAGAATGTAACGCTTAGCTTGAGAAGATGAGTGAACAAAGAAATACAGAAATGGTTCAATCTGGTTATGAAAATGGTGCTGAATTGTACACGGATGTCTAGAGTAGTTTGATTGAGCCTTAAGTTCTGCTTCTATATAATACTGTTCTTGCTTTTGGAAACTGTTTTGGAAACCTTCCAAACCCGGTGAATCCAAATGAATCGTAGACAGTCAGTCCGTGACCACACTTTGCCTTCACACTTAATAATATTAATACTTGCATTTGATATAGTACCTTAACATGTCTTCAAGATGCCTCAAAGCGCTTCACAGAATATAATGTAGAGTGAATTGACTGTATATCGTTAATTGATAACCTCCACATTTGCTTGTTTAATATCTGAAATTGATGCCCTCTAGTTACTGAGTCACCAGCCAGTTGAAATATTTTCTCCCCATGGACCCTATCAAAACTCCGCCTAATTTTAAAGACCTAGATCAGGTCACCCTCAACCTTTCTTTGTTCCAGCGGTAGTTAATTGTGAAATGCCTTATATTCAGGTTGACTACACTTGTAAAATATTGAACTGCTGTTACTTGTCCACAAACTGCTGGTGTGAGTGTGACAAGTCAAAACAGAATGCGCGTAAAATAATACATCCTCAAAAGCTGATCACTATTGTGACATTAAAACATACACCCAATTAAAACAGTAACTGGCTGGTGAATACAAATATCAGTGATCTTTTCTCTTCTAGATTTCCCATGTGTCACTATATAAACTGAACATGTGAGAAGCCACATTTCTCAAGGCCTCTTAGTAGTGCTGTTTGTTAACTCACAGCNTTTTTTTACACTAACGAACCTAGGTTAGGGGACAAGGCTTATATTTCAGTTCACCACAAAGGTTCAACAGTTAACCTAGACATCTAGTTAGATGTTGCTAAAATTGAGTTTTAGACCCCAGGTTAGGGAGAGTATAAGGAAGATCACGTTGAGCTCGAGTAGAAGGGGTCAGTAAACTCAAATTAGAGAAGTGAGGAAAGAGAGGAGGGAGTGGATGTAGGGTTGTTTATTGGAGCTGGGAGGAAGATAGTTGGGAGGAAAAATAATTATAATGTCATTCGTTAAAAAAAGTCAAAGAGAAGACGGCAACAACAACAACAACTTGTGTTTACATAGTGCCCTTCGCGCTGAGTAGCGTCCTGGAGATGAGAGACTAAAGGGCAGAAACAGCTTGAGAGTATGAGAGTGCTCCCACGAGATAAACTGGATGGCTTTACTCTCTCTGTCTCTCTCTCTCGCTCAAGAAAAACTGCTCTCGTTGCATTCTGCAGAAGGCCCTGTGAACTCACATTAGGGGAAGCTGTTGGTAAACACTCCCTGTTGCAGCACCAAGTGTACCTAACGAAGAGCAATCTCCAACTTGTGTAAAAATGTACAGAATAAACTAGGTTTTGAGGGGGAAGTTCATCTACATTTGCTGCTCTCTCAGGAGTGGATCCTATAAACATATAATTATAAAAGTAAACACAAAAATACTAGAAAGGATTGAATCATTTTCTCCTTTCAAATCCCAATAGTTCACCCACTTTTTTTTCTATACAGCTTTAAAATCTTACCTCAGCCAGATTTAAATATTCTGTCTCTAAAACTTCTTGTCTTGGACCCACCTGTTCTGTGCAAAGTTCTGTATTTGCAGCGGCCGCTACTTGTCCAGCCTGTTCCTGGCCAGACAAGGACTCTTCCCAACTCTCCTCCTCTTCTTTCTTTGTCTCCAGTTTCTCAGCGAGGTCCATTCTAACATCATCATCATTTACTTTGTGGTCATTTGATGATCGACCCAACTCTGGATCCTCTTCCCTGTCCTCAAACTCGATTTGGAGGCTCTGGTGCTGCTGGACATATTGATCACTGCCTTTGCTTTCTTGTTCCTCTTTGCTGACAGTTTCGGGGCTCATTTGTTCAGCCTCCACGTCCTGTGAATTAAAGTATGTAACAAATACAGTAAGTAAAGGGCACTGAAATCATCGTCACTGCCATGAATACCTAAAAGGTATTGTTAAGTGAATTGAATATTTCTGAGTAGATCAAACGTATTTACTTTTGATTTCTGAATAATTTATAATCCTTGCGTTTGATGTAGCGCCTTATCACATCTTCGAGACATCTCAAAAGCACTTCACAGAATATACTGTAAAGTCAATTGACTATTTTGTGAGTGAACAGTCATGTTTTTTTTTGAAGGGACTGTTACTCCCGGAAAAGCGATCCGCCAATCAACTACCAACTGGATTCCTACTTACTGCTAACCAGCTAAAACTTATTCAATCATTTCTAATTGGAGGTTAAAGATCTGATGACTTGAAACCAGTTAATCTATTGTCTATAATTATCTATAATTTCTGGTAAGAATGTGGCAGTCAGTTGCGCACAGCAATGTCCCACAAACGGCCTTGGAGTGAATGACCAATTTTATTTGGAGGCTTTAAAGCATGCAAATTTCAGATTTTCCTCTTTCAAACCCTCAGCTAAGAGCATAAGTGGGCAGAAGATCAAGGATGATGACTCATCAGCTGGAAGTGGTAATAAGCCTCCTCAGAGTATGTCCTCTTGCTCTTACTTGCTTAGAGATGGAAAGAGGGAACCTCAAATATTAAGATGACGTGGTCCAGGACAACACTTACTATCTAATAATGAGGGTATTAAGAAAATTCCAAACGTAGTAGCTTCAATTTGTCCAGAGGCATAATTAATGCCAGTGTTGTACCCAACAGGTTTACTAACACAGAAGTATCTGGACCAGGTTTATACAGAGCTCAAATAAAAACATAAGTCGCTAGGAACACGCAGGTCAGGCAACATCTATGGAGAGTAGGCAGAGGATAGATAGGTAGCATCTATCTCTTCCTCTCTCCATATATGCTACCTGACCTGCTTCGTGTTCCCAGCAACTTGTTTTATTTCAGATTTCCAACATCTGCACTATTTTGCCTTTTGTTTATAGAACACTCAACTTGATTAAACCAATTGAATGGCTTGAAAGTGAAATCCACAACATCCACAAACATACCCTTACAGACAGGAGATCACTAGGAAGCAATCAGGAGCAAAATGCTAACTCTTCAGATCAGGTCTAAGCTCATTGCCGCGGGCTAACTCAGCAAGTCAAGAAGTATGGGAATAACTACAGGAGGTTTGGCCACCAATGGGGGTGGGAGGGTCTCACATTGGCTCAAATTAGCTGAGCATTACAAGCAAGCAGAAAAATGGGGCAGCAGAAGATCACAGAAATAGGGCATTCAAGAATTTAGAAACAAGAGTGAGGACAGTGAAGCCAGGCAGCCTGGCGAGGACTGGAGTGATGGGATTGTAGAGTTTGGTGTCACAGAAGGTGCCAGCTAAAGCTGGTGGATGACAGAACCAAGGAGAGTGGCATTCGAGAAATCGAGTTGCAAGGCAACGAAGGGTTTTGGCAGCATTTTGTGTGAGGTAGGGACAGGGAATTTATACGGGATCAAATATGAGGAAGGAGGCAGAGCTCGTGATCATTCTGGATGTCAAGTTAAGTGAGGAAAAGAAAGCCAAGAATGTACAGAATACAAAGACAACATCGACTTTACACAAAATCTGGCCACATGAGGTAATACTAAGTTGCTAAATGGCAAGAGAGAACAATAACCCACCTCGTGCAAACCCTCAGGACACATGTGTGGTATTTACTAAGGTGATCGTTGTGATATTATATTCCCCAGAAAGAAAAAAAGTTCAGGATGTCAAATTCATTTTATTAATCACATACAATGATCTCAGGACAAAAACTGTACACTTAAAAACAAGCCTATACAATACAATTCATTTTTTAGCAATACTTAAGACAATGACAGTACTTTATTGATCTGTACAGAGGCCACACATTCTACATCGTGGTCTAGAGCTGGTAGTTATTTCTTCATTTTCATATCTGCTTCGATGGCACAACGACGTCCTCTTGTACCACCATCCTAAAGGGAGAATAAATCACTGGTTTTCAGTAGCTATCAGGCCGTCATTAATATTTAGAATCTTTTTAAACAAACATCATCCTTCGCAGAAGATTCGACATGCATTGCTTAAAGAAAAAATTGACTCCAAACAAAAAGGTTGGTGGCAATTAGATTCCTATTGAGCTATTTCTTAACAGTATTAGAATACAAAGTAGCTCAAAAAAGGTAGATATTTATCAATGCAAGGAACCACGCACAGGTCAGAAAATTACATGCACAACAAGTTTCAGAGTCAACAATGGAAATGAATAAAACAGTTTAAAAGAAAAAGTCAGACATTCTGACAAAGATCCTTAATACTAGTTTAGGAAGACAAACATTACATTAAGGAATATTGGGAAGCCACCAGGTCGGACAAAGTTTACCCCTGAGACAGAAGCGACCCCTTTAATTCACAGAACAGAACACTGCAGTATCCAACCCCTAGCACTGATTCACTTCATCTTCACACTAAAAATCAAGTTTCAAATTGGAGACATTCCACTTACCTGGTGGCAGCAATTAGCTGCTTTGCGGAGATTGTTAACAATATTTTGTCATCAGTTGATGTCGCAGTGCTTGCTGCTGCTGGCTGAAATACATGGGGAAACTAGACACGTCAACACAGGACAGCTCTGACATTAAACCATTAAAAAGAATTAACAGTTTTGTTTTAAACTTGTGATTGAATTAAAAAAGGATTCCGTGTGTTAAATTGCCACCGTGCAGGTTGCTGAAAGGAAAAACACAATTCAGAACACAGAGAACACGAAGATTTCCATGTATTTCAGCCAGTAGCAAGCACTGCAACATCATCAGCTGGTGGCAAAAGGCTGCTAACGACCTCTCCAAAGCAGTTAATGGCTGCAACTGAGTAAGAGGAAAACACCCACTCTGTGTAGATGAAATGATAAAAATGAATTAATGCTAGAAACTAGACGTGGTCTATGCATTGAACAGAGGCTGTATGGGAACCCAGTTTTAACACGTTTAAGATTGCTGATCATCTCAATCTAGAGGAAACTAAGTGCTTCTGCAGATCATTAGTATTAAATGGGTGATCTACTTAACGCTCCTCACTGGAGTATTTGCTATTCAAGCACAAAGTCGTTAATGCATAGATGGGTTAGACGTATTTCGACTATTCATCTTATTCCTAGAAATTAATTTTCAGTGTCCAGGTTATTTCAGAGAATTAGTGGGAAAACCCAGGAGCACAAATCACACTAATGTTTGAGTGACTTTAGTGGATGTGAACAAACACTGAAATAATAATAAAAATAATATAATAATACTTGCATTTGATATAGAGCTTTCTCACGTCTTCAAGACGTCTCGAAGCGCTTCACAAAAAATACTGTAAAATGAATTGACTGTACATTTTGTGGACGAAACGCGGCAGCCAATTGCGCACAGCAGTGTCCCACAAACAGTCGTCAATTGAGTGACCAAATTATTCTTTTTTGCTTTTTGAAGGGATTATTACTCCCGGAAAAGAGATCCGCCAATCGACTGACAACCTATTTACTACTAACTAGCTAAAACTTATTCAATCATTTCTTATTGGTGATGAAAGATCTGATGACTTGAAACCAGTAAATCTATTATTTTTTTTGGAGGGAATTATTACCCTTGGAAAAGCGATCCGCCAATCGAGTGAAAACCGGGTTCCTACTTACTGCTAGGCAAACAGAGGCATGTGTAGTAAAGAAACTTGCCTAACATTTCGCCCTACCGGGAATCGACCATAACTGGACTTTATAATGCACACTACAGAAAGTTTAACTTTGTAATAGAGGGAGTGAACATGTTGCTTTATTCCATTCATTTGAACTCTCTCAAATATGCCCTTGAGCTTTGGTATTTGTGATAGAGCAGGAGATCCAAGAATGCTCCAAACTGACTTTTTTAAAAAAATGAATGAAAAGTGAAAAAGGGCTTCGCAGAAATCTCTGAAATCAATTTCCTCTCAAAATCTACGTTTATCTGAGGCCAACTCTCACCACACATTTTATCAAATTATTTTATGATCAGCTTGGTGCTCAATTCATTGTAATATGTAGGACACCCAAGTTAATGCACTGCTCACCTCTTTTCTGTTACCTCTCTTTGTTACAGTGAGAGCTATGTAAATAGGGTTTATAACAATATTATAAACCTTTGGTACTTATTTTCAGACGTCCCTCTAGTTTTAAACAGTGGCGTCTTTTGGTTCTGGGTGTATCATAAACTGTGAATACAAAGCTGGACAAGCTGAGTATCAGCAGAAATCAAGTGACTAAAGTGAGGCCTTCAGCTCACTACCAGGTATTTGAGGTTGAGATTGTGCCTTTATCAAACAGTTTATGATATAAAAAAACGTCTTTCTGGTGGGAGGCTGTGTCGTAATTGTGATATGGAAATGGCGTAATGTATGGAAAAGGGTAGATCAAAGTGAATTGTGATGTTTTCCCAGAGGGAAACTCAACACTTAAATCACGAATTTCAGCAGTGACCTTGGCACATGAACTGGAAACTGGAGAAATGGATTTCTATTAGTTCACATGCTAGTGTTAGTGTTGTGGTAATGTGCTGCTGAATGCTGCTGCCACCACCACAAATGATCATAAACTGCCTGACAAGCAGGACATTGAGTGTTTTGAGTCCGATTACCTAAAGAATACAATTCAATTTAAGCAGCCTGAGATTGCATGTGAATTCCATTTATGTTGTTTGTCGAATATCACAATAATTCTATGCAGAAGCAGAATCCTTTGACTGTACTGAACTGAACCAGGCATTGCTGTGACATAGAGGCGAACAGCTTGAACACTGCGTTTTTTTCAATAGTTGCCTTTCTTAGTCCTGTAGCAAACTCCGGTTAGGATGATAGCACCAAGGCTAACCCATGGCTCCAGAACATTTATATTCTCAAACTCCGAATGACATTTGGAAAAAACAAGATTATTTTGTTAACTTTAGATCCAAAATTCTGCAGGTGTTGCAAGGCATCCTACCCAGACTGCAGCATGGCCACGAGGAGCCAGGTACAAAGGCACCGAGTCATCATTTTACCCAAAGGCAGCAGGACCTGGTGTGAAGCACTTGGCAAAGGATTTCACTGCATTTTAATTATTGATGTAAAAACGATGCATTCCTCTCTGGGATCTCTTACTTTTTAATACTGGCAAATAACCAAAATCCGAATTGAGAAAATGGGATCCAGCAAGGCTGTTCATCCTACTATAAACATATCCTTGAGTCTAGGAAGCATCACCTACCTGGCCTGGTGTAGAGCCCTATCAGAATGCCAAGGCAGGCTGCAAGCTGGCTGCTCCTACTGCTGCTTCCCGAGCGTTTAGATCACGTACAAATCTAGCAGCAGATCATCTACATGCTTTAAATACACTGTCCTTCACTAGATCTAGCAGCTTTCCTCCATCTCTCTGGCTTCTTGAAACTTGTGGTCGGCCTGTAGTGTTACGAAGGCCTAACTCCCTTTTCTTAAAAAAACAAAGATGAAGTTTCTTTGCATGAGGTTTGATTCCACGTCTAAATTGAAAGATCTTCCTCCAGCAAGTACCTAATTGATCACCAGCTTATTTAGCTCGAGATGGAACCGATGAGGCCGCAGACACAAGGCAGCACCATTTACATGCCATTTAGGAAATGAAGAAATTTGGAGACTATTGCACCTAATTAAATAAACTAGAATAATCACATTAAAACAAATCCAAATGAAGTACACATTCATGACTTTACAGTAAATCACAGTATTTACCACAGATTGTGCATAATAATCTAAGTTAATATGGTTCAGCAGAAAACATTCCAGTCTAATAACTTTCTACTAGCAAATTAGCTACATGCTACTTTGAATACTTACAAAGAGAGAGAGAAGGAAGGCAGGAGAGCCCATGGGGACACTGTCCTGTTAAAGGACAAAAAAAACAGCAAATCAAATTCAACCTGAACGAACATACCCACTACCACGGCTGTGGCAGGTCTTTTGGTGTGTCGTGACATCACACGTGAAGGAACTCCAAACAGTAACAATTGTAAAGTTAAATAATAATAATAATAATAATAATCCTTGTATTTGATATAGCGCTTTTCACGTCGGGGGGACGTCCCAAAGCGCTTCACAGAACACACTGTAAAGTGAATTGACTGTATATTTGTGGGTGAACGCGGCAGCCAATTGCGCACAGCAATGTCCCACAAACAGTCGTAGATTGAAAATGACCAATTTATTATTGTTTTTGGTTTTGGAGGGATTATTATTAGGCTCTTATTAAAGCACATTCATATTCATTTGCCTGGCCAGAGCAGTGGCTGTAATAATAATAATCCTTGTATTTGATATAGCGCCTTATCACGTCTTCGAGACATCTCACAGAACATACTGTAGAGTGAATTGACTGTATATTTTGTGGGCAAAACCCAGCAGCCAACAGCGCACAGCAGCGTCCCACAGACTGTTGTAGACTGAGTGACCAAATTACTATTATTTATTTAGTTTATTTCTGTAGTTATAGTAATACTATCCATGGTTATATCTGTGGACAAGGATTCCTGACACTCACTGCTGTTAATAGGTTCAGGATTATGGTATGTAAACAGGCTGTGGCACTGAGGAGGCCTGCACTGTCAGATAGTAGATATTATTCTGCTTTCCTACAAACTTTAAACTAGATTTGTGTAAGTTTCCAACAAAGAGAGAGCGAGAAGGAAGGCAGAAGAGCCTATAGAAATAAAACAAAAATAAAAAAACATTATAAAAATTGCAACAGGCAACATTATTCACTGTCTAGAAAGGTTTGAACATTTCAGAGTTTTACAAAGTCAAAGGCTGAACCTATTACATTAGGTGTTGGAGATCATTTCTGCAGCCACAATGATAGAATTATATTACTGTAGTCACTTTACCAATTGTGACAGAAAGGTAGAGTCAGCATCATATATGGATACAATCACTTACCCGCATTTCAACAACAAATTCAGGATTCAGTCGGAATACCTGGGCAAGTAGTCATCATGTTGTGAAAGGTCAATCCTTGGTTAGGCTATCTCCTAACTTTAACTGCATCATAACTTTCAGAAGACTACAGTGCTTTGCTAAAGAGTTAGCAAGCAACAGTGAAAATTATTGATTACATGAATAAATTGACACCTATTAAAGTTTGGGTGAAGTACAGACCAAACATTCCCTGAAAGGAACTGGCTTCATTTATAGATCTTTTCAATTACTTTCAATCAATTTTTAAAATCAACATTTTGCTATTCCTTGCCATGATCCTTTGGGACGGTTTGAGCTTTTAAATTGCAGTTACATTCATTTTTATTTTGCAGGATTTAAGTGCTTGCATTCCTGTTTCCAGTTTTTTTTAAAAGTTGAGATTCACTTTTTCTCTCTCAAGTTTCCTTTCTTAGTTCCCTCTTTATGTTCCCTCTTGTATTGGATTACAATTCAAAGGACAGAGATATCGGAGGCCCAGTGATCAACCTCCGTGCATGAACCTGGATAGTGAGTGCTGGTGGGTTTCTTAACTTGTGGAACCATTATAGCCAAACCAACACCACACTCCAATGTACACATGTGCTGGAGGATAAGATGGGAATCTGAAGCTCTCCCAATTTTCTCCTCTTCCTACCCTCAGGAAGCATGGACTCCATGCACATTCGCCCAAAGTACAGAGAGGAGATTGAGCCAAGGACCTGCTTGGTCTAGATGGTTAGAGATATACTGGAAGCCATGTTTGCCAACAAGGGGATTTAGCTATTCCCTAGTTTGTCACTCAATTTCAAATTTATTTTTGGCCAAAATTAACACCCCAAATTCTCTTCTCAAATTAATTTCTTCAATCATTCTTGCTGTAGTTATTCTGCAATAAACTGACCATTACAATCCATTTGTTTGCAGGTGAAGCACGTAAAGCGGTGCTAACACAATCCAGATTATGGAAATGAATTTTAGGAAAATTGTTTGTTTCTAAATAAATAATGCATTTTGAGCAGTTTAAGAACCCCAATGCTGTACGTAGACAACTGATAAAGGTCTGAAGTTCTCACTGGAGGTTAATAGTATTGCACATTTATATAATGAGTAATAAATTCACAGTAAATAAAAATTTTCTGTGCCTTCATTTATAAAGAATTACTGTGATCATCACGCATTGATAAACGTGTAAAGTCACTCATGGGCAACACACAGTGCTTGCTCAGCAGGAATCAAAACGGCCATTGCAAAGCCAGTACAGACACCAAATTCAAGAGTTTAGTACTTGCACTTGTCAATTTAACTTACACTAATTTAGAGATGGTCTTCACTCCGCAAAACTCTTATAAAATGTATTTCACTATTATTTGGTCAGCTTTGGATCATAATGTCATAAACTGGAACAAAACCCGTTACACAATGCCAGGGGATGCAGTTTTGATACCAAAAACTAATGTTCCACAGTGGGGAGGTATTGAGCCACAATCGTGAAATAGCTTATAACTAACAGTAGCTTGTAACAATATGACAATAACAATAATCCTAGCACTTGATAATAGCGCCTTATTATGTCTTTGAGACATAAGCGCTTCACAGAATATACTGTAAAGTGGAGTGACGGTATATTTTGTGTCCACTGTGTGACTCAACCTTTCCCATTCAAAGCAAGTAAAATACTAACTTTAATAATTCTGAACAAGCAATGAATGAGGCTATGATTACAGGTAAACCCAGCAGTATAGTGGGTAGTGTGAGGCTACGGGCAGTGTAGTGGGTAGTGTGAGGCTACGGGCAGTGTAGTGGGTAGTGTGAGGCTATGGGCAGTGTAGTGGGAATGGATAGGGCTACATTTAGCCATTTCTGACCTGTTTAGGATATAATACAGTCTTAGTTCCAGTGACTGGTTATTTGATGACTAACATTTGATGGTTAGTTTTGACAAGGTAACCTGAAGACACAATTCATTGGTTAATAAACCAACCAGAAAATTGCTGTCCTTAATAATCTGTCCTATCTGCTTTTCAGACACACTAACCTTCTCTGCAGCATCCTGTTTTCGCGTTGACTCGCGCCCACGCAGGCTCTTAGCACTGATTCCAGACTCCGATGTTTGCATTATTAGCTGCGTGGCCAGGAATTGCTAAAGTAATGACAAGAAAATGAGAAAGGTAATCTAATCCTAAACTGTAGACCTACTTTGCAGCAAATCAATACAGACATGTTACATCTCCATCATTGTTCAGGGCTTGTGCCTAAATCAGAGGAAAAGATAATTAAAAACAACTTTCACACTTTTGACCCCACCTAGTCCACAACAGCACACAAGCACATCTCTAAAGGTGTTCGTTGGGAGCCACAGCCACCTTTGTATCATCTCATTCTTCTAATTCTGATAACAATAGATATCTCACTTTAGTTAACCAGGTAAAAATTACAGGGATTCTACTCCTTTAAGAAGTGCCAAAATACAAAATAAACGCATCGCTTCTCACTACTGGCAGATCTTTAGGGGACCGATGGGTGGGCTTTGATGTTCTTGCCTAAACTGAGGTCCAAGCCAATCATGCCAATGTTCCAATTAGCTATTTTTCAATGAGCAGGTTCTCGTCTTGCTCATTTGATTTTGTCAGTTGCCTTGAAGCTTCTTGATGCTCAGCACTGTGGAAGTCACAAGATGTGGCCACCTTTCAATCATTCTTTGGTGTTCTCAATCTGAGAAATCGGTCGGGTGGGTATCAATCAGAATTGGAAAGCAATATGACCACGTGCAGAGAGAAAAAAAGGTGGTGGCCAGGTTGTGCAAAATTTGAAGCCCTTAGAGGGCAAACAGTAATAAGCTGGCATGGCAAGCATTGAATTAAATGGTTGAAAGCAATAAATCAAGAGACTTCTGAATTACACTCAAGATACTTGGTATGTATAAAATTTTGGAAAAAATGTAGGATTGAAAACATTTTTTGTAAGTGCTGGCAATATTAGAAGTTGAGAAAGTATGACTAAGTGTGTCAACAAGAGGCAATCATGTTGTGCTCACGCAGGGGGAGAAGAGTGAGGGGGCTCTATAAATTATGGGAAGGGAGTGATGCAAGACTTAAATTCCACATAAAAACAGAGTCACATATATTTCACATGCTGACAACTTGATATACATAAGTACATGGCTAACCTACAGTCAGAATGCTTGTGAAACAGCAAACATGCAAAGGGAGTGATTTTTGTTCAGGAACAAATTAATTGTATTGGCAGTTTGGTGACAAGTTTATGTGCGAATTATTATAACATCACATTTGAATTAAACAGTAATGCTATTGAATATTTGTAGCCTCGTATACATGGAGATGCTGACTACAAGTTTATTATGTTAATATATAAAATCTATTAGCTAATTCAACCAAATATGCTAAATGACTGGCATGTTTGATGTGATGATTTCAGAATTTACGAGGAACGGCTACACTTGATATGTAAACAGTGCCTCAGCAAGTGTTTCTGTGAAAAGTATTCTATATAAAGTGCTGCAGTGAAGGGATACTTGCTCCCTGGTTGTTCATATATATATTGTAGCCATTTTTATGAAGTGTCAACTTTACATATTTCCTGTATCTATAAAATAATAATCTTGTGATCTTGCATTTGATAAAGCGCCTCATCAAGTATTCGAGACCTCTCAAAGCGCTTCACAGAATATTCTGTACAGTAAGTTGACGAAGTGTGGCAGCTAATTGAGCACAGCAGCGTCCCACAAACTGTCATGGATTGAGTGACCAAATTTTTTTTTAAGGGATTATTACCCCCCGGAAAAGTGATCCGCCGCTCGACTAACCGGGTTCCTACTTACTGCTACAGAGGCATGTGGAACAAGGAAGATCTCACCTGAATCTGCTCTAAGACATCTCGCTGCATTTCCAAGGCCATGTGATAAACATCATGGTCGGAGCTGTTGTACATGACTGCATTCTGGAACATCAGCATGATGTCCCGCTGGAACTCCGCTGTTGTACGAATTAGACCAGTTTCTATATTTTTCTTTATTGTAGATAAATCCATTGGTCTGAAAAAATGGTACGAAACACAGAGATTCCATCAATCCTCTTCATTGATTGTGAACATAAGAAATGCTAGACGAAAAAAGACCAAGGTCCATCTAGTTTGCCTTCTACCTTCCTGCCAGTCGCATGCACATAAAGAAATGACAAGATTCAATGTTCCACAGGTCATCATTTCTTACAGCAATATATTCAACTGATCTTATATCCACTATTATGTCCACATTACTTCACAAGTTAAAGTCTGTAAATTAGTCCCATAATCAGTGCATTCTTTTGTCAGAATATGTAGATTATTTTTCTGCAATTTTGTGGCTTTCAAAGACATCCACAATTTAGCTGAAATTCTGGTTGGGGTTACCCAGAGACTATGCCAGCACCAGGGATTTTTGCCATCATAAGCAGCACCTCACGTGCCATGTGCAATACTTACCAGAATTTTATTCTGTAAAACTGCATCCCAGTCATCCACAATTCTTGATTACCAATAACCTTATTTTATGTGTAGTCAAAACACTCAGAAGGGACAACCAAAACCCCATTTACAATTCAATACATTCAAAACACAATAAAAAAATTATGTTTACAAAACAAGTTCTGACATCAATGGTGAATGGCTCAGGGAAACTCCAGCACATCAAAGCTTTATTCTCAGTAATGTGAGGAAGGCAGTAAGAATTAGAAAGAATAAGGAGAGCAAGTGTATGTCGGATGGTAATATTTTAAAAGGAGTGGAAGAACAGGTGACCTAACATGTATGAATCCTTAAAGGTGGGAAAGCTGTCAAGAAAGCAAATGGAATCTTTGATTTTATAAATAGCTGTATAGAATATACAAGCAATGCTCCTCAAGATCCTCTCTCTTGTATTTAAATCCCTTCAAGCCCTGGGACCCTCCATCTCTCCAACCTCTTCTGTCCCTACATTACTACCCACTGCCTCCGCTCGACTGGCTCCGGCCTCCTCCTCCCTTCTTCTTTGACCGTGCCTGTGGTCACCTTCCCTCTCCCCCTGGCTCAGCATCCGCCACTGTTAAGTGCTCCGAGACACCGTCCTGCGCGAAGGCCGCTATATAAACGCAAGTTGTTGTTGGGTTGTTATCAGGATTCATGACTTTAAAAAAGGGCAAAATGTTTAAAGAACATCATTCTTTAAACAATATATTAAGGGACCTGATGGTGAGATTCTCCTCAATCCCCAGAATTTCTACAGTGATTGATGGTTGTCCAAGAAGCTGACCTGTGTACGATGCTGTGGTATCCGGGGGCAATGTCGTCTGTTACTGGCTGCAGGAACACGTTAGCGTATCTGAAAAAAATGCATGTTAAAAACTGTTGTAATAACACAAATTTTTTCAGCCTCACAATGTTGCAATATTTACAGTGGAAGCCGGTTGAGGCATTGGGGATGGACATTTTGCCTGACTTAAGGTATCCAAGGTTTAGCCAAAATACCATTCCCGCCCAGCAAGCGGATTCCACTGTATAAACTTATTCATTTAAAATCAACCTGATGCTGCGATGGGGCGATGGTAGGATGATGAGATCAGATGGGCTGAACAAAGGTCCTCCCTTCATCTGAACTAATTCTATGATCTTGTGATCTTTTAAGAACTACATTTATCATACCTGCTGACACGGCTGTAAAGTTCTGTAAACTTTTCGCCCAAAACTATAGTCAATTCACTTTACAGTATATTCTGTGAAGCGCTTTGAGACGTCCAGGAGATGTGATAAGGCATTGTATCAAATGCCTCCATTATTATTATGGTTACAAAATGTAACCCGCTCCCTCAAATGAGCCTCTTGCTTGCAATCACTCCCAGGCTGCCCTTCTCTGTGTATCAAGGAGGAATGCTGATACGGGGGAATGTTGAGAAAAGGAACCCCCACAAGAATAACTTGCTGTAGGTGGAACCTGACCTGTGATTGGCAGCTGCCCTCCACACCAACATGATGGCTTTCTTCCAGATCTTCTGGGCTTGAATGGCTTCCTGGTCTTCGCTGCAGACTGAACTGGAGAAACAGAGAAACTCAATGACTATTTTACACACTGAAGGTACAACACTTGTATACTGCCCTTCATGTCAGAAAGATGTCCTAGGGCGCTGGACAATCAGGGGTTTGGGACACAAGCTGGGAACAGGTTTGGAGGGCAGGTGGGGGGGGGGGGGGGTTACCCCTGAAATTGAATTTGTTGAACACATGCATATCTGTAATAAACTACTGGTAAACTTACAACTGTGAAGAGGCAGGGCTGCTGGGAATCGAATCAGCGAGGACTGAAGACTGCAAATGTGCATTGAGGATACTGCATCCATCATCACTCTCACTGACTGGTGGCTCATTGTCAGTTTCTGACATATAGACTTCACTTGGTTCCTCCTCCCTGGTCTCATCCATGCTGGCAGCTTCACTCGCTCCATCCTCTTCCTTAGGGATGTGCACCTCTTGGAGCTACAAAGAAAGGCATTTGTATCCATCACATGGTGTGACACGATTCTATCCATGGTGATTTGTAGCACAAATGCTCAAGTGTAAACGCCCCTCGCGCCCCCACCCCCATTACAGACTGTAGAATATAGACTAAATACAAGGAATCATTCTTTCCCATTTGATACTAAATTTACAAAGATCATTCTTACAGTGCGGAGGCCAGAATTGGACACAGTACTCCAAATGTGGTTTAACCAAGGTTTTGTGTAAACTGAACATCACTTTCTCACTTTTATATTCTGTCCCGCTCAGTGAACTCTGATCTGCTCCATGTCCCCCGCCTGGCCAGCCCCACCATCAGAGATCGGGCTTTCAGCCTCTCTGCCCCTACCCTTGAAACTCCATCCCACAGTCCCTTCACCTGGCCCTGTTGTTGCAGCCTTCAAGGCGCGACTCATGGCCCTCCTCTTTGACGGCGCCTTTGGTCACCCTCCTACCCCCACCCTCCCTGCCCTCCATCCCTCCTGATCCCAAACCCCAGCTCGGGTGCAAATCGCTCACTGTCCAGAACCTTGGCACATCCTCCCAACGGGAAAGGCGCTGTGTAAATGTAATTTGGTGTTGGTGGTAGTGGCCAATCTTTATGGTCAGCCAACAAAATACATTGATTCTTGATTGAAAATTTGATTTATATAGAAGAAAAAATGTGGTTTAAATTTCAGGGCAATGCGTCTCGTAAGATCAACAAACCCCCACCCCCCCCCACAACCACCTCTTCCCAAAAGGCAACAAACAAACCACTGATTCATTCAAATATCCACAACTGCAGTTAAATGCAGAATCTAAATTTGTGTTACCTTGGCCTGTCCCTTTGCAACCACCCCCAGCTCTTCCTTCGAGGCTTCTGAAGTTGAAAGAGGAAACAAGTTTTGAGTTTCATTTTGTCATTCAAATATTACTTTTTTTTAAAAAAATTCTGAAGAGTCCACAGCGATGTTATTGAAGTCTGAGGCAGGATGAAGTTTAGCACATAGCATAATAGCACAGCTAGAATGACTTCTTCTCAATATCAAACATTCACGACTGATTTACTAAACCCACTAGTATAAATGAGCATAGATCGACACGGATTCCTTACGCTAGGTATAGAAATTGCATTTAATATTGAAACATCAGTTAATACTTGACTGCTTCAAAACTGAATGTGATTTCTTCTTAATTACTTAAAGGTTATATGTCAAATAACTTTAAAATAAAGCTTTTAAACAGCAAAAAGTATAATATTCAGAAGAAAAGTAAGATAAACAGTGGGGAGGATGTAGCCAAGTGGATGTTGTCTATCCTGGAGATGAAGAAGTCCATGACGTGCTTGCACTTGTGTTTGAAGCAAGGATTGAGTGGGGGGGGCAGTTTATGCTTGTGTGAGGGAGAGGCGGTAGGTTCAAAGATGTTTGAGCCACATCCTGCAGTAAACCGTGAGACCGATTTTGTGCCATCTGCGCTCAAGAGCCCGGGTTTGGGATTTCAGAGAGCAGCGGTGGCTGTAACAAAGTCAGAAGGTTGGGGTGGTTTGACAGAAATCGGGGAAGCAATTTAAATGAAGATGTGATAAGGTGTTATATCAATGCAAGCATTATTATATATATATACAGTATATACATACACAAACACATAAAATAAATGCAAAAACAGCATTTTGCACCCTTGTAATTTCATTGTGAATACCATCTACTTATTATTACTGTTCCACTGACCCATAATTTCTGTCTGTACGACTTCATCTGAAGTACTTTGACTCCGTGCTATGCTCCTGTGAGAGGGCTGTCCCAGTTCTTCAGATGCACTTTTACTTTGTATCGCACTTCTGGGAAAGAGATGTTCGGATTCCTCCAAGGTGCTTTTGCTTTGTGCAATGTTCCTGGACAAATGATGATCTACAGAAAGTGCCTACAAAGCAAAGTGATAGCATTTAGCGAAACGGATCTGTAACTTCGCACATCGTGGGCTTCAGCGAAGTTCAATACTAACCCTTTGAGTGCAGCATGACTCCCGAGCTAGCACCAAGCAACAGCAATTTACAGCAGGAATTGCTGTCTGGGAGCCCGAGCTGAGGGTGGGGGGAGCTGAGGAGAGTGAGAGGGAAAGGCGACTGAAATTGCGGTCGAATAGATTGGTCTTATGACCGGTTTTAAAGATGGGGAAGGAAGGGGTGAGATGGTGGGAATCCAGGATGGAGTTCCAGAGAATGGGGCTGGTGAATTTGATCCACAGAAGGCAGAAAGCCAGTGCAGCCAAGTGAGAGGTATGTTCTCTCCTGCACCAGGTACAGACATGAATTACAGAGCTCTGGATGGTCCGCGTCTTGTGTCGGAAGAATCTGGGGAGTCAGGTGAGCAGAGCATTGGAAGGGTCAAGATTGGAGGTGATGAACAACAATAATATGTATGTATTTAGAGCCCTTCAGGTCACAAGGTTAGTTTTGTTCATCCTCCAGTGTCTTACCTGGGATTTTGGCCCCCGCTGTGTGGACTCCTCAGTTTTGACCACACTAACCACACGTTCTACCTGTTCTACATTTGAAATTTCATCCTCCCCCTCCTCCTCCACTCTCTCTGGCGGTTCTTGCTTGATTGTTATTTTCTTCTCAGCAATTGACTCAGCAAGCATCTGAGCTTCCTCCTTGGGCCTCAGGTCTGTCATCTGTGGCTTGATTTCCTCAGCCTCCTGCTTTATAGTGATCTCCGAAGACTCTGCTCGTAAGAAGGAGGTAGCACTCATGTCACTGATAGCAACCTGGTCTCGAATATTTGGGGGCAGCACAAGCTCCTTGGGTTCTTTGACCTAAAAAATAGCAGAAAAAGGTTCATCACCAGTATTTTTATCAAAAAAGCCTGTTTCACAACAAAAGTGGCATCTTCCTTTGGTCTCCTGACAGTCTTATAGCTGAGGAATACACATATAATGGAACAAAAGTAATTAAACAAAATGCAATACAAGCAAATACACCTGTCCTGACTCTATAATTCCTGACATAACTAACATCTGGCAAAATGCAACCCCAAAACAGTCCTGTATAACTAGTTGCTGATGATCATGATCACTTACACAAACCCATGCTGCAGCACAGTGAGACTCCAGCATTGACTCACTAAAAGGGCTATTTCGTTATCCAGAGCAGTGTCACTCACAAACCTCCCAAAAACCAGCCCAGGCAAAGGCCAAGCTCACTTGTCCACACTCTGATTCAAGAAAACAATGTGTGTGGGGGGGGGGGAAGGTAAAAGGGGGGAGAAATCTAAACAGCATTGGAAGATGAAAACTGGTTACCTTATCTTGAATGATTGCCAGGATGTCTGAGTTCTCCAGGCTGGGTACTCCACTGTCTACATGAACTTCCAGCTCTTTTGTTTGGTGATGATCTAGAATGCTTTCTCGTGGTCCTGTAACCTGCAGATTGCTTCCTGGTAGACACTTGCTTTCTCCGCAGTCTATTAACACAGAGTAGGTACTGAGATCTCCAGGCGTCGAGAGGGATGGCTGCTCCACACAGCTCTCTAACTGAACACAAATTGTGGGCTCTTCAACTACAAGAATAAAAAACAGAATTCAGTGATTTTCCAAAAGGAAACATACTTTCTTCAATGTTGACCACATATTCTGTAGACAAGGAACATTATACAATATGTCTTGATTATGTCAACACACATTCTGAGCCCTGAAATGCATTAATTGATAACAGAATAGTCGGGTTACTCAAGCAACAACAAAGCACTGGAATTTTAAAACAGGCAATCAGACTAAAATCTAGCTTGCTTGCTCAGTGTCAGTTTTGCTAAATCTGCTCAAAGGAGCAGTGTGCAGGAGGAGATACCTTCAGCTCACGTTGTGGAAGAAACTGGAAGAAATTGGAGAGAGCTTTGGCTTTGCACTGATCAAACACAAAAACACAACGGACTGCTGTCTTGGTGGCACCAATTTCTCTCAGCAAATATGTTCAAAAGTACGAGCTCAGCCCCAATAGGTGAGAAATAAAAACATGAAACAAAAAGCACGAGACAACCACAACGCAGCAAAGGAACATTCCTCCAGACTCTCTCTGGAAACGACCTTTCTGACACAAGAAAAAGAAACGGTTAGTTCCTTTGAAACTGATTTTCCAGTTTTATAACAGATTTTTGGGGGTGGGTCAGCCAGGTATCTGACACATGTGGAAACCCCATCATCATTTTTAAGAGTATCCAAACCATAGTGCTGAGTATCCTGCATATGTAGGAAATTTCTGTTTGTCTCGAATAGAGTGGAAACTTTCGCACTGCTCACCGAGCATTAGATGCAGGTTGGCAAGAGCCAAATCTTGGGGACCCCAGAATGGGCACTGAGGAAACGCTAACCTAGCCATTGTGAATACTGATTGGCAAGCTTCCAGCTCCTTGTACAGCTATTATTCTATTGCTCATTGGAGCTTTGGCTTGCGGGGTTATATGACCAACCAAATAATAATAGCAGCACACTTCCTATTGTTTTGAAGACTGTATAGCACCTTGCATCACAGTGACAATCCCACTGCAAAATTCACTCACAAGAAACTTTTGTACAAGAGCAAGTCTAAATAAAAATGAGAGAACGAAAACCTGCTGAATGTAAAAAAAAGGTACTGTTGTAACAATATTGTTTGCTTTTCTTTTCTCTCCATGTTATGTTCTTGTGCACCTCACCTTCTATAGCCAGAGGACACTGGAAAGCTGCTCAAAAGCCTCCATCAATGGCAATTTGTAACTAACCACAAAAGGTATAGAGACTGGTGACTCTCCCTTTACTTCACACCTGTTCTCCATTGGGCCACAATGGAAATTGGGAACATCATGTTGTTTATTGCAGATATGAACAATGACCTACCACTGCGTAGCACAGGCTATCGGGAGTTTAAGCACAGTGCAAGCATTTTGCTTTTTTATCAAGAACATTGTTATTAAGATGACAAAACAATGGCAACTGTCCTATTAAATTGTGACCTTACGCACCAATGTAAAATAATGGCTGACATTTGTCTTGCATTTTAATCCACACATTCCCTTTAATGCAGTTAAAGATTGTCCCAAAAAACAAAAGAGGGTAAAGAAACACCCACTAGAACCATAGAAATTTACGGCACAGAAGAAGGTAATTTAGCTCATTGTGTCTGTGCCAGCTCCCTCAAGCAATCCACTTGTCTGCCCTTTCCCTACACCTCTGATTCTTTTGAAGGTATTTTATCTTATTCCCTTTTGAAGGCCCTCTTGGCTGCATCTGTTAATACTCTTTAGACATCTGACTTTACTTAGCGGACATTTGATATGGTTCTCTGGATATATATGTGGACGGGGGACACATTAATATGACAGTGATCAAAGCACACGTGGGCAGTTTACTCATTTCAAATTATGTCTTTTTTAATAATGTTTTCTTTTGGTGCTTAAGAATAAGAGTTACAAATCTTTCAAATTTGGGACAGAACAATGCTGGGGCAAACACCAATTATGTATTTAAATATAATAATAATCCTTGCATGTGATGTAGCACCTTATATCGTTGAGATGTCTCAAAGCGCTTCACAGGATATACTGTAAAATGAATTTGACTGAATTTTGTGGGCAAAACACTAAATAGACACTAAAACCCTGGCTAACCAGGACAATAGGGCGGGGGGGATCTGGTCCGGTGGGCTGGAATTCCAGATCAGTGTAATTACAATGCCGGTGTCAGCATTTCCCAGCTTCAGTGCTGAAACCTGTCAGTACCAGATTGTAATTGTTTGAATCCTGTAAACAGAAGATAGTGAATAAGCTGGATTCAAACTGATTCAAGTGGATATCTCCTGTCACTGAAGGCAGTGAGCGCGGTGAAGCGGAGCTGGGCGCCAGGAGAGTGGGTGGCCAGAGTCCATATACCCATGGAAATTTGGTATGAATTCTGGATACCCAGAGTCCGGTAAGTTAATAATAATCTTTGCATTTGATATAGCGCTTTTCATGTCTTTGAAGCGTCTCAAAGGACTTCACAGAATATAATGTGAAGTGAATTGATTATATTTTGCGGGCAAACCGCGGCAGCAGTTGTGGGTTGAGTGACCAAGTTTTTTTCTTGAGGGATTATTATCAGGCGTGTGGAGTACGGAAACTCGTCCAAGGTTTCACCCTGGGTATCTCGCTTGCGAGGCGAGGGCTCTAAACACTGAGCTACAATAAACCTCCAAGTTGGGGGTTTACTGTATATGTACTCTGAACTACCTAAATATACAATGGATTCTAATCTCCAATTTTATATCCTCTGGAGGGGATAATCTTTCCATGTTTATGTGAAACACATGGGGAATTTTACCAAAATGTCAACTGTAAGATTTCAGTGCTGAGAAGATCTGGTCAATAATTGCTTTTAAATTTTACTCTAAAGTGCTTCGAAGATTTCTTAATTTATAAACATTGGCTTCATAATCACATCAAAATCTTTGGGGCAAATACATGGCAACGACAGCTTTATAAATTGGGAGTAGAATTGTCACCATCAGCACCTTCTGTGCTATAATCAACCACTGAGAGAATACTATAACTGGTAACAAGCAGAGTAACACCATCTCTTACTCCTGCCTTCAATACGGTCCACAGCCTTATGGATCTGTGAACTTGGTGAAAACTTACTCTTGATCAGGTTATGAAAGACATGTTGTCTGGTTGCTAGCCCTCTACAAGATCTTGACCAGAATAGTACAATAACAAGTTATACCACACCTCCATATTTATCTCAGAAATACTTTTGAACTTGTATGAAGCAGGTCAAATGCACCATTAACCATAATTTGCTAAACCAGTGGTGTTGAAGCCTACACCAAATTACAGGAAATCTACAGCTTACTCACTAATTTGATCAATTTGTCCAAGTCTTTTTGTGTTTCCAGCAATAACCAGAATCCAATCTGTAAGAAATCTGTTCTTGTTACACTATCCTCAGGCTGCATCCTGCTATCAACAATAACAATTTATATTTATACAACACCTTTCACATTGGGAGAACATTTCAAAGCATTTTACAAATTGAACAGAAGCTTGAACTGGAAGGGATAGTGGTCAAACACACAGTCAAAGAGTTAGGTCTTCAGACAGGATCTAAAGCAAAGCGAAAGAACGAGGTGGAGAGCTTTCAGATGAGAGTTCCAGGAGGGGGCAAAGGGACTGAAGATTTGCCCACAATTTTTTTGGACTGATACATTTTTTAAAAAAAAGTGATCTTTGACTACAAAGACTACAAAGTGATCTTTGACTTGTGGTCCCTGAAGGGGTCGTCATGGGGTTACTTCCTACATACTGCACACGGGTGCTACACGCAAGCTGTGCCATTTACGGCACTTCTGGCTCGTTGCTTGTAGGAAGTAACACGAGGACCCTGGTGACCATATAACCTGGAAGTCAGACATTTTTCTAGTTCAAACAATAGTAAAGTACATTGTTTAACAACGAGAATTCAAATTTCTTGATTTGGGGAAAAAAAGGAAAATCCATGAATATAGAATTAAAGCTGCCAAGCCTAAACACAAGTATTTGATCAGAATGCTCCTGGCATGAAGAAAACGTGTGGTATTCCTGATCAGTTAGTGGGGTCAACAGAGGCATAATTATAGTGAATGTAAAAGAGGATAACCTGAAAACAATATTACATAATTAACAAAAAAATCAGGTAGTTTAGCTAAACAGAAAAATAAAATGATAATCATTATGGATTTGATATGGCACCTTATTACATCATCAAGACGTCTCAAAACGTCTCACAGAATATACTGTAAAGTTGGATTGATTGTGTAAAGTTTTGTGGGCAAACATGGCAGCCAATTTGCGCACAGCAATGTCCTACAAACAGCAAATGCAGTGAGTAACCAATTTTATTTGGGGATTGTTGGCCAGGACAATATACAGTATATATATACAGTTACGAGTAATTTGAGACATGTCAAGTGTAGTATGCTTGGAAAAACTAGGCAAATAGGAAACAAAGCTTTCCACTGTGATGGTAGACTAATCCATACAGAATTAATTGCTATCAACATCTCCATTACTGTAGCATGCGACTACCAGGATGGTAGAAGGTGGACCAGATGGACCTGGGCCTTTTTTCGTCTAGCAATTCCTATATTCCTAGGAATACAGAAAAAAACTCCCTTCTCTTTTCAAACAATGTCATGGGATCTTTAACTGCCTCTGGTCAGGCAGACAGAACCTTGGTTTAACATCCCATTCGAAGGATGGCGTCTCCGAAAATGCGGCACTCCGGCCAGCAGTACCCTGGAGCGAAGGCCTATATTGGTTCGACCTCCCAAGGTGGGGCTTGAACCCATAACCTTCTGACTCAGAGGCAAGACTGCTACTGAATGAGCCAGGCTGACCCACAAAACAACACTACCTTTGTACTTGTCCACAACACGAAAAACAAAAGTGTTACACTTCCTTCTGTCATACAGTGGGATGTACTGCAGCAATTCCTAACTCCACATTTCAAATAGCAACCTCTTCTGTTAACCACAAGTACAGCAAGCCAATGTGCAGTTCCCTAGTTTTGTGGCAGAGCATGTTGGAACTGAGATTTGATGCACCATCTTTCTATTCCTCATTACTACAATATTTCATTGTTTTTTGGGGTTTCCAGCAGGATTATTCTTTGTAAAGCCCTGTTTAAGTTTGATTTATCATGGAGTGATGGGGGTCCTCTCAAGATAGTTTAAGTGTGTCACCAAAACTACCCTATTTAAAACAGCTAAAAGTGGGGGGGGGGGGGGGGAGAGGAGGAACGACTTAAAGTCAATAATAAATCCTCCAGATTAGGCTAATGTTGTATATTTGTGTTGTCTGCTTTCCTAAATGTTAAGGTAGTATTTTTTGTACCACCAGAGTTTAATTTGATGCTATCATTAAAGGATCTTCAGAAAACCTTTATGTGAATTCCCATCAGTTTGTCTAGAATATCCCTTCCATCCAGATTTAGAAGTTTGGGACAATCTTTAAAATGAACAGGATATGAGGTTACTCTAGGTTTGTGAGATCTGGCAGTGATAGGTTAGACCGCCTTATGACAGACCTGTCCCGCTGCTTTCCTGCGTCACTGTCACTGTGGAGGCTGAACACACCGGGTCAGCGAGAGTTTGCACAGGTTTATCTGGAGATGGCGGCTCAGTGCTGACAGCAGAGAAGGGAGCAAGAGGTGCAGTAAAGTGCGAGAAGCCGGCCTCCAAAAGCTTTGATAGAGTAGGGGCTCCTAACATAAAGTGCACAAAGAAACACACAAAGCTAATGCAGACAAGCAACAGGAGCCATTTTCAACACGCATTTTTTTTTATTCAGTTTTTCCTTATGCAGTTTGTGGTACTGCACATAGCATGAGTGACTAGATGTTTCTATCTGTGGTATCTCACATGATGACACATCTGATATTTCTCTGGTCACTGCACATTATGGGGAGTAACACATCCTACGTTTACACTATTCAACTAATAGCTGCTGATCCTGCTGAGAACGACTTTTTAAAACAATTCTGCATTTTGTAGTACGACTCCCGATGAAAACCAAACCTAGAACAATGTGCCAAGGTGTTTAAGTCTTTTATATTCAGGAGAGCAACTAGACTTTAAACTGCCTGTGGCAACATGCACAATGAGTGTGACTAGTCCGATCCCCAGCTATAGTAGCACGATGGAAGTGACTAAATCTACCCATACCTTACCCTACCCGTCTATGGTGCAAACTGGATAACAACTAGACATATCCTTTGTGGTACTGTACATAGCAGGAGTGACTTGATGTATCCATCTGCGGTACCCCACACAATGACACATCCGATATTTCTCTGGTCACTGCACATTATGATAATTAATACATCCAACCTTTACACTGTCCACGACAAAACTATGCCAAATTGTAATTCTTTTTCCATTTGGGAATAAGAACAATTTTAGTGGCAAGACTTAATGAGAAGTGCACCCTTATTCCCATTTTGTCAAAGATACTCCGTGCATTATTAAAAAGGATAAAGAAAAGATTAACACTGGACATGGCTTTTGGAATTAAAACAAAGGGTTAATATTCCCCAAAATAATAGAGATTATAATAATAATCCTTGCATCTGATATAGTGCCGTATCGCGTCTTTGAGACGTCTCAAAGCGCTTCACAGACTATACAATAAAGTGAATTGATGGTTTATTATGCAGCCATTTGCATTCCAGATTTAAACACAGAGAAACAAATTGCAGTCGAATTAATCCAATCTACTCAATCATAAACCTGAACAGTTCAGGTAATAGAGAATCGGTTACACCTGTTCTGTATATTTGCTATGAAGATCTGATCTGTAAACTTCCTGAGTTAAAACCAAACAAAGGGTACCAAATGCTGTCTTTAGTAAGCAACTTTGGCTTCACTTCAAGCAATAAAGAAAACTAAAGTCACCTTTCATTTTGTTTTTGCAGTTGTCTATTCAAAATGCAGATAAGAGGTCTGTCACATTGATAACAGAAAAGTGCCCAAATTCCTGGGCACAGTGCTGGATAATATCTCTCTTCTCACAAGGATCATCAGCTTGAAGTACTGAATGGAGATTCGGAGTTTGCCCAGAGCTATTCACGTCTACCTCTGAGCAACTGGTTCAAGAGAGACATGAGAGAAGGTAGCCAAGGCCACTCTCTGACAGAAGGGCATGTGCTTTCTAATATGTAAAGGAAAACAGAACACCAGATGGCAAAAACTGCAGGATATGCAAAACATGACAAATAGAATGAATAAATCCTTGCATTCGATATAATGCCTCATCACATCATCAAACACCTTAAAGCACTTCGCAGGATTTACTGCAAAGTACAGTGAGAGTGTATTTGTAAAGAAAGATTTGTTGTGAAGCCAAAGGAAACCCAACAAAAATAGATCCTCACAAATATAACAATAAGTCAGATATTGCACACATGCCACACTTAAAGATATCAGCTACATCACATCACAAATGTCCTCCTAACATAGTGAACATTATCATTTTAATTAAATTAAATAGTGACAGAAAACCAAGCTAGTTACAAGAGGATTCAAAATTAGAGTTCAGAACCACTAAAACTATTTTACTGGTTTCCTTAATTTTCATTTCAACCAAAATGCCAGTTTTCCGTTATATTTGTATAACTTGGTAAAGCTAATAAATTGATTCCTTTTTTGATGGCACTACAGAATTGGAGGACAAAACAGTCATACTGCTCAGTGAAATAATAAGACACAAATTAAGAAAATCATAAGAGCGTGATATTGAAGCACATCAGTGAGAATGTTAGACATAAATCTTAGCAAATAGTCACAAAACAGTTTGGGATTTATATTTTGAGGGAGCGTCTTGCATAATGAGGTACAAACACACAAGTTGGTTTTTAAATCAATCGCTTCAAAAAACATTTTCTCCATCTCTTTAGGTCATCTAACGTAAAGTTGAACAAGTTACTGGTATCTCTCATCAGGGACAGAGTGACGGAGCACTTGGACAAATATGAGCTAATCAAAGAGAGTCAGCATTGATTTGTGAAGGGTAGGTCATATCCTGGGCCTATAGAAAAGTGCGTCCGCAATTTTTCCGCAGATCCCACTATAAACAGCTTCCTGCACTGAAAGCAACACTGCCAGCTGTTTACCCGTCACTCTGGGTGGAGTGGCTCTGGACATACATACGGAGTGCAGCTCGAGCGGGAAATGGGCATCGCTATGTGTTTGTGTGTATGCGTGTCTCTCTCCTCTGTATGTGGGTGTATAGGAGTGTCTCTCTTCTACGTGTGTGCTTATGAGTGTCTGTGTGAATGTGCCCGTGTGTCTCTCCTTTATCTGTATGTGTATGTGTCTCTCTATCCGTGAGTGTGTGACTCTCTCTGTGTCACTGAGTGTGGTGGTGGGCCCTGAGAGGCAGGAGGAGGTCAGGACACTGACAAGCTTGGTGAGCAATGCTGTATTTTGGGGGATCTCCAGGCCCTTAACTGGTGTCCCTGTCTCTGTCTGCCCTCCCCCCTCCCCCCAGTGGGCCACCCAGCTTTTATTTAAGAAAGCATTCATAATTTTTTTTGCAACAATCTAATTTGATAGTTCTTCATGTTTATTTTTTTCCAGCGCCCTGGGACGTCCTCCTGACGTGAAAGAAGTTATAAAATGTAATTTTCTATTGTTGTTATCAATAAAGTGAAATGTAGATTGGCAGTAAAATGTATCTCAATAACACCAATCAACCCCTCATAATTTCCCACAAAGCTGGTCAAAATTCCCCGCAATTTTCGGCAACGATTTCCACAATTTTCTAATGGCCTTGGACATGTCCGGTGACTCTAATTGAAATTTTGAGAAGGTCACTAACACAGTGGAAAAGAAAGTGTCTATGGATGTCGTCCACATCGACTTTCAGAAGGCATCTGATAAGGTTCCGCAGAAGAGGTTGTTAGCAAAAACGAAAGGGCATGGATTCAGAGGTAACCTTGTGACGTGGCTTGTAATTAGTCGAGAGGCAGGAAACAGAGTGTTGGGATAAAGGGAACGTTTCTCCGATTGGAGGGACGTGACAAGCGGTGTTCCCTAGGGGTCTGTACTGGGGCCTCAGCTTTTCACCATACATATATATAATCCAAATTTGCAGATGACACAAAGGAGGCTCACTGAGTTGTGTAGATGGGAGCAGGAAGTTATAAAGGGGCTTAGACCGAATAAGTGAGTGGGCACACTGTGGCAGATGAATTTCAATGGAGTTTCAAGACTGAGGTGGATAGATTTTTTGTTAGGTCAGGGTATCTAGGGATATTGGGCAAGGGCAGGTAATTGGAGTTGAGGTAATTGGAGTTGAGGTACAGATCAGCCATGATCTAATAGAATGGCAAAACAGGCTTGAGGGGTTGATTGACCTACTCCTATTCCTACGTAACAGCTATAATGAGAGCTCATCGCCCAACAATAACCGTATTAAAAGCATCATATCCCATCTGTCTCTAAAGTCACATTGTGCTGCCAATGAGAGAACAACAGTAATTAATAGTAACAAATCACTGATGACGATTCCTCTGCATTATCAAAATCATGAGACCATTTGCAACAAAGAGAATTATCACTCCTGGCAATATTGTCCTTACAAATGTTATCTAATTTTATATATATATGTATATGTATATATATATATAAAAAAAGTAAAAGCATTACCTGTCGCTGCAGGTGAAACTGAGATACTCGTGCCAGAAAGCTGCAGTTCTGGAACGTGGAGAGTCGATACACCTGTTCCCATTTCAACAGGAAAACCGGAACCAACAACATGACTGGTGGTCAGCTGAAGATCGCTTTCACTGACCTGAAAATGGTGGGGGGAGGAGAGAGAAGAGGATATAGGGAAAAACAGAGTGCCTATTAGTGCTATCAACTATAATTCGCATTTATATAGCGTCCTTCACATGGGGTAGCTTCCCGGATCGCTGATGAGCAAGCAACTGAACACTAGCCTCATTCGATTGATTTTCATTTTATATAAAGTATTTCCTAGTTTCAGTATTAGAAAGGGAGGTATGATCAATGTGTTGTTGTAGCAAAGTGTTATTTGGTTTCTGTGCTTACAAGAGTCATAAAACAATGTGCATATCACAGAAAACAGTGACAGTGAGAAGATATGGTACTTGCCACAGGATTAACTTTACGATTGGTTACTTACAAGCCTGGGGCTGGTAGGCAGGAGGTTGCCTTTTTTCAAGAGCTCTGATAACAGCGGGGAGGGTGGAGGTGTGGCCTTCTGCCCCAGTAACTTTTTCTGGGGCGAGTCCTCCAGAACTGGAGTCGCAGGGGTTTCAAGGCCAGTGCAGGTGACAGGAGGTCCAGGGATCTCAGGGGCTGAGATCAGGGGAATGATAGGAGCGCTTGCAATATTCATTGACACCAGCTGCACAAAGAAAGAAAACTCTTATAAGCCATTCTAAATAAGCAGCAAATTTACATACACCAGTACATAAGACTAATCTCCAGGACAAGTACATCTGCAGACTTATAGGCATTATTAAGGGGTATTGACAGGCAGGGAACAACGAAGGGAAAGTTGCCTCAATGATATCAGATATTAGTAAGTACCCTGCAAATGCATTTCGGTGACTTCTATGTACATTCTAACATGGTGGTTGAGATCGAACTAAATACTCGCAGAAGTCGCTGGGAACACTCAGCAGGTATTTTGCGTTTATGTAGAGCCCTGTGTTGGAAGGGCTTAGAAAATAAAATCCATAAAATGGCGAGATACACTGATTTATTGTGCATATGTGCAGCCAGGTGTCCGGCTGCCCCCCCCCCCCACAACCCTGGGGACGTCCAGCGCCCCCCACTGATTGACCAGCCTCCAGCTACATCCTGGAGCCCCTGGTGGCTAAATTGAGCCGCTCAAGACACAGAAGGCCCGAGTGAGTCCATTCAGCGCAGCATTTTGCCCGGATTAACTGGATTTTCGAGACATCTCAAATATGCATCATTAGTCTCATTAGCTTTCAGTTCATTGTTCACTATTTCTGTGACGATTCAATACTCTCTTGCAGCACAGATTAGGATCTGAATCTCAATTGAATCATCCCAAGGACTCAATATATTCTGTGTTTTCTGTATACTTACCTGCCCGTACCCTCCGTTCCTCTGGCTCTGGTCTGCTCCACATCCCCCGCCCCAACCGCCCTACCATCGGTGGCCGGGCCTTCAGCCTCTCAGCCCCGAGGCTCTGGAACTCCATCCCCCAGTGCCTTCGCCGCTTCCTCCCTTTCCTCCTTCAAGACCGGTCTCAAGACCTTTCTCTTTGACCGTGCCTTCAGCTCCCCTCTCAACTCTCTAACCCCTCCTCCTTCCCTCCCCTCACCCTGACCATTTCCCCCCTGCTCGGGTCCTGACCCAACTGTCCAGCGCCTTGGGACGTCCTCCCGACGTGAAAGGCGCTCTATAAATGGAATCTTGTTGTTGTTGTTTCAGCAAAAATATCAAACTGAACAAGCATCCCAGAGGAAAGGTAATCTCATACATACACTTGTATGGCTCTCCTGACTCGCCTGTGCTGTGTCTGCCACAGAGTAATCCATTCCGGGTGAGCTCGATTCCAAGGAGGAACGGATGGTCAGGCTCACTCTTTTAGGAGTATTTTTAGCTGCTTGCCGTGCTGGAAGAAAAAGTATTTTCACAAGAAAGTATATTATTAAACTTTCTTAATATGGGATCCTTGGCTTTATAAATACAGGTATGGTGTACAAAAGCAAGGAAGTTCTGCTAAACCTTTATAAGTCACTGGTTAGGCCTCAGCTGGAGTATTGTGTCCAATTCTGGGCACTGCACTTTAGGAAGGATATCAAGGCCTTGGAGAGGGTGCAGAGATTTACCAGAATGGTACCAGAGATAAGAGACTTTAGTTATATGGAGAGACTAGTATTGGGATTGATGGGATTGTTCTCCTTGGAGCAGAGAAGGTTAAGGGGAGATTTAATAGAGGTGTTCAAAATTATTAGGGGTTTCGATAAGAGTAGAGAAGAAGAAACTGTTTCCACTGTCGGGTGGGTTGGTAACCAGGGGACATAGATTCAAGATAATTAGCAAAAGAACCAGAGGGGAGATGAGTAGAATTTCTTTTTATTTACACAGAGAGTTGTTACGGTCTGGATGAAAAGGTGGTGGAAACTGATTCAATAAAAACTTTCAAAAGGGAATTGGATAGGTACTTAAAAAGGAAAGAGCGGGGAGTGGGACTGATTGGGTAGCTCTTCCAAAGTGCCGGCACAGGCAATGATGGGCCGAATGGCCTCCTTCTGTGCTGTAATATTCTTTGATTTTCAAAACAAATATACAACAACTTGTAGATATTTAGAAATACAAATAGCTAATTATAATATGCATACATTTCTGCTTGTCCACAACGCCTGGCCTGCTAACCCAAGTTCACTGTCACTCTCACGCCATACTACGTGGGAGTGGGTATGTTTGGTGACACAAGAAAATATTACGAACAGATATATGAATAACTTTTTTAAACAAATGTGACCATCAGTTCTGAAAGAGAAAGGAACACCCACAAGGAATAGAACTATTAGCCCCTGTAGCTCAAAAGTGATGTTCATCTTGCAATACATGACAAAGCTACATAGGCTAGGAATGGCCCATGTTTCATCCTAGTTCTTTACTAAATTACCTAATCCCTCTCTGGATTTTGTTGTGAAAGCACACAATTGGCTTCACTGATCCTGAACTTTGTGTTCTTGAGGGACCTTCATAGTAATATGATGCGTTGACCAGCCTGGCTGACTGATCAATTTTATCTTGGCTTGGGTGTAGAATGCTTATAGGAATAGCTCAATGGAGCAGTGTAGTGCACATGCAACAACAACAACTTGGATTTATACAGCGCCCTCCATGCCGGATGGCATCTCAGAGCGCATCACAGTAACAGATCCCGGGGCCGAGCCAGGGGGAGGGGAAGGAAAGTGACCAAAGGTGCGGTCGAAAAGAAAGGTCTTCAGCCGAGACCTGAAAATAGGAAGAGAGGGGGCGAGGCGAAGGAAGTGAGCTCCAGAGCCTCGGGGCATAGTGGCTGAAGGCACGGCCGCCGAGGGTGGAGCGGAGGACTCAGGGGACAAGGAGGAGGCCAGACCTGGAGGAACGAAGGCAATAGGCACTGTTTTGAGGAGAGAGGTCAGAGAGGACGGGGGGTGCAGAGGAGTGGAGAGATTTGAAGACAAGGGTGAGGATCTTGAAGTTGATCCTCTCTGGGACAGGCAGCCAGTGCAGTCTGGCAAGGGCTGGGGTGATTGGGGAGCGGAGTTTGGTGCGGGTGAGAATGTGGGCGGCAGGGTTTTGTATAATTTGGATTTTATGGATGGTAGTGGAGGAGAGACAGACGAGGAGGGCATTAGAGTAGTCCAGCCGAGAGGGGACAAAGGCATAGACCAGGGTTTCAGCGGCTTTTGGAGGGAGGTATTGGCGGAGACGGGCGATGTGTCGGAGGTGGAAGAAAGCGTTGCTGGTGAGGGACCGGATGTAGGGGAGGAAGGATAATTGGGGGTTGAACCTGATGCCTAGGTTGCGTACGGGTTCAGAGAGTTTTAGGGGGAGGTCGGGTACGTGGAGGAGTTGAGAACCGTGAGATTTTAGACGTTGACGAGAGCCAAAGAGTATGGCTTCCGTCTTGTCAACATTCAGCTGAAGGAAATTTGCGCTCATCCAGGCCCTGAGATCTGACAGGCAGCTGACGAACATCAGAGGACTGGGGGTCGCAAAGAGAGTTGAAAAATAGAGTTGGGTGTCATCTCCATAGTGTACCCCACGTCTGCAGATGACATCCCCAAGAGGGAGCATGTAGATCAGAAAGAGGAGGGGGCCAAGGATGGATCCTTGGGGTACCCCGCAGGTAAACGGTGAGAACGGGAGGAGAAGCCGTTTATGCAGATGTACTGCTGGTGGTTCGTGAGGTAGGACTCGAACCAGGCGAGTGTGGTCCCACTGAGGTGGATGACAAGAGGAAAGGTGGTGGAGGAGAATGGCGTGATCAACTGTGTCGAACGCAGTGGAGAGGTCCAGGAGGACAAGGAGGCAGAGGGAGCCCTGGTCAAGATAGGGAGGATATGTCATTTGTGACTTTCACAAGCGCAGTCTCTGCACTGTGGGCAGGGCAGACTGGAGGGGTTCAAAGACAGAGTGGGAGGAGATGTGCGCGAAGTTGATTTGCAAAGAGTTCTAGGACTTTTGTGAGGAAGGGCAGGTTAGAAATAGGGTGGTAGTGTCTGGGGTTTGAGGGATCTAGGGAAGGTTTTTTGAGGAGGGGGGTGATGACAGCAGTTTTGAGGGGGCAGGGACTGATCCGGAGAGGGACTGATTGATGACATTAGCCAGTAGTGGTCAGGGGAGGGGGAGCTGGGTGACCAGCAAGTTGGGGGTCGAGACAGAAGGTGGTGGCTTTCATTGTAACATAAGTAACTACTGTTGTTATTCTGAGTTAGACATGATGGCCCAGGCCGAGACTGCGGGCACTCAAGGCAGAATAGGAACAGTGGTAGCAGCTGCAGTCAGTCATGGAAATATTAATTTACGAAGGGTTCGTACCTTGATAGGCACTTTCTGTTGCTCGTTTTTTCACTTCAGCCTCTTCCTCCTCTCGTTTCTTCTTCCTGCAAAGAAAGAACTAATAGTTCCGAGTCTAGTTTAAAAACAACATGCATTTATATAGTGTCTCGCAGCACTAAACAATGGTGGAGTTTGACGCCGAGCCGGGGGGAAAGGATCGGTGAGCAGAGGGCACAGTCAAATAGGAAGTCTTCAGATGCAATTTGAAGATAGTCAAAGAGGGGGTGGGATTAATGCAAGGAGTGCCAGAGGTTGGGGGGTGTAGTGGTGAAAGCACCGCTGCCGATGGCAGAGTGGTCGAGGGGTATGCAGTATCCACAAGCCAGCTGACCAAAGGGGGCATGTAGTGTCGACAGGTTGGAGAGGTAGGGAGCCGATAGGATATGAAATGCTTTGAAGGTGAATCGTGAAATCGATCCGTTCTGCGACAGGTGGAGCCTCATAAGGACTGGGTGATGGGTATGTGGAGTTTGGGACAGGTGCGGAAATGGGTGGGGGACTTTTGAATCAGATCGACTTTGGGAATTATGGAGTTGGGAAGAAAAGCGAGCGGGTGTTGGGAGAAACCAAGGTGGAAGGTGACGAAACACAGAAAAACTGCCGTCTATGTGGGAGGCTGTCAGACAGAAACACAAATATTCAGAGACTTTAGTTAACTATTAAATTGTAAAATTGAAAATGGTTAACTGTTTCTCTTCATAAAACTTACGCAGCAATGTCATTCCAAGTTTCCTGAAGTTTACTGTCCAACTGACCAGCCTGGATCAGCTCAGCTTCTTTCTTGACCCTTCTATAAAAATACACATAAAAATCAGTTAAAACTCCTCAGCTCACCGACTACATTAATACTCTCAACAGGTACCACATGCCTCAACAACCTTTTCACCCTTTCCGTTTACTCAATAGTAATACTTGCATTTGATAGAGCACCTTATCACGTCTTCAAGAGTTTCAAAGAACTTCAGAGTATACTGTAAAGTGAACTGACTGTATATTTTGTGGGCGAAACACGACAGCGAATTGCACACAGCAGTGTCCCACATACAGTACATTAAAATATAATCCAGAAGTATGGCCCTATATTAAGATGGGGTTTGTAAAGGATGACATGACCAATACAGCTCCGGTGTGGGAGTGCAATAGAGTGGGTAGCATCTCAGAGCACCACAATGTTTCTCCCCCATTTGAACAAGTTCATTTATTTGCCTTTGGTGGGAAAATTATTATAAATAAATCCTAACCTATATTTCTCCTGAGTCTCTTTGATAAGTTTCTTCAATTCGTCGATCCTCTCAGCAGTGAGGTTACGAACAATTACATCTTCCACGGTTTCCACAACTTCTCCTTTCTCACCGCGCTTACGTCTGCAAAGAGAATGGTGGAGATCTTCACAATCAGTAAGCACACGCTTTCGAGACTTTCTGTTCGGTAAATACTATAAAAGTAAAAATATCTATAAAGATCAAAAATCATTTGAATACTCACTTGGGAGTCTCCGTAGTTTCCAGCAGCTCTGAATACTGTGACGCACAATGCTAGAAGCAACGGCACAAGCTATTAACATTGGAACAAGTACAACATGAATAACAGGTAGAGTGCATTCCAGGAAAAACAACATGCAGTGTTGTCCTGCAATATCCTGTATTATGAACTTCTTATAACAGCGCTTCTCGCTTCTGGGGTTGGTGATGACATTGCAGAGCCTCGATACACTTGCATGACATAAGTAGCAAGCTTTCCACACTCACTTCTAGTAAACTGCAGTCCATCATCTTACTAATTATGGCTCGTGTGTGTTACAGTGGGGTTGAACTAAAAATGAAAACGATTCTTGTGGCAGGAAATAAAATTTAGTTGTGGCCAACATATATTCTTTGTCGCTAATTTATGCCAAACAATATTCAGCTCCAACTCTTAAAACCAAAGCAATGCTTAAAACCACATTTGTATTAAAACTAATAAACTGCAGTACCAAAATGTGATGTCAAATTACAGAACCAGTTAAATATTAAAGACTTGCCTTCTGTGAAAACCAGTCTGGTGGGCGCCCAGATTCTGCAAAAGGTTTGATTGCCCTGCTGACTGAAACCCTGTCAAAAAAAAAATGTCTTGAAGCTTCACACGAATCTCACACAAAACAAGCTTTCCAATATTTTGCTCACATTTCTGTGGTTAGCAAGACAAGGCAATTTAGTTTTGGGGAAACAGGAACACTAATCCATTTCAGGCAGCCAGTGTCAAAAACAAAGATTGAAGGATAGACTAAGATAGATCCTTCCAGATCTTAAAATGGCTTTTATTCAACTTTTATTTTGTTCTAGATAGATGGTGTCCTGTCCAACAATCGCCCAAATAAAATTGGTCACTCCATGACTATTTGTGAACAGTAGATCTTGTGAAGCGCTTTGAAACGTCTTGATGACATAATAAGGCGCTATATCAAATGCAAGGATTGTTATTATTATAAGCAATTACTTAGGAGTTTGACACACTGACACAGACTTTTAAGCATCAAAAACTGATTACATTAGGTACCTGATGTGACAACCCTTGTTCAATTTTCGTTTCAATTTTTGTGGAATCTACAACAGGAAATCTTAGTTGTATTCCACACATTAGTTAAACTTTAAATTAGACGTCTTAGCTAAATAAATGTCTTGTTGAAAATATGTGCAGTATTAGTACCCATTTGTCACATTAATATAGTTACCAGTTTTGATCTCCACTCCGCATCACTGAAGACGCCAGACACAGTTTCTCTCGGACAGACCATGGCTCTGTGGGACCTGTACTCAACAATTTGTGCTCTTGGAAAGGAATGGTGAAGCAGTTATTACACGAGCAAAAGCCTCTCACTGGCTTCTTTCAGGCAAGTATTTAGCAATTTACACACTTACTGATCTAGTAACATTTGTAACATTGATTACATCATTTGTGACAGCTTAATGTTTACTATATGTCCTTAACCTTAATTGCATAAGTAGAAATTATTCGCGCAATTTTACGTAATATCCTATAATGCAGTGTAGAGTGGTTAGCGCGCTCGCCTCGCAAGCTAGAAGACCCGGTTCAATTCCCTGGCAGGGCGAAACATTGGGCAAATTTCCTTACTCCACACACCTCTATTTACCTAGCAGGTAGTAGCAGTAAGTTAGTCGATTGGCAGATCGCTTTCCTGGGATAACAATCCCTCAATAAAAATAATCCCTCAATAATAATTGACTGCAGCAATTCACCCACAAAATATACATTCAATTCACTTTACCATATATTCTGTGAAGCTCTTTGAGATGTCTCAACTGCATGATAAAGTGCTATAGAATGTATTAGGGATAATTATCCAGATTAGTATGCCGAGCAGCCAACCAGGGAACAGGCCATATTAGACCTTGTTTTGTGTAATGAAGCAGAGCTGATCAGCAAACTGGAACTTAAGCCTCTAGGGCAAAGTGATCATAATATGATGGAATTTAGCATCAAGTTCAAGAGAGAAGTAGTTAAGTCCGAAGCAAAGGTCTTAAATTTAAGTAGAGCTAACTTTGCTGGCATGAGAGAGGATTTAGCTAAAATAAACTGGAAAATTAGACTAAGGATTTGACAGTAGACCAGCAATGGCAGACGTTTAAGGAGACAGTGCAAAATTCCCAGCGAGCACATATTCCTTTGAAGAAAAGAATGCCACCGGAAAGGTGGCAAACTAGAGCAGTTAGGGAAAGTATAAAGTTAAAGGAAGAAGCCTATAAAACAGCTAAAATGAGGAGTAAACCCGAGGATTAGGAGAACTTTAGGGATCAACAAAGGAGAACAAAAAAAGTGATTAAGAGGGAGAAAATAGAATATGAGAGCTAACTAGCGAGGAACATAAAAACAGACTGCAAGAGTTTTTACAAATATATAAAGAGGAAGAGGCTGTCAAAGGTAAATGTGGGTCCGTTAGAGGCAGAGACGGGGGAATTATAGTAGGGGACAAAGACATGGCAGAGTCATTAAACAAGTACTTTGCTACTGTCTTCACCTTAGAAGACACTGAAAACCTACCAAGAATAGAGGGGAACCAAGAAGACAATATTAGCGATCAACTTGGGGAAATTAATATTAGTAAAGAAATGGTTTTAGGTAAATTGTCAGATCTTAAAACTGATAAATCTCCTGGACCTGATGGCCTACATCGTAGGGTTTTAAAAGAGGTGGCTACTGAGATAGTGGATGGCTTGTCTTTGATCTTCCAAAATTTTCTGGATTCTGGAACAGTTCCCATTGATTGGAAGATTGCAAATATAACACCACTATTTAAGAAGGGTGGGAGAGAAAAGATGGGGAACTATAGACCAGTTAGTGGTTGGGAAAATTCTTGAGTCCTTAATTAAAGATGTCGTTATGGGATTCCTGGAAGACCATAACAAGATTAGGCAGAGTCAACATCTCGAATTGGCAGGAGATGTGACTAGTGGAGTGCCACAAGGATCAGTGTTTGGGCCTCAGCTATTTACAATTTACATCAATGATCTAGATGAGGACATTGAATATAATGTATCTAAATTCGCGGATGACACTAAACTCGATGGGAGAGTAAGCTCCGAGGACGATGCAAAAAGATTGCAACGGGATATAGATAGGCTCGGGGAGTGGGCGAGTAGGTGGCAGATGGAATTTAAGGTGGGGAAGTGTGAAGTTATTCACCTAGGTAGCAAAAATAGAAAAACAGATTATTTTCTAGAGGGGGAAAGATTAGATAGTGTTAGTGTTCAGAGGGATTTGGGTGTCCTTATACACCAGTCTCAAAAAGTTAGTTTGCAGCAAGCAACTAAAAAAGCGAACGGCTGTTAGCGTTCATTGCAAAAGGTTTAGAGTACAGGAGTAGGGAAGTGTTGCTGCAACTGTATAGGGCCTTGGTGAGACCGCACCTGGAGTATTGTGTGCAGTTTTGGTCTCCTTATTTAAAAAAGGACATACTTGCCTTAAAGGGGATGCAGCGTAGGTTAGTTCCTGGGACGAGGGGACTGACCTATGAGGATAGGCTGAATAAACCAGGGCTATATTCTCTAGAGTACAGAAGAATTAGGGGAGATCTTATTGAAACATATAAGATTCATAAAGGGCTGATAAAGCAGACACTGAGGGACTGTTTCCCCTGGTAGGAGAATCTATAACCAGGGGTCACAGTCTTAAAATTAAGGGTCAGAGTTGAGGAAACATTTCTTCACTCAGAGGGTAGTGAATTTATGAAATTATGAATTTCATAAATTCAGAAGGCTGTAGATACTCAGTCCTTGAACATTTTCAAAGCTGAGACTGATAGATTTTTTAAAAATAGAGGGATTAGGGGATATGGGGATAGGGCAGGTAATTAGAGTTAGGTCAGAAGATCAGCCATGATCTTATCGAATGGCGGGGCAGGGCACGAGGGGCCGAATGGCCTACTCCTGCTCCTAATTCTTATGTTCTTATATCAAATGCAAGGATTATTATTATACTGTATTACTTTTTTATTGTTACCAAAAATATCATACAGAATACTGAGTGAATATTGAAATAAATCATTTACAAAAAAACATTTTACAGGAATCTTTGCAATTATAAATGATATGTTTTTTGTTTGGTCAGCCGGTTGTCTGACACGTGCTGAAACTCATCACCATGCTTTAAGAGTATCCAAATCAGATTGAATTCAATATGTGTCATTGACACACGAAAATTTCCCTTCCTAAAATGTGCATACTCTCCTTGGTGGTAATCAGCTTGCTTACCTAATTCTTGAGAGTAATAGGTGCAGGTTGGCAAGAGTGAAGGTTGGAGACCGCAGAATGTATGCTGTGCTACAGCTGCAGTTTAACCGGTTCAGCTCGAAGGACATCCCACTTACCTCTCTCCGCAAGGAAAGGTCAATCATATTACAAATTCATAGAATTATATTGAATGCCATGGCACAGAAGCAGGCCATTCGCCTGACCTAGTCCATTTATTTCCTTCTATTCAAGCGCTCTGAGACACCGTCCGGCATGGAGGGCACTATATAAATCCAAGTTGTTGTATTCCATTGCCCCTCATTTCCTCTTAAACACACTGATACAATTTCTTCAACTACAGCTTCCAACAGTGAGTTCCACATTCTCACCACCCTCTATGTGAAGAAGTTCCAAATAAACAACCTTTTTAGATCTGCTACTGGATAGTTTGTTTTAAACTCATCAACAAGTGGTGTTCTCATCCACCTTATCAAAACTTTTCATAATCTGCGCTTTTAGATTGATTACCAAGGCATCCCAAGAGAAGTTCCAATGAAGACCCTATGGCCCATTTAATTCCATCTTCCAGAATGCCCATGCTTTCATCACGAGGTCAAGCTGTTCAACATGGCTTTACAAAAGGGAAGTCATGTTTGACAAATCTCATAGAGTTTTTTGAGGACATTTCCAGTAAACTAGATAAGGGAGAATCAGTGGATGTGGTCTATTTGGACTTCCAGAAGGCATTCGATAAGGTGCCGCACAAAAGGTTAGTCCAAAAGATAGGGGCCCATGGAATCGGGGGGAGCATATTAACGTGGATTGAGGAATGGTTAACGGGTAGGAAACAAAGAGTAGGGATAAACGGGTCCTTTTAGATTGGTGGGGTGTGACTAGTGGAGTGCCACAAGGATCAGTCTTTGGGCCTCAGCTATTTACCATCTACATCAACGATCTAGATGAGGACATCGAAGTTAATATATCTAAATTCGCGGATGACACAAAACTAGGAGGAAGTGTCAACACAGAGGACGACATTAAAAAAATGCAGCGAAACATAGATAGGTTAGGTGATTGGGCAGGTAGGTGGCCGATGACGTATAATGTAGGGAAGTGCAAAGTCATCCACCTCGGGAGCAAAAACAGTAGAGCGGGTTATTTTTTTAGGAGAGAGATTGGAATGTATTGCGTCCAAAGGGACTTGGGTGTCCTTGTACACCAATCACAGAAAGTTAGTCTGCAGGTGCAGCAGCAATTAGGAAGGCGAACGGTATGTTAGCATTCATTATGAAAGGATTAGAGTATAAGAGTAGGGAAGTCTTGCTGCAACTGTATAGGGCCCTGGTGAGACCACACCTGGAATACTGTGTGCAGTTTTGGTCTCCTCATTTAAGGAAGGATGTACTTGCCTTGGAGGGGGTGCAGCGTAGATTTACTAGGTTAGTACCGGGGGTGAAGGGGATGAGTTACGAGGAGAGGCTGATCAATTTGGGCCTATATTCTCTAGAATATAGAAGAATTAGAGGGGATCTTATAGAAACCTATAAAATCATCAAAGGGCGTGAGAGAGTAGATAGTGGGAGATTGTTTCCCCGGTTGGAGAAACTAAAACCAGGGGTCACAATCTTAATAATAATCCCTCCAAAAACCCAAAACAATAATAAATTGGTCATTTTCAATCTACGACTGTTTGTGGGTCATTGCTGTGCGCAATTGGCTGCCGCGTTCACCCAAATATATACAGTCAATTCACTTTACAGTGAAGCGCTTTGGGACGTCCTCCCGACGTGAAAAGCGCTATATCAAATGCAAGGATTATTATTAAAATCAGAGGCCAACCCTTTCGCACTGAGTTGAGGAAGAACTTCTTCACTCAAAGGGTGGTGACTGTATGGAACTCACTACCCCAAAGGGCTGTTGATACTCAGTCCTTGAACATATTCAAGACTGAGATAGATAGATTTCTTATTGCAAAAGGGATTAAGGGATATGGGGATAAGGCAGGGTCAGGTTATTAGCTGGAGTTAGATTAGAAGTCCTGTAGCTCAGTGGTTAGAGCACTCGCTTTGCAAGCGAGAGACCTGAGTTCAATTCCAGGCAGAGGGCGAAACCTTGGGCAAGTTTCCTTACTCCACACAGAGCCTAATAATAATCCCTCCAAAACAAAACAACAATAAATTGGTCATTTTCAATCTACGACTGTTTGTGGGACATTGCTGTGCGCAATTGGCTGCCGCGTTCGCCCACAAATATAGTCAATTCACTTTACAGTGTGTTCTGTGAAGCGCTTTGGGACGTCCTCCCGACGTGAAAAGCGCTATATCAAATGCAAGGATTATTATTATTATTATAAGATCAGTCATGAGTGAATGGCGGGGCAGAGGCTCGAAGGGCCGAATGTCCTACTCCTACATGTTATATTATGTCTGTGCTGCTGTGTGTGTGTGTGTGTCTCTGTGCTGCTGTGTGTGTGTGTCTGTGCTGCTGTGTGTGTGTGTGTGTTGTGTGTGTGTGTTTTGTGTGTGTGTGTGTGTGTCTGTGCTGCTGTGTGTGTGTCTGTGCTGCTGTGTGTGTGTGTGTGCTGCTGTGTGTGTGTGTGTGTGTCTGTGCTGCTGTGTGTGTGTGTGTGTGTCTGTGCTGCTGTGTGTGTGTGTCTGTGCTGTGTGTGTGTGTGTGTGTGTCTGTCTGTGCTGCTGTGTGTGTGTGTGTGTCTCTGTGCTGCTGTGTGTGTGTGTCTGTGCTGCTGTGTGTGTGTGTGTGTGTGTCTGTCTGTGCTGCTGTGTGTGTGTGTGTGTGTCTCTGTGCTGCTGTGTGTGTGTGTCTCTGTGTGTGTGTGTGTGTGTGTGTCTGTGCTGCTGTGTGTGTGTGTGTGTGTGTCTCTGTGCTGCTGTGTGTGTGTGTCTGTGTGTGTGTGTGTGTGTGTGTCTGTGCTGCTGTGTGTGTGTGTGTGTGTCTCTGTGCTGCTGTGTGTGTGTGTCTCTGTGCTGCTGTGTGTGTGTGTGTGTGTCTGTGCTGCTGTGTGTGTGTGTGTCTCTGTGCTGCTGTGTGTGTGTGTCTGTGCTGCTGTGTGTGTGTGTGTCTCTGTGCTGCTGTGTGTGTTGTGTGTGTGGTGTGTGTGTGTGTGTGTGTGCTGCTGTGTGTGTGTGCTGCTGTGTGTGTGTGTGTGTGCTGCTGTGTGTGTGTGTGTGTGTGTGCTGCTGTGTGTGTGTGTGTGTTGTGCTGTGTGTGTGTGTGTGTCTGCTGTGTGTGTGTGTGTGTGTCTGTGCTGCTGTGTGTGTGTGTGTGTGACAGTGTCTGTTACTCACTCCCAGGCGCAGCCGCCATCTTCCCAGAATGCCGCTCACTGCTGGGGGCGGGCGGGCGGGGCGGGGCGGCCGGTTTCACGCCCAATTGGGCGGGTTTTGTCTCGCGGCGCCTGTGCGGCGGAACCACATTTTTTAAAAAAAAATCGTTTTAATTGAAACCTGCTGAAGTTTAAACACACGTTTTCTTACCCAATTTAAAAAGCACTGAGCTGACCTGGCCACGTGCCGCCTCCAGGCGGCGCCGCACACATTCGGGGCTACTTTGGGCGGGTATTCGGTGGCCTGGCCACGCCTCGCCGCCCCCCTGTCGGCCTGTGAGGGTCAGCGCAGCTTTACACAGCAATGCGCAGGCGCAGCTTTATAGAACAGTGCGCCGTCGCAGCTTTTTATAGACCAGTGCGCAGGCGCAGCTTTTATGGAACAGTGCGCAGGCGCAACTTGGGATCACGTGAACCCCGGTCGCCTGAGCAACCAGAGTAAACACTCACCCCCTCACACACACACACCCCCACCCCCGGGCCCTTCACACACACCCCACGGCCCCGGCCCTTCACACAACCCCCCGCCTCGGGCCCCCCACCCCCGCCGCCCCGGGCCCCTCACGCCCCGGCCCCGGGCCCCCCGCGCCCCGGGCCCCCCACCCCGGGCCCCTCACCACCCCCCTCCCCCCCCACCGCAGCTCGAAGACCCTCACATCCGGACCGCAATAGGGCAGGTGAGAGCAGACAGGGTGGGGGGGTGTGTGCTCTGGTCAGCAGTGATTCAGGGAAACTGTTCATTCATTTCATACCGACATTGCTGTGTGTAAGTTGGCTGCCGAGCTCGTGTGTACATTACTCAGTCACTAGTCGTGGAGTCCTGTAGCTCAGTGGTTAGAGCACTCGCTTTGTAAGCGAGAGACCTGAGTTCAATTCCAGGCAGAGGGCGAAACCTTGGGCAAGTTTCCTTACTCCACACAGAGCCTAATAATAATCCCTCCAAAACCAAAAAAAACAATAATAAATTGGTCATTTTCAATCCACGACTGTTTGTGGGACATTGCTGTGCGCAATTGGCTGCCGCGTTCGCCCACAAATATACAGTTAATTCACTTTACAGTGTGTTCTGTGAAGCGCTTTGGGACGTCCTCCCGACGTGAAAAGCGATATATCAAATGCAAGGATTATTATTATTATAGATTGATTAGCGATTATCTATGAAGCACTTTGAAACTTTGACCTCACAGGAGCTACATCAATACTGTATTTATTTAAGTAGTGGTTGAATTGGAGTTAGACAATTGGATATCAGGGCTGCATGGAAATGGCTTGGGCAACTGTTAAGATAGTTGACATGAATTGTAAATCATCTAGTCAATTATATGTCTCAATTTGCACACAGTTTTGCCCCGTAAACAGCCATGGAGTGAGTGACCAATTTTATTTTGGGGATTGTCAGCTAGGACACCAGGAGAGAGAAACTCCCATCTCTTTTTGAACAGCGCCATTGGATCTTTAACGTTCACCTGAACAGGCAGACAGCTCCTTGGTTTATATCTCATCTGGAGGACGTACCTCAATACTGCATTGGAGTATTAACATGGACTATGCAATTCCAAATCCTGACATGGGGCTTGAAATCACACCTTCTGACTCAGAGGCAAGAGTGCTACCAGGCTGACAAATTATTATTAGGACGTGTAATGCCTTATCTAGCTTTTTTAAGGGTGAATTGGGAGAAATATAAAAGTGTGTGTCGGGGGGAGGCCTCAGTGGAGCCCTCTTTCAGAGAGAGATAGAGGAGATAGAGGGTATACTTTACTATAGGAAATATGTCATGGCCGTAAGTAGATACAGGGACAGTGGTCTCTTTTGCTGTATATTTCTGTGGTTCTAAAACATCTGCAGGGCCAAATTTTGATTACAACATAACACAGGGAGGAAAAAGAGATGGGAGAGCAGGAGTTATCTTAACAGACATGATTTTGTACTTCTTTGAAGACCCCGTACCACCAAATCTCAGTGACAAGACAGGCAGGGACGCCTCCTCCAGATGGCCATCAAATAACCTCTGGAAATGCCAAAAATCATTTTAGGTAGAAGATTCACAGCTGTGAAAGAGAAGATATTTACCAAATGTATAGGATGCTTAGTTCTTTGTGTCACTGATTCCTATCTCCACCCTTGACTTGTTAATAATTTATTACTGGGGGCAGGAATTGCATTGAATTATATAAAATGTGACACCACTGAATCGGGGAATTCGGCCCAACTAGCCCATAACTATGTTAATGCTGCACACATAAACTTTCCTCTAAAATGAAGTATACATTGGTGCTTTTTGCTTTAATCACAGTTTTGTCAGTGAGTTCCACATTCTCACCACCCTCTTGTTAAACTTTTCTCTCAGCAAATTGGCTGTTGTGTTTGCCAACCACATACTCTCTCTGTCATATCACTTTTAGAATATCCTGTGGTGCGCTTTAAGGCATCTCGATGATGTGATAAGGCACTATGTTAAATGCAAGAATTATTATTCTTATTTATTATTTATACCCCTTTTATTTTTGACTCACCAGCAAGTAGAAACAACCTACTAAATGCTTACCTTCTAGTCAGCTGGGCTCAGTTGGTAGAATTCTCACCCTAAATTACAAACTTTGAGATGTCTCAATGACATATCAAGTGCTGTAACAAATACAAGGATTATTATTAAATTCTTTCATAATTTTAAACACCTCAGCCTTTTACGTCACCCAACAAACCATGACAGAGAAATAAACACAGCCCCTGATCTTTTCCCTGTCCCTAACCCTCAGCAAGGCAATGAGTGGCAATGAGTGCCTTATAAAGTATGTCAATAACTCGCATTTTCTGTGGTTCATTATTACTGTTACAGAATGCCTGGGACCAATCAACACCTATGGGTATGGTCAGCTTCTTTATTCTCCTGACTTAAGTGAATCACTTCATATTTCCCTAATTAAACTTCATCTGCTACCAATCCACCCACTCTGCAAGCCCGTTTATATCTTCCTGTTTTTTTCACAATTATTTTCATTGTGCATCAGCCTAAGCTCAGTTGGTAGAACTCTTGTATCTGAGTCAGAAGGTTGTGGATTTAACCTCCACATCAGGTCTTCAGTGCGACCTGAAGATGGGCAAAGAGGGGGCAAGGCAGAAGGATTGAGGTAGGGAGTTCCAGAGTTTCAGGGCATTAGTTAGAATGCACACCCGCCGATGATGCATCCCCGCAGAATACCACTTCCTACTTCTTGACAGTGTGAGAAGCTGCGCTTTGCTCCTACTCTTTGTTTTCTATCTTCCAACCATCTCTCAATCCATTCTGCTGCCTCTCCCTTGACTCCACATGCTCTGATTTTTTTATGGCACCTTCTGGAAGTCCATATACAAGACATCCTTTGCATTCATTTGGCTCCTGTTAACTCTGCAAGCCAGAGCCCTACCTGGTAGCTGGACAAAGGAGAAGGAAGGAAGCAGAAAATCACTTGCCAAACCAAGACTTGTGTTTTTTAACTGGTTAGACTCCCAATGGTCCTTCAGGGCACACTCTAGGGTCCCCAAGACTTAGCTCTTGCCAACCTGGGCCCAACACTTTCTGGAATTAGGTAAGCAGGATGCATCCCTCCAGGGAGAGAGTGCACATCCCATTTCAGACATACGTAAGTATATAGGTTTTTCCAGAAATTTCCATGTGGAGGTGGCATACATCTGTAGAACTCGTGAGTGGTTTGGATTTTCTTGAACACAGCGCTTGGCTGACCAACAAAAATATTATACTGTTATGCTGTGTGAAAATTTTATATCCTTGAATACTAATGTTTGTAGTTCACGTTGAATGCTTTTTTCAAATAGGTTTCTTCATCACTGTAAATACTCTGATAAGTTCCTATCAATCGGTAAATCCATGGAGAGTGTTGAGCCAGAGATCAAGATTCGCCCCCCAGTGCCTGTGCATATCACTGTGCTAAAAGGCAGTTTCCTGGTATGTATCAATTATTATTTTTTTAACCAATGTTCTAGTGTATTGGTCCATCTTTTTCTCCTGAAGTCTTAAACCAACTCCCACCCAATCCATCTCCCTGGTACAACAGCTACCTCCGTTCCTTCAATTACTATGCAGTTGGCACAAAGCCGGACCTGCAGTCAATCACCAATTTAGTTTGACTACCTCTGAAACTACTGCCTCTTCCTCACTGAAGCTAAAATCTCCTCTTTCTTTTTCACCAAGGCTGAAGCTCCTCATCTCCACCACTAATACCTCCTCTGTTCCTCCCTCAAGCCCTCTCCATTCTAATCTCTGATACCAAATCCTTGTGAGCAAAATAGACAAAACCCAATTTCTTGTGGACATGGACAAGGTGAAATGTGGTTGATTCTGAGTCAGAGCATTGTGGGTTCAAGCTCCACATTGGACTTGAAACTCATAATATAGACACTCCAATCAAGTGCTGGAGGAGGTTCCTTCCTTTAGATTAAATGTGAAATTGAAGTCCTGTCTGTGCCTGTTGAGGTGGGTGTTAAAGATTCCATTGCAATATTCAAAAAGACAAAGGAGTTTCTATGGGTATCCTGGCCAACAATCCCTATTGGCAAATGTAGTTTAAAACGGAAAAATGCAAGCTCCTACATAGAGGAAGTAAGACATCGGAAACTCAAGTACTCATGTATTCAATATAATTTGTGAAATGGGAAGCTGAAAGAGATCTAAGGGTATTAGTCGACACATCACTCCGTGTCAAAACAGTGGGAGGCAGCAATAAACAAATAATAATAATTGTTACATTTTGTGCAACTCCTTTACATCGGGAGGATGTCTCAAAGGCTTCACATGATATACTGTAAAGTGTAGTCTAGTGACTGTGCAATTTCTGGCAAAAACCTGGTAACTAATTTGAGATTAACAATAAGATGCTGGACTGTATTACTAAATCAGTCCAGGTTTGATCCCCAAATGTTACACTCTTTATCTGAAACCCACCACCTGCTCCCTTGACCCCATCCCCACTCCACTCCTCATCTCCCAGCTCCACCTCCTTGCCCCACATATCACAGACATCGTCAACCTGTCCCTCTCCTCTGGCTCTGTTCCCATTCCCTTAAAAACTGCCACCATCACTCCCACCTTGAAAAAACCCTCCCTTGATGTGTCGCAACTATCAAGCTACCGGCCCACCTCCAACCTCCCCTTCCTGTCCAAGGTCCTTGAAGAGTTGTCGCCTCCCAGCTGCGCTCTTTCCTCTCCACCCATTCATTATTCGAACCCCTTCAGTCGGGTTTCCGTGCTGCCCATAGCACAGAAACTGCCCTGGTCAAGGTCACCAATGACATCCTGACCATCTGCGACCAGGGCTCCCTCTGCCTCCTCGTCCTCCTCGACCTATCGGCAGCATTCGATACGGTCGACCACGCTATCCTCCTCCACCGCTTGTCCTCCCACCTCAACCTTCAAGGCCCTGTCCTTGAGTGGTTTAGGTCGTACCTCTCCCACCATCTTCAATTTGTTTCCACGAATGGTTTTTCCTCCGGCCCCCGCACTGTCTCGTGCGGTGTCCCTCAGGGCTCTGTCCTCGGTCCCCTCCTCTTCACCCTCTATATGCTCCCCCTGTGGCGACATCATCCGCAGACATGGGGTTAACTTCCACATGTATGCGGATGACACCCAACTCTACCTTTCCTCCTCTACCCTCAACTCCACGACCACCGATGTCCTGACAGCTGCCTGTCCGACATCGAGTCCTGGACGAGAGACAACTTTCTTCAGCTCAACGTGCGTAAAACTGAGGCCCTCCTGATTGGCTCACGTCAGCGCCTCCGCACCTCAGGCGCTGACAGCATCAGCATCCAAGGCTGCACTCTCCACCTCTCAAAGCCAGTCAGGAACCTTGGTGTTCTGTTCGACCCTGAGCTGTCCTTTCTCCCTCATATCTGCGCCACAACTGGCACCGCCTTCCATCACCTCCGGAACATCGCCAGACTACGGCACTACCTCACCCCTCACGCTGCTGAAACCCTGGTCCACGCCTTTATCACCTCAAGGCTGGACTATGGGAACTCTCTCCTCGCCGGCCTTCCCGGCCCTCCCTCCACAAGCTGCAGGTCATTCAGAACTCTGCAGCTCGTGTACTGTCCCGCACCAGGCTTCGCGACCACATCACTCCCACCCTCGCTCGCCTCCACTGGCTCCCCATCCCCCAGAGGATCGAATTCAAGATCCTCACCCTCACCTACAAGGCCATTCACGGCCTCGCTCCCTCCTACCTCTCCGACCTACTATCCCCCTACCTACCTGCCCGTACCCTCCGTTCCTCTGGCTCTGGTCTGCTCCACATCCCCCGCCCCAACCGCCCTACATCGGTGGCCGGGCCTTCAGCCTCTCGGCCCCCAGGCTCTGGAACTCTATCCCACAGTGCCTTCGCCTTGCCTCCTCACCTTTCCCCCTTCAAGGCCGGTCTCAAGACCTTTCTCTTTGACCATGCCTTCAGCTCCCCTCTCGACTCTCTAACCCCTCCTCGCTCCCTCCCTTCCCTCCCCTCACCATTTCCCCCCTGCTCGGGTCCTGACCCAACTGTACAGCGCCTTGGGACGTCCTCCCGACGTGAAAGGCGCTCTATAAATGGAATCTTGTTGTTGTTGTCGAGCCACTCATACATGAAGCAGATGAGAGTAACTGCAAAGACAAGCAAAGCTATTTGACAAAGGCAGAAGGTTGGATGCTTACTCGGAGCAGGGTATGACCACAAGATCACAAACGTGGTCTGCATGAAGAAGGCCTTTTGGCCCATCTGATCTCATCCCTCAAGAACATCCATCCTAACGTCCCCCAGCTGCTTTTTAAATGAGTCCCAGTGTCCTGGCCTCTCCCACCTTCCATGGCTACCTATTCCAATCATTGATTACTCTCTGCGTTTAAAAAAAACTTCCTGGTGTTTGTCCTAAAATTGTCTTTTACAATTCTAAACCTATGTCCTCTTGCTCTACTCTCATGATCCATCCTAAAGTATTGATCTGGGTTTAATTTTTTGTTTTGACGTAACAAACCTTCGGATTCAGAGGTGAGAGCCCCCAAGTATATTGTTATGACTTTGCACTGCTTGCAAGTTGCCCATTGAAGGCATTGATTGGAAGATACAAGAGACATCGGTCCCAACTATTGATTCTTATCAATATCAGGAGGTTGGGATGGACACCAATGTTTGCTTGGACATTCAACTTTGTGATCAGGCTAAGGGAGCAATCTGCTTGTTCTCATCTCTCTTCAAGGTCCCAATGTAGGTCAAGCTTGTGGCATATTAGACTGGTGTCCAACAGTTTTCCTTTATGGTTCTGAGCTCCTGGGGATGCAGCAGAGTGAGGCCAAGAAGTGAGGGAGGGCTACGGCCTACACAGGCTTGTCTAAGCAGCCTGGAGGACGAGTGGCTTCTATTTGCCAAGGCCCCTCGCATGAACTTAAGAACATAAGAATTTGCTATGCGCAAAAAGACCAACATCCATCGAGTTCACCTTCCACCATCCCGGCAGTTGCTTAACTTGGCGGTGTCCCAAATTCTATACTGTATCCTGAAATATTTTCCACCAGAAATTGTATCCTCCCGACATGAAAGGCGCTCTATCAATGGAATCTTTTTGTTGTTGTACACTCAAATGTCTAGTTGTTGTTCCGAGCTCATTTCTCTAACACGGGGGATTATCCCCATTGCTCTTCTCTGCACTGATGCTAGCATCTGGGTAAAACCCTCACGTCGCAGTGACCAATACTATATGTAATACTAGGTTCAGCCTGACAATACTTTGGAACTCCATCCCACAATCCCTTCAACTCGCCCCCTCCCTTGCCTCCTTCAAGGATGTCTCAAGACCCTCCTCTTTGACTGAGCCTTCGGTCACCGTCCTATCCTTACGCTCCCTGCCCGACACCCCTCATTATCCCAATCTTCTGCTCTGGTCCAAATCCCTGACTGTCCAGTACCTCAGGATGTCCTCCTGACATGAAAGGTGCTGTGTAATTGTAATTTGTTGTTATTGTTGACAACTTTGGAATACAAGGCAAGTTTGCAACTATCTGAGCACATGACCTAATGGTGGATAGACTGAATAGTTTTTTTTGTGTCTCTGGTTCTCTATTCTGTTCTCTTTGCAGAAAGGAAACAAAGGAGATAATCCAATAACTTATATCCATGCGGAGTACAACAACCTTCAGCTTGGAGATTCTGGAAAAGTACCGATGACATTAGATACTGAAGTGGAATACAACTTCACGACCAGCTTTGACTGCACATTCGAGGGGAATGCTGGTTTGGAGGATTTAGTGCATAAACCAGTGATTTGTGAGTTTCTACCTTAATTTTCCACAGAAATACTATCACAATTCAGGCTCAAACTGGGTTACGTTTCCTTGGATAAAGTGCTCCCTAAAAATACTGCTACGGGTATTTAGGGTGGTTAGATATCTCTTAACCATAGTTTCACGATATTCGGTCATTTTCTCCCATGGCTTCCAGTTTCATCATGAAGGCCTCATGAGGCACTGGATTGAAAGCCTTGCGAAAGTCGATGAACCAAAGTCTGTGGGTTTCCCTTTAGCCGTAAAACGTTCCACGATCTCATACAGAGCCATAACCTGTCCCACACATTCCTCACGAATTCTCACATTCCAGCCAGCCTGCTTCTTCCTGAGCACAACGCGAGCCTCCAAAGTATGTGACACACGTGCAGTGACTACCTGAAGCACCAATTTAAGAGCACTAAACTCTTTTGAAATCAGTGTAGTTTTCAATCTCACTTGGGTTACCCTTCTTGTGGAAAGAAATCACTCTGGAATACTAATGGAGTTTGTGCCTCAGAGAGAGTCCTGTTGACCAGTGCTGGAAGGGCAGTATATGTAATATCCCCACTATTCTAGCCTGCCCCACCTCCCCCCAATGGGCAGCTTTTAGGAACTCAGCATTAATGCTGTCCCTGTCTTAGCAAGGCGCCACAGTGCAGAGTTAATCTCCTCCCAACGGATTGGGTTGACAAGGCCTTTAATTCTTTAATCTATTCCCCATTGCCGCAGCTCTCCCATCCTCCATACAGATGGATCTCTGCTGAGGTTGTTGGGTCAGATGCCACATAATGCTTGGAATTCGCATCTGACCCAACATGTTACAATCTTCTTGAAGGGGAATCCTATATATAGTGCTCTTCAATACAGTCCTTTCTTCCTGCTGTAGAACCCTGTTAACCAGAAGCCTGATGTGATCTGGAGAAGCATCTTTCAAGAATGTTTAATGCGTTGGGAGTAATCATTGGCTAGGCCACAACTGGAATACTGCATCCAGTTTTGGGCGTCTCACTTCAGAAAAGACGTAAAGGCCTTTGATAGGGTGATAGGCTCTGGCAGCATCAACCTCCAGCACGCTACTCCCTCCACAGGCTGCAGATAATCCAGAACTCTGCAGCCCGTGTCCTCTCCCGCATTAAACTCCATTTCCCCATTTCCCCCATTCTCGCCCGACTCCATTGGCTCGCTATCCTTCAGAGGATCCAGTTCAAGATCCTGGTCATCACCTACAAAGCCCTCCATGGCCTCGCCCCACCCTACCTCTGCGATCTTCTAACCCCCTACGAACTCTCCTGCTCCCTCCACTCAGCCGGCTCCGGCCTGCTCCATGGCCCGGCCTACCCACCCCACCATAAGCGAGAGAGCCTTCTGCCACTCTGCCCCCAACCTCTGGAATTCCATCCCCCAATCACTCCGCCTCACCCCCTCCTTAGCCTCCTTCAAGTTCCGCCTCAAAACCCTCCTCTTCAACCATGCCATTGGTTACCTCCCTTCTCCTCCCCTCCCTTCTTTCCCCCTGACCCCAGCTCGGGTCTGAAATACTTTACACTGTCCAGCGCCTTGGGACATCCTCCTGACATGAAAGGCGCTATACAAATGTAATCCTGTTGCTGTTGTTGTAGAGGAGATTTATGAGAATGATTCCTTGGATGACATGCTACAATACAGTACAAAATACACATTACTTATGAATTGTATAGCTTACATTTGTAAAGCTCCTTTCACGTCGGGAGGATGTCCTAAGGCGCTTGACAGTCAGGGATTTGGACCTGACTGGGGGTTGGGGTGGGGGGGGATTAGCATACAGTTTTGAGGAGAGATTGAAGAAAGGCAGTCAGTGAATAGAGGGCATATTTATAAGAAAACCACAATAAGAGCAAAATGAGAACTTGGAAGGATTTTGTTTTACTCAGAAGGAACTGTAGTTGGAATGTGGAAAATCCTGCCAAGGAGGGTGGTGAAGGCCGAGTTCTTTGCAGCTTTCAGAGGGAAGTAGAGTGAGAGGGTGTTGAATGTGTATGGGCATAATGGGGATGGTGGGATTGAATTGATCTCTTTGCTTTGTGCAGACTTGATGGGCTGAATGACCTCCTTCTGTGCTATAGATTTCTGTGTTTCTATATTTTTTCTTTCATATGAAACATCAGTGACTGTTATTGAGATTTTACCCAAAGAAAAGAAGAAAAGAGAAGAAAAGACAATTGTTCTTGGTCAGGCCATTGTGGATCTAATCCCTCTCTTGCAAGGTGAGCATCTTCCTGCAGGAGATGTTTCCCAGCGCCTTGGGACATCATCCCAACATGAAAGGCGCGATATAAATACATTTTTTGGTTGTTTGTGACACCATTAACTATATAGTGACTTTACCCGATGTACGGCACCCAGGCACTGACATTAAGACTTATTCCTTTTAGGAGAATCCACATTTAGGAAGACCATTCAAGTGCACCCAGTAGTTGGTTCCCCTCTGGACCATATTGCACCAGACGCACCCAAGGTAACTAAGAATATTTACCGTAACATTTGTCCATTTACCATGCACGAATACAGACCACGAAAGCAGGGCCTCGCAATCCTTCTGGCTTTTTGGGATTGATACAAGAGGTGTCAGAAAAGTTACCGCATGGTAACTGGCTTGTGGCGCCAAGAGTTCACTCATAGCGACCCCCTATTTTAATCCTTTGATGTCGGCTCTTCCTTTCATTGTGAAGCAGAATTCACCAAGCGTTGGATTGTTCACCCACTAATATAGTTTGGGACACGACATGTCAAGTGACTGCCAGGATGGTGGAAGACGAACTAGATGGACCTTGGTCGTCTTTCGCCAGCAAATTCTTCCATTCTATCTATCAGTTTCAATTCTGAAGTCGGGACTGCACTCTTTAGTGACCTTACCCTTGCCATTATAGATAATAATACTAATCCTTGCATTGATATAGCACTTTTCATGTCTTCTAGATGTCTCAAAGCGCTTTGCAGGATAACTGTAAAGTGAATTGACCGTATGTTTGTGGGCGAAACGCGGTTGCCAATTTCAGCAGTGTCCCACAAAACAGTTGTGGATTGAGTGACCAAATTATTAGGTTTCTTTTTGAAGGGATTATTATTCTTGGAAGAGCGTCCGCCAATCAACTAACAATCGGGTTCCTATTTGCTGTTAGATAAACAGAGGCGTGTGGAGTAAGGAAACTTACCCAACATTTCGTCCTGCCTATGAATCAAACCCAGGTTTCTTGCTTGCGAGGTGAGTGCTCTAACCACTGAGCTACAGTACTCCACAATATGATAAGTATGAAAATAGTGAGGAGATAGGCAATGATACTTTTTAAGCTGTTTATCAGCTCATCAGGTGGGATATTTTGGTGCTGTTTGATGATTCTTCTTGTGACCAGATAAAGTATATGAAAGCAAATTGCAATGCCCGTGATTTCGTGAAAGGGCACCACTCCTCATGATGGGCCAAATGGCTTTCTTCTGTGCTGAAAATTTCAGCAATGGCACGGAGCTGCTAGGAAAGGTGGACCTTTGATCATTTTAGGATTTCCAGTATTCTTCAGTTCAATTCTTTCCTTCACTCAACTTCCTTCAACTGGGTAACAGAACTTGTTATGGGACTAGGTTTTGAGATTGACATATGAAAGCCAAAGAGCTGGAAAAGAATCATTGGGTTACTATCAAGAAGAAAATAAGGACAATTCATAAGTAATGTGTATTCCTGTGCGTTCCTGTTGTGGAGTCCTATAGTGTATTGGTTAGGGCACTCGCCTCGCAAGCGAAAGGACCTAGGTTTGATTCCCGGGTGGGGTGAAAGGTTAGGCAAATTTCCTTACTACACACGCCTCTGTTTACCTAGGTAAGTAGGAACCCAGTTGTTAGTCGATTGACAGATCGCTTTTCCGGGAGTATTAATCCCTTCTAAATAAATAAATAATAATTTGGTTACTCAATCCATGACTGTTTGTGGGACACTGCTGTACACTACTGGCTGCCACATTTCGCCCACAAAATATAGTCAGTTCACTTTACAATATATTCTATGAAGCACTTTGAGATGCCTCGAAGATGTGATGAGGCGCAGTATCAAATGCACGGATTATTATTGTATTCCTGGGTTTCAAAACCAACATCACCTTTCGTGGAAAGCCATCTGGAACCTGCTAGGCTACAACATTACTAGTTTACATTTAAGAGTATGATTAACAATAGTGTTTTTTGTGCGCAGCCTATTCTGGAGGTTCTCGTGTCTGTGCCAGAGCCCCTACTTACTGAGTCTCAGGTTAAAGGGAGTAATTTGCTAAGGACCACCGTGGAGTCTATCTACTCAGTACCAGAAGCCTGGACCACCACTGGCACACACTTCAGTTATTTTGTCATTCTACATGTGCCAGCTGCGTTGGAGGTAAGATCTTCTTTGAAAAGAAGTATATCACAAATGTACCTGAGATGTTAGTTTTTTCTTCTCAAGAGAGTTGTCGTTTAAAATAGACTTGTTTGACACCTCTTGAACCAACAACAACAACAAAATTACATTTGTAAAGCGCCTTCAGGACTTCCCAAGGTCCTGAACAGTCGGGGATCAGGACCAGAGCATGGGAGGGCAGGGTTGGGATGAGGGAGGGCAGAGAGTTAGGAGGGCAGCTGAAGGCACGGTCAAGAAGCAGGGTCTTAAGTCATGCCTTGAATGAGGCAAGGGAGGGAGCAAGGCGAAGGGATTGTGGGATGGAGGGTGGGGGTGCAGAAAGACTGAAAAGTCCGGCCGTCGATGGTAGAGTGGGTCGGGTGGGAGACATGGAGTAGGCCGGAGCCTGCTGAATGGAGGGAGCGGACAGGTTGATAGGCGGTCAGCAAGTCAGAGATGTAGGAGAGGGCAAGGCCATGGAGGGCCTTGAAAGTCAGGGCGAGGATTTTGAATTCTATCCTCTGAGGGATGGGGAGCCAGTGGAGCCGGGCGAGGGTGGGAGTGATGGGGTCACGGCGCCTGGTGCGGGAGAGGACATGAGCTGCAGACTTCTGGATGATCTGCAGCTTGTGGAGGGAAGAGTTGAAGAGGCCGACAAGGAGGGAGTTTCCATAATTGAGCCTTGAGGTGACAAATGCATGTATGAGGGGTTTGGCAGCCTGCGGTGTGAGGCAGAGGTGGAGTCGGGTAATGTTGCGGAGGTGGGAAAAGGCAGAGCAGGTCATGGCACAGATATGGAGGAGAAAGGACAGTTGAGGGTCAAACAAAACGCCCAGGTTTCTGACTGGTTTGCTGAGGTGGAATTTGCATTTGTGGGTGCTGATGCTCCCAGAGTCTGAGGAGCAGAGGCCTCAGGAGGGCCTCAGTCTTGCTGACATTCAGCTGTAGAAAGTTGGTTCTTGATGTCAGGACTTGATGTCTGACAGACAGTCTGTCAGAATGTCAGTTGTCCTGGAATCGAGGGTTGAGGCAGAGAGATAGAGTTGGGTGTCATCCGCGTACATGTGGAAGTTGACCCCAAATCTGCGGATGATGCCACCAAGGGAAAGTCAACTAAAGTGGAGTTCATTTTAAATAGGATAGAATTGCAAGAATAGGAAGGTCGTTGAACTGAACTTGTGCACTTTGTATTGAAAATCTCCCAACCATTGTTACAAGAAATAACGATTTGTACCTATACAACACCTTTCCAGTAGACAAACGTCTCATAGCACTTCACAGAAATAGGGGCTTTATAATAATAGTAATAAAAATAATCCTTGCACTTGATATAGCACCTTATCGTGTCATCGAGATGTCTCAAATATACGGGATACAATGTATAGTTTGGGACACGACATGTCACGTGAGACGCCAAGACACCTGAGACACCGTCCGGCGTAGAGGGCGCTATATAAATCCCAAGTTGTTGTTGTTGTTGTTGTCATCAAGCGGCGGCCAGGATGGTAGAAGGCAAACTGGATGGAACTTGGTCTTCTTTTGCCTAGCAAATTGTTACGTTCTTATAAGTGAATTGACTGTATATTTTGTGGGCAACACGCAGCAGCCAATTGCATACAGCAGTGTCCCGCGAAAAGTCATGGATTGAGTGACCCAAGTTATTTTTTTTGGAAGGAAGTGACACAGATCAGTTTTAAAAGGGTTTTGAAAGGGTACAAACCAGAGGGTTTTGGAGAGAGAGTTCCAGATAGTTGGAGCAAGATGTCTGAAAGTTCACCCACCCTTGATTTGGAACAGAGGGGATGTTGGGGGTTGGGCAGGGGAGTAGAACCACAGGATATTATAGAAGTAAAACACGTGGAAACATTTAAAAGTTGAGACAAGCATCTTAACGTCAATCCACTGGAGAATAGAGACCCAATGGATCTTGGCAATGACAGGGATGTGATGGGTTTGCAGAGCTTGATGAGGGCAGTGGTCGCATTGAATATAATCATCACCTACAGCCTGCAATTAGAAACAGGCTTGTAATCTCTTCTTCGTGCCTCGTTACTCAATTTTTATGTGGGCATTTTATTGCGTTTCAGAAAGAAATCCGTGTGGTGTTTTCCCATGGGATTCTGAAGGTTCCTGGTGAAAAAGAATCCACTCCCAGACTGAAGAAATGGCCAATTATCAACCTCTCTGCGGCGGGAGCTCAGTACATCCCAGATTCTTTCATTCAGCCTTGTCCTTATGAGAATGAGGATGGGGAACTCAACCAGAAACAGGTGGAGTATATTTAAGATTTGTCAATGTACTAGATAATAGTGTTGCATAAATATACTGAATTATACATGTAAAATTGCTGTGATTCTAACAAGAACAGTGCCTGTTTTAGTGCACTTCTAAGTGGTTCCAATGTGGCCATAAATCAAGCATGCTCACTTAACATGAATATTCAGCCACTGTTGACTGAAGTTTCTCTTCAAAGTACTGTATGTGTTCCTTGCATGCAGCATGAGGTAAATTGGAGATTATAGACTCTTGATTTCTATCCAGCACTGGGCATTTCGAACAGAGGCAGAGAATGAGAAGAAACGTGTGGCATGGGACCTAGAGAAGCGCTGTTTTATGGAGCAAGATGCTTTGGTTCGGTAAGTGCCTAAGTAGGCTGCTCTATACTATAGCTCATAATATATTAAAAGGCAGTCTTCACTATAAATTTCGGAAAGGATTTGTAAATCTAACATTTTTGGGTTGTGTGTCACATGATCCACAGGAACTCTGCTCCACTGGGATCTCTTAATAAAAATGATGATAATAATAATAATAATACTTGCATTTGATATAGCGCCTTATCATGTCATCGAGATGTCTCAAAGCGCTTTGCAGAATATACTGTAAAGTGGATTGACTGTATTTTTGTGGGTGAAACCCGGCAACCAATTGCGCACAGCAGTGTCCCACAAGCAGTCGTGGATTGAGTTGCCAAATTCCTGTTATTTATGTATTTATTTGTTTGCTTGTTTAGAAAATAATGAACTTCGAGGACTGACACTAGACAGACTCCTGAATAAAATGGCATTGGTTTCAGTTTTCATCCAGACTTTAGTTTTAAATGATTGATGGCCACCAAACCTATGACTCAGATCCTTTCATCTGTGGTCGAACTCACAGCCTCGCAATCAAGATAATTTCACTTAGGAGATTCTGACTATAATAATAATGCTAATAAAAATAATAAAAATACTACTAATAATCCTGGTGTTCTACAAAATGGAGTGACTGTGTATAAGTACACAAACATGGCAGCCAAGTTGCGCACAGTGATATCCCACAAACAGCCATGAAGTGAATGACCAGTTTAGCTAGAGGGTTGTTGATCAGGACACTTCCATCTCTTTTTGAGTGCAATAACAACAAAATTTGTATAGCGCCTTTCACGTTGGGAGGACGTCCCAAGGCACTGAACTCTATGGGATCTTGAATTTCTACCTGAACAAGTAGACAAGGCCTCGGTTTAACGTCTCATCTGTTGGGCAGCACTTCCAATAATGCATCGCTGCTGCCAGTACTGCGCTCGAGGTCTCTGTACCCAATGCAAGATTTGATCCCACAGCTTTTTGTCTTGAAAGGCTACCAACTGAACCAAGTCCAAGATGATACCTACCTATTATTTGGCAAAAGGAATTTTAGAGTTGGATCTTTACAGTAAAGGAAATCTGCAATTGAAAGAATGTCAATGAGCGACATGTTTGATTTCTTTAGTTTGTGTAACCAATGTGTTTTTTCTAGCATGCAGAAGCAAATGGCTGAATCCCGCTACTGGCCTGTAGAAATAAAACGTGTACCAATAAGCACTGCGGCAAAGGGAGGAGCAAAATCCAGTAAAATGGATAAGGTCAAGAAATGTTAGCTTCTTTGTGTTCTTGGTTGGCCCTCTGCTCTATGAAGGGCCCTTGTAACCTGTTTTAGTTCTGATGATGGGTCACTCTCAAAACATTTCCCTTTAATGGCTAGATTTTTTTTGCATTCACAGTTTTTCTTTCATCCCTTATCTATTCTATCTGGGCGAAACATTGGACATGTTTCCTTACTCCACACGCCTCGTGTGGTAGCAGTAAGTAGGAACCCTGATGTTAGTTGATTGGCGGATTGCTTTTCTGGGGGTAATAATCCCTTCAAAAAATAATAATGATAATAATTTGGTCACTCAATTCACGGCTGTTTTTGGTGGGACACCGCTGTGCGCAATTGGCTGCTGAGTTTTGCCCACAAAATATACAGTCAATTCACTTTACAGTATATTCTGTGAAGCGCTTTGAGATGTGTTGGAAGACGTGACAAGGTGCTATATCAAATGCAAGGATTATTATTATTATTTCAATATTATCTCTTGAGAGAGTGCAAGAAGACATCCCTCAGCTCTTGATTGACTATGTCCAATCTACCCACAACAACCCCATGCTGTAAATCTCAAGCCATAAACCCCCAGTGATCAATTGACAAGTGGATTTGGTTGGTGTTGTGCAGCCTACGAAAATGTGTAGATTTTAGATAATTTGTTTCTCGAAAATTAAAAAAAAATCCTTGTCTTTCATGTCGGAAGTACATCTCGAAATGCCTCACAGGATAAAGAGTAGAGACTGTGGAACTTTGTAGGTGAACGCGGCAGCCAATTTGCGCTCAACAATGCCCACAATCAGCCATGGAGCGAGTGACCAATTTTATCCGATAGATTGTTGACCAGGACACAGGGAGAAACTCCCTTCTCTTTTCGAAATAGCGCCATTGGATCTTTAACGTCTACCTGTTTAACATCTCATCCAAAGTACAGAACCTCTGACAATGCAGCACACCCCAGCACTGCATTGGAGTATCAGCCTAGTTGAAAAAGCTCAACTTATTCTTCCAGTTTTCCTTTTACTCTTCTTCATAGTATACTCTTTAGTTTTTCTTACTTGACACATCCTGCACTACACTGCTTCGAATGAGTCCGTCATTTCTGAAGTTACCCCGCTTGTTATTTGAAATGTGCACTTATGGCCCTCTCACTGTCTGCAGGCAGAGGATGATGGGCCTATCTCCTACCATGGAGTAGCGTATGTAAATATGGCTCCTTTGTTGTATCCAGGCGCGAATCGGATACGAGGAGCATACCCAATTGTGCCTTTCTACGAGGCAGAAATATTTGAAAAGGTAACGATGATATAACATACTGTACTTAGCAAAACATTTTCTGGAAAAAGTAGCATAAGTGAGATACGGATTTATAGTTCCTATAATAAATAATAATAATCCTTACATTTGATATAGCGCCTTATCACGTCTTCGAGACTCAAAGCGCTTCGCAGAATGTACTGTAAAGTGAATTCACTGTATATCTTATGAGCGAATATCCCATCATGAGTTCAAGAGGCCGAGGGATTGTTAAGGAACCTAAAAGGTCAGAGACAGATTATATAATGTGTGAGAGGCATTGTTTGAGATATTGAATGATTAGGCTAGATGGACTAATGTTGTTTCTGGCCTGAAACTATTACAATGTTACTAAAATATTAATCCATGAGCAGAAATTTACTGTTGCTTTTTGAAATGATCCAAATATAAGAAAAGGAGGTCTTAGTCCAGGTGTTGCATTGAGATTTTGCACGTGTGAATGAGACCATGACATTAATTTTGTGCATGTGATTTAGACGAAACTAAGGTTGAATACAGTCCGGGAACCCCTGGCACCTGTGGCCAAGATAGCACCAGTTTCTCACCCTCCACATACTAAAGGAACCCCCGGTAAGACAAAGGATGAAAAGGGACAAAAGGAAAAGGACTTGAAAAAAGTAAGAATCTTCTGCCTTTTTTCCTGGAATTTTCAGGCCTTGTACTTTAGTCCCATCTGCTGCTGTTTTTTTTGTCATTCTCGTATTGAAAACATATGTACATGAAACGTCCTCTTGATGTAAAAGGCGCTGTGTAAATGTAAATTGTACTGTGTGTATTTGTAGCTATTCCAGAATACTCTGTCAGTTCTATTTTGCAATTTCTAGCACTTGGAGTTTTGTTCAGTACATGCTTACATCCTGCTGTTTACTTGTATTGATGTAATAGAAGAACAGCTTATTTTTATTCCTTCCTTATTTCCTCGGTGCAATTTCTTTCCTGTGACACTCGGTGACTGTCAAGTTGGAGTGATTTGCCAATATACTCCACCACATCTGATATTGCTGACTATGAAGCCTGAGACCGAGTCTGTGTGAGGGCTGACAGCTGATTATGAGAAATGTAGTCAATGACTTTCTTGCTTCTGCAGCTGAGGTTATAAGCAAACTTCAGCTGGCAACAACAACAACAAAATTTGTAAAGCGCCTTTCATGTCAGGAGGTGGTCCCAAGGCGCTGAACCGACAGAGTTACGGACCCGAGCTGAGGGTCGGGGTGGGGGAGGGGGGAGGTAGGGGGGGAAGCAGGGAGATCGAAAGCACGGTCGAAGAGGAGGGTTTTGAGGTTGGTCTTGAAGATGGCGAGGGAGGGGGCGAGAGGGACTGCGGGATGGAGTTCCAGAGAGTGGGTGCAGAGTGGCGGAGGGCTCGCCCGCCGATAGTGAGGCGAACGAGGTGGGGGACGTGAAGCAGGCTGGAGCCCGCTAAGCGGAGGAAGTGAACAGGATGGTAGGGAATTAAGAGGTTGCAGAGGTAGGTGGGGGATCAAGACCATGGAGGGCTTTGAAGGTGAGAACCAGGATCTTGAACTGTATCCTCTGTGTGATGGGAAGCCAGTGGAGTTGGGCAAGGATGGGGGTCGCGGAGCCGAGTGCGGGAGAGGATATGGGCTGCAGAGTACCGGATGATCTGCAGCCTGTGGAGGGAGGATTTGGGGGGGCCGACAAGGAGTGAGTTTGCATAGTCGATCCTCGATGTAATGGCTCGTATGAGGGTTTCGGCGGCCTGCAGTGTGAAACAGTGCCCATAGCACAGAAACTGCCCTGGTCAAGGTCACCAATGACATCCTGACCATCTGTGACCAGGGCTCCCTCTGCCTCCTTGTCCTCCTCGACCTATCGGCAGCATTCGATACGGTCGACCACGCTATCCTCCTCCACCGCTTGTCCTCCCATCTCAACCTTCAAGGCCCTGTCCTTGAGTGGTTTAGGTCGTACCTCTCCCACCGTCTTCAATTTGTTTCCACGAATGGTTTTTCCTCCGGCCCCCGCACTGTCTCGTGCGGTGTCCCTCAGGGCTCTGTCCTCGGTCCCCTCCTCTTCACCCTCTATATGCTCCCCCTTGGCGACATTATCCGCAGACATGGAGTTAACTTCCACATGTATGCGGATGACACCCAACTCTACCTTTCCTCCTCTACCCTCAACTCCACGACCACCGATGTCCTGACAGCTGCCTGTCAGACATCGAGTCCTGGACGAGAGACAACTTTCTTCAGCTCAACGTGCGTAAAACTGAGGCCCTCCTGATTGGCTCACGTCAGCGCCTCCGCACCTCAGGCGCTGACAGCATCAGCATCCAAGGCTGCACTCTCCACCTCTCAAAGCCAGTCAGGAACCTCGGCGTTCTGTTCGACCCTGAGCTGTCCTTTCTCCCTCATATCTGCACCACAACTGGCACCGCCTTCCATCACCTCCGAAACATCGAGAGACTACGGCACTACCTCACCCCTCACGCTGCTGAAACCCTGGTCCACGCCTTTATCACCTCAAGGCTGGACTATGGGAACTCTCTCCTCGCCGGCCTTCCCGCCACCTCCCTCCACAAGCTGCAGGTCATTCAGAACTCTGCAGCTCGTGTACTGTCCCGCACCAGACACCGCGCCCACATCACTCCCACCCTCGCTCGCCTCCACTGGCTCCCCATCCCCCAGAGGATCGAATTCAAGATCCTCACCCTCACCTACAAGGCCATTCACGGCCTCGCTCCCTCCTACCTCTCCGACCTACTATCCCCCTACCTACCTGCCCGTACCCTCCGTTCCTCTGGCTCCGGTCTGCTCCACATCCCCCGCCCCAACCGCCCAACCATCGGTGGCCGGGCCTTCAGCCTCTCAGCCCCTGGGCTCTGGAACTCTATCCCCAGTGCCTTCACCACTTCCTCCCTTTCCTCCTTCAAGGCCGGTCCCAAGATCTTTCTCTTTGACGATGCCTTCAGCTCCCCTCTCGACTCTCTAACCCCTCCTCGCTCCCTTCCTTCCCTCCCCTCACCCTGACCATTTCCCCCTTGCTCGGATCCTGACCCAACTGTACAGAGCCTTGGGACGTCCTTCCGACGTGAAAGGCGCTCTATAAATGGAATCTTGTTGTTGTTGTTGTCGAGCCACTCATACATGAAGCAGATGAGAGTAATTGCAAAGACAAGCAAAGCTATTTGACAAAGGCAGAAGGTTGGATGCTTACTCGGAGCAGGGTATGACCACAAGATCACAAACGTGGTCTGCATGAAGAAGGCCTTTTGGCCCATCTGATCTCATCCCTCAAGAACATCCATCCTAACGTCCCCCAGCTGCTTTTTAAATGAGTCCCAGTGTCCTGGCCTCTCCCACCTTCCATGGCTACCTATTCCAATCATTGATTACCCTCTGCATTTAAAAAAAACTTCCTGGTGTTTGTCCTAAAATTGTCTTTTACAATTCTAAACCTATGTCCTCTTGCTCTACTCTCATGATCCATCCTAAAGTATTGATCTGGGTTTATTTTTTTGTTTTGACGTAACAAACCTTTGGATTCAGAGGTGAGAGCCCCCAAGTATATTGTTATGGCTTTGCACTGCTTGCAAGTTGCCCATTGAAGGCATTGATTGGAAGATACAAGAGACATCGGTCCCAACTATTGATTCTTATCAATATCAGGAGGTTGGGATGGACACCAATGTTTGCTTGGACATTCAACTTTGTGATCAGGCTAAGGGAGCAATCTGCTTGTTCTCATCTCTCTTCAAGGTCCCAATGTAGGTCAAGCTTGTGGCATATTAGACTGGTGTCCAACAGTTTTCCTTTATGGTTCTGAGCTCCTGGGGATGCAGCAGAGTGAGGCCAAGAAGTGAGGGAGGGCTACGGCCTACACAGGCTTGTCTAAGCAGCCTGGAGGACGAGTGGCTTCTATTTGCCAAGGCCCCTCGCATGAACTTAAGAACATAAGAATTTGCTATGCGCAAAAAGACCAACATCCATCGAGTTCACCTTCCACCATCCCGGCAGTTGCTTAACTTGCCGGTGTCCCAAATTCTATACTGTATCCTGAAATATTTTCCACCAGAAATTGTATCTAATATTTTTGAAACGAACAACACTTTCTGTTTCCACCGTCTCCCTTGGGCGCATGTTCCATACGTTTACTACGCTCTCACTGAAGCAACGTTTCTGCAGATTTGTTCTGAATTTATCCCCATTCAATCGTAGGCCATGTCTTCTGGTTCTACAATTCAGTACAAGATAAACACCTTATCATGGTCCCTTCAGAAACTTAAAGACCAGACCTTAATCTACTAGGACCTAGATTAAACAGGTGGTGCTGAGTAAACTTGGTACATGGATTTGGATCTCGAGAACATCAAGCAGCCAGACATGTCATAAGCTAGTCCAGTAAAGGTCCTCCCACGACGCTGAAGGCAGCTGCCCACCTGACAGCTGATGAGGAAACTCGTGAGGGCTGGGGCAACAGCTGCTGGAAGGCACTACCTGGAGTCATAGTTCATGAACACATGTTTGTACATCCAGCACCAGGAATCCACCTTGATTTGGTTTGCAGAGAGGCACACAGCTGCTGCTTGAACTCCAGACTTTCAACTGGTGGATCCATTATTGTGTTCTACAATATTCTGCTAAACTGCAGTAACCCACCTTTATTTTCCTCCTTTCCTTGTTTGTAACATCAATGTTTTCCCAAACATGGAACTGATTTGATGCTTAAATTGGGATGTTTTGGGGGATTGATATTTGGATATTGGATATTTAAGTATCCAATCGATCTTTCTCATGTGGCATTTTATCTGCAGTTTATCTGCATTTTATCTGCAGTTCTTTCAAAGAATGAAAGATAATTCAAGAAAGATAATTCTAATAAATTATTTTACCTGATCTGTTGATTTAGTTTTGCTTTTTTTTCTGGAATATTTTATTTGATGTAAAATGTGTCTTTCATTGAACATTTAATGTAAAACATTTTTGTTTCCCTGTAGAACTCAGCGAATGTCAAGGTTGTTACCCCTATTTTGGAGACTGTAGATGTGGAGCCCGTACCACAGAATATTGAAGGAGAAGTACTGCTTTACACTGTATTATAAAGCATCTTATATTGTACCATATACAACTACATGTGATTATAGGGTAATCTGCAGACTCCAGACTTTCAACTGGTGGAACCATTATTGTGTTCTACAATGTTCTGCTAAACTGCTAAAGAAATTTTATTTTTCACATGCAGTCAAATTAATAATCATTGTATTAAGATACAGTATAAAATCAATAGAGCTTTTAACTGGATTTTTTTATTTGTTCGACAAACTCCCAATAGTGAACCTTGCAGTTTTATGTCCCGATTTCAAAAAAATATATATTTTACAAACTTTTAAATGATTGAAAAGAATGTTTTTATAATAATAATCCTTGCATGTGATATAACGCCTTATCACGTCGTTGAGACGTCTCAAAGCACTTCCCAGAATATACTGTAAAGTGAATTGACGGTATATGCTACTTTATTTTTAATTGTTACTTTGAACTTTTCAGCAATATGTGGAAGCCAGGTCATTCATTGTGCTGGAGTTTGTTCTGGACAAACCGCTGGTGCAGAAACGACCCCCTGAGGAAGTGTCTCAAAGGTACATTTCAGAAGCTGAGTGTAAAAAGCATTCTCTGATACTGTATTGTAAGTTCCTCTTGGTATTTTTCCAATCAATTTTTGATAATGTTTAAAACAATTTTTTTTCACATTACTTCATTTGGGAATTAACTGGTGTGAAAGATCATACATGCAGTGTTTCCAGTAAAATTCAACTGCATTATTGGCATTAAATGGACAATTGGAACGTGCTGATACCTGAGGCATATGCTGTTTATTTCATCACTTGAAACATCGCAGTATTCTGATGTTAGGATGAATCATGATGTGCACAGTAGTAATGTATTTGGGTGCTAACAGGTTACAGCAAAATCATTAGTTCTTTCGTAGAAAATCCCATTCAGTCTGAAAATGTTGGATTCGCATTCTGTGAAACTCTGCCAAGAAAATAATCTGCTCCACCAGCATGGGCCATGCTTTCTTTCAGCCATGATGCTCCCTGCCTCAGTTCCTCCACCTTGCCCCCTTTTTGTCCATCTTCAGTTCAGTTTTAATTTGTATCACCTGGCCACCGTGTCAACCTTTTTTTAATCATTAATTTCTCACTTGCTCAGGATCTCAGAGATGATTCCTCCTCGAGCTCCATTCCCACGTCGAACAGGTGGAGCAGAAAAGGTTGGTGAAGTAACTAATATCACACAAAACAGTAGTGTTGTAACATGCTGTACCACTACACTACCTCCAAAGATGCTACAATTAAGCTAGTCTCTGATCCTAATTGTCTTATAATACTGAATATCATATGTTTTGTTGAACTCTAATTCTTCAGACAAAAAATTGCAGGGTTTATGGGTTAAGAACGAGGACTAGTTGGATAGCTCCCTCAAAGAGCCAGCATGGACTGAATGGCCTCCTTCTGTGCTGTAGGTTTCTAATATTCTAGGATTCTTTGAATCTATTGAAAAAGTTGTGAGTTGAAAATGTATTCGTTAATATAGGGATAATTTTTTAATATAAATTTTCCTCATATTAAACAAACCGCAACATTACAATAAAATAACTGGCAAAAAAGAGGGAAATTTGAGTTACATAGCTTACAGCTACATCAAACTGCAAAAATGTTCTACTTTTTATCATCATAACAATAAATAATCCAAGGAATGGGTGAAGACTTGTATAGAGTATAACACCGGCATGGACTGGTTGGGCCAGATGGCCTGTTTCCATGCTGTACATTCTTGATAAACTTTTGTAAATGCTTACAGTTGGTATAGCACCTTTCACATTGGGAGGATGTCCCAGAGTGCTTCACAATAAGATGGGGTGACTGTGTTTGTTTTGTGGATGAACACAGCGGCCAAGTTGTGCAATGGTCCACAAATGGCCATGGAGTGAGTGACCAATTTTATTTAGGGGATTGTTGGCCAGGACACCAGGAGAAACTCCTGTACACCCCTGTACTGCATTGCAGTGTCATCTTAGACTATGTGATTCCAAGTCCCGACATGGGGCTTGAACCAATAATCTTCTGACTGACTGAGGGTGCTACCACTGAGCCAGGCTGACACTTCGGGGGGGGGAGGGGGTGAAGATTAGTATGTGTGAGGATATGGGCAGTTGAGTTTTGAATTATTGGAAATTATGAATGTTGGAGCTGGGGAGACCGGCAAGAAAGGCATTGGAAATTGAGGCTGGAGGTGACAAATGCATGGATAAGGGTTTCAGATGCATTGGGTGTTAGGTGTGTTTGGGTGGACAGGTTATGTAGTAGAGGAATGTGGTCCTGGTCAGGGATGTGGGGTAGGAACAACAGCTGGAGATCAGACCTGATGTTTAATTTGTGCACAGGATAGGCCGGGGAGGGCAAATCTCTCACATTCATTGAGCCATAATTCCTAATTCAAACCTCAGCTGATATTGAAGCTCAATCGGCCTCTATAAGTGAGTTGGTATCTTTGAACAAAGTGTTGACCATGGTGTGACAGAGAGGTTGTTACAATTTCACCATATTTAATTCCACATAGAAATATTAAAGGAAGTTGGCTTCATTTCCATTGTGTTGTCATGATCACTTTCTTATTTTTCATGCTTAATATTATGGTATGCACATCCTAATGCAAATTCCAAGACTAGCATGGTCCCTTATAGGAATGCACTTTTATTTTGGTAGATAGCCATCTACACACAATGTTACATCCATATTCTATTCGGAAACGTGACTTTTATTCCATGGAGCATCTCCTATCTAAATTGTTTTCTGTCTGTCATAGGCTGTTGAAGACTACCACAGTCAGATATTGAGTGTGGCTGGGATCATCATGAATGAATACCAGGATATGTTTGGAAGCCACAAACCAGAGGACAAAGCCTCATTTGATGGGTACGATCGGGAGGAACACAAACAAAAACTTATGTATGAGCTGAATGCTTCAGGAAAATACTTTGCCTTCAAGGAACAGATAAAGGTAGAGCTTAGTTATGTCTTCTTTGGGGGTGGGGTGGGGGGAGGAGTTGGATCTCCTCCGAGCTGAATTGGCTCCAAGGTGACATCCTTGGTAATGGAATGTCAGAATCGAGTCCATCCTCTGTATCGTTCTTTTGTCCAGTTCCCAAGCCAGATGGGTCTGCAGTATTCCAAGGCACTGCTGATGACAGCACAGCCAGCTGGCTCATCGGCAGGGAGAGGTAGTCACTGGGGGCAGGGAGTTATCCCACTCAGCTCCTGTTAAACCCGCACGCCCAAGCCCTAATGGGTAGGGTGGTCCTAGCTGGATAAGTAGCGGGAAAGCTTGCCAGACAGTGATATCAATTGCAAGCTATGGGGTTTTAGCTGGTTAATTTCCAGCAGTTACCCCAATGCATAATCGGGTCCCCAAGTCTTGGCTCTTGTCTTCTAGCACCTAAAACTCTTTGGAATTAAGTAAGTAGGATGCATGCCTCCTGGGAGAATATTCTATTCCAGAACCAGAAATTTCCATGTGTAGGTGGGATGCATGAAATTCTCCATTTGGTTTGGATACACTTGAGCATGGTGATGGATTTCTGCATGTGTCAGACACCTAGCTGACCAAAAAAATTGACTTCAGCTTGCTCCACGTGAAATTTTGCCAACTGCAGCTACTTCTCATTACAGTTTTGCTTTCTGTACAGTTAGAAAACATTAGTGATGTCAATCCAATTTGATTATATTATAAAACAACAATATCAATCAGTTAAATAAATAGAAATGTTAAGCATTACACCAAATAAAAATAATAATAAATCTTGCATTTGGTGTAGCGCCTTATCACACCAGAAGAACGTCTCACAGCGCTTCACAGGAATTACTGTGAAATGGAGTGACTGTGTATTTGTAGGGAAACGCAGCAGCAATTGTACGCAGCAGTGCCCCAGAAACAGACGTGAAGTGAGTGACCGATTTTATTTGAGGGATTGTTGGTCAGGACACCGGGAGAGAGAAACTCCCTTCTCTTTTCAAATAGTATCATGGGATCTCTAACGTTCACGTGAACAGGCAGACATGACCTCAGTTTAAATTCTCATCCGAGAGACAATGCAACACACCCCCACACCCCAGCACTATATTGGAGTATCAGCTTAGACTATGTGAATTCAGGTCCCAACATGTGGCGAGGAGGAGAGAGCACTACCAATGAATCAAGCTGATACACAATTATATATCCTTTTTTTAAAAACAGTACAAATAACACAAGCATCTTCAAATAAATTGGACATATAAATGCCTATGACATTTGCTGAGTCTTAAATACTATACATTACATTACTGTATATTAGGATCAAACAGAGTAATACATTTTTTCAATTAATTTTCATGATGCGGATGAAAAGAAAGGAATTATTTTACTTATTTAATGAGACATTTCGTAGAGATGACATATTGTTAAAGTTGGTCATTTCCATTTCCAGCATGCAGTTGTGAAGATTGTGCGGGAAAAGTACTTGAAAACGGTGGCCTTTGAGGACAGAGAGCAGCTTCAGTCTTTCCTCAGCGAGCTGTATGTGTACCTGGTGGATCAGATGCACTGTTGTCTGCACAAGGTAGGGAAAGGCTGGATTGGTTTGAAGATTATTTTACAAGATTGGTTTGGGTGAAGGCTCATCTGATTTCATTCCTCAGAACTACCCCCTACCATACATTCATATATCATATACATCCATTGTGGAGTCCTGTAGTTTGGTGGTTAGAGCATTTGCCTGTCAAGCGAGAGGAGCCTGGTTGTTAGTTAATTGCCAGATTGCTTTTCCGGGGGTAATAATCCCATCAAAAAAATAGTAATAATAATAATAATTTGATCATTCAACCCACGACTGTTTGTTGAACACGGCTGTGTGCAATTGCCTGCCATGTTTCGCCCACAAAATATACAGTCAATTCACTTCACTGAGTAGGATGGTGGACATGGAGTCCATTGTAGCTTTCAAGTGAGAAACAGACAGGCATATGAAAGAGAGGGGTTTGAAGGGGTATTGGAATACGGAGAGGCGGTGGGATTTAATTCATCTCCTTGCTCTGTGAGCTAGTGCAGACTCGATGGGCTGAATAGACCTCCATCTGCACTGTATATCGACATCAAGATCCTCACACTCGTGTTCAAATCCCTTCACTCTCTGGCACCTCCCTACAACTCCGACCTGCTCACACCCCATCCACCACTAACCAGCACCTCCGTTCGACTGGCATCGGCCTCCTGCTAGTCCCTCGCACCCTCCGCTCCACAATCAGAGGTCGCGCTTTCAGCCACTACTCCCCAGAACTCTGGAACACTCTCCCTTCGCCTTGCCCGAAGACCGTATATTTTATCAGCAGCCAATTTTCCCGTAGCAATGTCCCACAAACAGCCATGGAGAGAATGACCAATTTTATTTGTAGGATTGTTGGCAAGGACGCCAGGAGAAACTCCTTTCTCTGTTTAAGTCATGCTGTGGGATCTTTAATATCCACCTGAACAGGAAGACAGGACTTTGGTTTGATATTACATCTGAGGGACAGTACCTCCAACAATGCAGTGCATCCCCAGCACAAGTCCCAACATGTGTCTTGAACCCATATCCTTCTGACTCAAAAGCAAAAATGTTAACAAACTAAGCCAGGCTGACATCTGAACATATGGAAGCCACCAATTTATCTCTAATATGGCAGATTTCAGGAGTAATGATCAGTAGGGTTTCTATTGTTTACTTTATAAGCAGAGTTTTGAACACTGATTTGTTCGTATTCTGAATACTTGTCTTTGTCTCCACTCAGATGCTGCATGTGGAACTTCCAGACCCAGTCCCACAATCTATTATTGACAGCATGCACTTAAAACACTTTGCTAATGAAGCTGAAATGAATAACGACTTTGAATTAGCAGCTAAATACTTAGAAGAGGTGAGAGCCTGGGAAGCCGTGCAGATGATTTAGATGTGGAGTCCTGTAGCTTGTAGTGGTCCTGTTGTGGTTAGAACACTCACCTTGCAAGCAAGAGGACCCAGGTTCGATTCCCGGGCAAGGAGAAATGTTAGGCAAGTTTCATTACTTCACATGCCTCTGTTTACCTAGCAGTAAGTAGGAACCTGGTTGTTAGTTGAACGGCAGATCAATGAAGGACTGCACCTTGAACAATGCAGGAGTGACAGCTTAGACTGTATGATTTCAAAGTCCTGATGTACGGTTTGAACTCACAAACTTCTGACTCAGAAGCAAAGGTGCTATTCACCAAACCAGTAAAAGTTTATATTTTGCAGATAACATGGCAGAATGCACATTCCATTCCAAACAAAAGGAAGTTTTCAGGTGCAGGTGGCATACATATGTGAAACTCTGGTTTAAATACATGGTGATGGATTTCCACAGCTGAACAAAACAAAATGATTTGTGTGTCTCTCAACTTCCACATGTATGCGGATGACACCCAAGTCTATTTCTCTGCCTGTGCCCTCGACTCCAGGACCGCTGATGTCTTGACAGACTGCCTGTAAGACATCAAGTCCTGGATGAGAGCCAACTTTCTACAGTTGGACGTCAGCTAGACCAAGGCTCTTCTGATTCGGCTCGTGCCAGTGCCTCCACGCCTCATGCACTGGCAGCATCAACATCCATGGATGCACACTCCACCTCACTGAGCCAGTCAGGAATCCAGGCATCTTGTTTGACCCTCAACTGTCCTTTCTCCCCCACATCCGTGCCATGACCCGCTCTGCCTTCCCCCAACTCCGCAACATTGCCCAACTCTGCCACTGCCTCACCCCTCGGGCTGCTGAAACCCTCATACATGCTTTCATTACATCTAGGCTCGACTATGCCAACTCCCTGCTTGTTGTCCATCACAACTCTTACCTCCACAAGCTGCAGATCATCCAGAACTCTACAGCTTGTGTCCTCTCCTGCATCAGACTCCGTGACCCCATCACACCCACACTCGCCCAGTTCCACTGGCTCCCCATCCCTTGGAGGATTAAGTTCAAAATCGTTGTCGTCACCTCCTACCTCTCCGACCTGCTGATCTCTTATCAACCTGTCTGCTCTCCGCTCAGCGGGTTCCGGCCTGCTCCATGTCCCCCGCCCGGCCCGCCCCACCATCGGTGGTTGGGCTTTGAGCCTCTCTGCACCCATCCTCTGGAACTTCATCCCACATTCCCTTCGCCTCGCTCCCTCCCTCACTTCCTTCAGGGCACACCTCAAGACCCTCCTCTTCGACCGTGCCTTCGGCCGCCTTCCTACTGTCCACCCTCCCTGATCCCAACCCCAATGGCTCAGGCCATAATCTCTGACTGTTCAGTGCGTTGGGACATCCTCCGGACATGAAAGGTGCTTTCCAAATATAATTTTGTATTGTATTTTGTATTGGCATGGAAATGTCTCAGTCTGCAAAATTAAAAAAACACTTTTCTCTACAGCGATTAGCACGTGACCGGAACAGTCCTGACCACTGGTTTGACTATGGTGTCTTTTATCTCGTGATAAATGAGAATGGCAAGGCAGAGGAGTGCTTTCATCAGGCTGTGGCTTTAAACCAGCAACATCTACCGAGGTCAGTCATACCTGCTGATGATCTACCACTAACCTAGGGCCGAGCAACAATCAGTAATGAGATGTTTAGACTGAAACACAGAGCAGCACCACAATGGAGTGAGTGCCTGACAGGGTGGGTATTGGTAGCAAGCAGGTGCCCAGCGCAGGTCAGTCTTTCCCAACAATTGAAGGAGAGAAATCTGATTGGGAATTTTCTCAATTTTCCTCAGAGTCTGACAACAATAGCATGGCACTAACGAGCGTGGCAAAGAGGCTACCTCCTAGAACCGTAGAAATTTATAGGACAAAAGGACATTCGGTCATTCAACAGGAATCCATTCAGTTACTTTATCTATCCTTTCCCTGTAGTTTACTCTTTTTTAGACATTCCTCTAGTTCTCTTTTAAAGCTTATATGGATTTTCCTCCATCTTATTCCCACTTTCGGTGGTCTATAATAAATTTCTAATAGAATAATATTTCCCTTATTTCTCACCTCAATCTTTTCACGCATCCTCCAATCCCTTGTGCTGTAATAGAATCCTTGATTGGTACTGCCCTTTCTTCCTATTCTATCTCCTAAAGTTGTATCTGAATGGTTTATTATGATTTTGTGCTTGATTGAGACTGAATATGCTGGTTATTCTCTAGCCTGATCCTGTGCGGTGTTATTTCATCAATGAATCAGCAATATGAAAATGCTGAGACCTTCTTTCAGAAAGCCACATATGCTGATCCAAAAAGTGTGCTGGCTTGGACAATGCAAGGTAAGGTTCAGAAACTAATAGTTTCAGAATGATATATTCTTATATATTCCCAATTTATATTCAGACTGGTTCAATTCTGACTGTGATCTGACTTCTATGCTAAGAAAGTAAGTCACTACAGTATATAATGACACTATAGCTACCGCTGTAACTACAGCTAATGAATGTTGATGTTAGTTATTAACTCAAGGATGTTTACTGTAAAAACTGGAGTCACCAGACTTTACAGTGAAATATTGTGATATTTGAGATATCAGTGGTAGACTGGTTTGGTTGCACTCCTGCAGAATGTTTACTATTCAGTCATAAAACATGAACTCGTGAAGGGAATAGATAATGTAGAGCATGACAAGCTGTTTTATCTTGTACTGAACAGTAAACTAGAGGAGATGGGCTATGACTGAAGGGGGGTAAATTCAGAACAAATCTGTGAAAATACTACTTTAGTGGGAGAGTAGTAAACTTATGGAACAGGCTCCCTAGGCAGACAGACACTGGAAACAGAATATGTAATTTGCTTCAAGAACAAATTGGATAGATTTCTGCCAGAAAATAATATCTCAGGATATAGTGTATAGTTTGGGACCCGACATGCCAAACGACTGCCAGGATAGTGGAAGGCGAACTAAATGGACCTTAGTCTTTCGCCTAGCAAATTCTTATGTTCTTATGAACTTGACATTCTGTTGCTTTATACTCCAACTCCTATTCTCCTTGGCTTCGTGGATTACTACAACTAGCCCAGCACATCCTTCCGGTGCAATAGCTCAGCTTTTCCACAGGAACCCTTCACCTTTGGCCAACCCACTACCCGCTGTCTCTACTCGACTACCTCTGACCTCCTGCACGTCCCTTGTGCCCCCCGTTCCACCATTATAATAATAATAATCCTTGCATTTGACATAGTGCTTTTTACGTCTTCTCGATGTCTCAAAGCGCTTCACAGAATATGCTGTAAAGTGAATTGACTGTATATTTGTGGGCGAAACACGGCAGCCAATTGAGCACAGCAATGTCCCACAAACAGTCGTGGATTGAAAATGACCAATTTATTATTGTTTTTGGTTTTTGGAAGGATTATTATTAGGTGTGTGGAATAAGAAAACTTGCCCAAGGTTTCGCCCTGCCTGGAATTGAATCCAGGTGTCTTGCCTGCAAGGCGAGTGCTCTAACCACTGAGCTACAGGACTCCACATTGGTGGCCATGCTTTCAGCCGCTACGCCCAGAATCTCTGGAACACTCTTCCTCTATCCCTCACCTTGCCTCCAACTTCCTCATCTTTAGGTCACATCTGAAGACCTTCCTCTTTGACCGTGCCTATGGTCACCTCCCCCTTCCCCCAGTTTGACGACATGCTCCGCCACTGTCAAGCGCTCTGAGACACTACCCTGCATGAATACCTGGCATTTCATTCATCCAATTTTCAAATGAAATAATTTGTTCTCTTTAAATTGTTCTGGAGCAGGATTATTCTATGAAAGTCAGGACAATGCAATTTTATCAGAAATGGCTTTCTTCGAGGCAAAGAAGCAACATCAAGCAGCTCAAATGCTGCTCAGGTCTCTAAATGCAACATTGGACATAAAGGAACCAGAGACATCATTTGGAGTTGATAGACCCTACGACAGAGGTAAAAAGTACATTCTTAATATTGTTGGGGAATGCTGGTGCTCATTGTTTATTTTTATTTATAAAGTTAGGCACCAGCCTAACAATAAATATTTGTCTGAGGGATGGTGGAATGCATTGCCTTTCACATGGGGAAGAACATCTCAAGACACTGTACAGTCTGGGATTTGCACCCGAGCAGGGGTTTGGGATCAGGACAGGTGGAGGGTAGGGGTAGGAGAGTGACTGGAGGCGCAGTCAAAGATGAAGGTCTTGAGATGGGCCTTGAAGGAGGGATTTCAGATTTTAAGACTGTCTCCTAGCCTGAGTAATAATAAACCTTGTATTTTATACAGCATCTTTCATAGCAGGATTCACAGGGTTTACTTTGTAAGCAAATGCAGCAGCCTTTTTGAGCACAGTGTCCCACAAATAGCTATGAAATGAGTAACCATTTTATCTTGGAAGATTGTTGGCCACAAAACCGGGAGAAACTACCTTCTTTTTTCGAATAATGCCATGGTATCTTTAACATACCAACAAACAGGCAGACAGGACTGCAGTTTAATGTCTCATCTGAAGTACGGCATCTATGATAATGCAGCACATTCCCAGCATTGCATTATAATGATAATAAATAATAATAATCCTTGCATTTGATATAGCGCCTTACCACGCATTGGAGTATAAGCCTAGACTGCATGAGTCCAAAGTACTAGCGTGGGGATTGAACCTTCTGACTCAGAGGCAGAGTGCAGCCAACTAAGCCAAGCTGACACCTTGAGTCATGAGCCAAAAATAATTGCAAATCTTACCTATGGTTTGGTGTTCCTGAATACCGCTTGTCAGACACTGCACATTCCTGAGGTTGGGTGGTTATACATCAGCGAAGGTTCAATGCTTCATTCTTGCGGTTTGTAGTAACTTATAAGCACAGTTTTGCTGTATGTTTTGTTTCAGCTTCTCACGATGGCAGTTTTCCTGGAAGTGAAACTGGGACCCGAACCTCCAGCATTGCATCTTCCAAACCCTCTGGTGATGGTAAAATAGGGAAAATTGGAGGATCCAAAAGTTCAAAAACCGGTTCAGGCGGTAAAGGCAGGCAGAATTCTGTAAAATGTATGCAGTTTTTTTATTTGCCTTTTCTTCTGCACCTCCTCCAATAAAAACTCTCAGTTTTTGTAACTTGCATTTTCCCAGATTGCTTGGCAGGTCTGGATTGATCAGCTGGAGAAGGTAAAAATAGTGAAATCTTAGTGATTGCTGTTTTTCTTCTAATCAGGCCCCACTTCCAAATGATGGGTGTTGTGAGGAAATATATTTAGTAACACAGATGGCAACTGATTAAACTCACTAAAACTTTAGTAGGAAGGTTTAAATTTGTGGCTGGTTCCTGTTTTGTTATGAGCTATTTTGACTGTCCTCCACATATCCACTAAGATTTTTTTCATTTATTTCAGCTGGATCCAACAGCAAATTAATTTCTGATAGCAAATTGAACGTTGGAGGATCTGGCTCAGTCACACGTATGCGCGCTAAGTCAGTCTCCTCCAGTGGTGGATCGAAAAAAAAGATGAGTTCTATAAAAGGTAAGCAAGTCCTTTATTTTTCTTTCTTTGAGCTCCTCCAATATTTAGTTACAACACCTCTCAACTCCATATGTTTCCTCCATTGAGGGAGAGGACAGCAACTTTGACTTCCTTCATGCCAAATTTTAGTCCAAGAACTGAATTCACAAGATTGGTTTGATGAAGAAACCCTTCAGTCCATTTGATCCCCTCCTAGAATACCAGAAAATGATATAGATAAGCTTCAGGATAGGCAAATGGGTGGCAGGTGAAGTTTAATATAGGGAAATGTGAAGTGATTCACTTGGGTTGGGAGAATAAAGAAGCTGTCCATTCCCCTGAACGGTGGGAACCTGAGAGGGGAGAGGAGCAAAGGGATCTAGGGGTTCAGATTCACAGGACTCTGAAAGTAGCAATTCAGGTGGAGCAGGCCAGAAAGGATGTTGATAGAGGCCTGAGTTTTATGTCCAGAGGAATAGAGGAGGTGATGTTCCATTTTTGTAAATCATTGGTTAGACAACATTCGAAATACAGTGTAGTTCTGGTTGCCCCATCACAGGGAGAATGTGTGTTAGCCTGGTTCAATTGGTAGCACTCTTACCTCTCAGTCAAAAAGTTCCGGGTTCAAGCACAACATTGGGACTTGGAACTCATATACTCTAAGTTGGGACACCAATACAGTGCTGGGGGTGTCCTGGTTGGAGGAAACATCGTACGGATCGGACATTTAACCGAGGCCAATTGTTATTATTTTTTGAAATCCTCTTCATTCTTCCTGTTGCTATACAATGCAGCTCACTGAAATCCTGGCACCTGCAGCACTTGACCAATGGTCAGCAAAAAACAAATACAGTAAAACTTGCATAAGTCCTATCTTTATAAATCGTATAATCGCCTAAGTCAAACATGCCCCCGAGTCCCATTCAGTTTCCTATCAACACCACTTAGATTTCTTTGCACTAGTCATGTTAATCACCTCCTAAGTAGTAACGCTGCTCCCCTATCCTCCTGTATTCCCGCACTTATCAGCTGCATTCAATCGTGGGAATTGATGTCCTGACCCGGAAAGGCATAGAGTGGGTGTTCTGGAAGGATGAGATAAGATGGGCCAAGGGGCTTGATCCAAACCAATCTAGTGATGTTCTGAATAACAACAACATAACACACTGGTAGTCTATATGTGTATAGAGAGTGGCAGGACTTGGATTTTCAATACAGGGAAACCTGGATAAAATATATATGGACAGAAATGTGAGATAGGTGATGCTGAAATAGAATAGTTCTTAAATTGCTCATTTTAGTTATATTTACAAATAAAGTGAGCAGATTTGATGCGCTCTCCTACAGGAGAGGATGAAAATATTTCAGCAATATCTGGTCAATTTCACCTGCTTTTATGCAAGAACAAAATGCCTCAAAACAGTATGACAGAACACTGGGGGTTATAGTCCTTGGGAAATCCTCTTAAAGGACATATATAATTGGACCTGGTTATAACGAGCCATGTTACAGTATGGCCATCATCAGCCCTTCTGTCATGTTAAGACAAAATGGGTCTCCCAAGCATTTCCAGTCAGTGTTGTTAATCCCGGGAGGCCTTCTGTGCGTTTGCGCAGGAAGTTAGCCAGTTTGCACAGGAAGCTGGATGTTTACAGCACTTTGGTACACTGTGGCTCCACAGTGCAAACATAACAATGTAAGAATTTGCTGGCGAAAGAAGACCAAGGTCCATCTAGTTCGCCTTCCACCATCCGGGCAGTCGCTTGACATGTCATGTCCCAAACTGTATGCTGTATTCTGAGATATTATTTTCTCGCAGAAATCTATCTAATTTGTTCTTGAAACAATAACATTGTCTGCTTCCACTGTCTCCTTAGGGAGCCTGTTCTACTACTCACTCACTATGGAGTCCTGTAGCTCAGTGGTTAGAGCACTCGCCTTGCAAGCGAGACACCTGGGTTCAATTCCAGGCAGGGCAAAACCTTGGGCAAGTTTCCTTACTCGACACGCCTAATAATAATCCCTTAAAAAAACCAATAATAAATTGGTCATTTTCAATCCACGAATATTTGTGGGACACTGCTGTGCGCAATTGTCTGCCACATTTCGCCCACAAAATATACACTCTACAGTATATTCTGTAAAGAGCTTTGAGATGTCAACGTGATAAGGCGCTATGTCAAGTGCAAGGATTATTATATATTGGGGAGGAAAAAAAAGGGAAGAATAAAAATGAATAGAAGATGTGAGCAAGCCCAATATTCAGGAATACAGGCAGTAAAACAATTAATCTGGTCCCTGAATATGGTGGGGCAGTTAGAGCCAGCACTTGAGAAACGTGCATTATTGATGTCCAAATTTATGTTGTTTGGGGTTTGAATTAGAATGCACTGTAGGGCTGGATGGATATTTAAAGACCATTGAGTTCATTCTGCCTTTTCAGAAATACCAAAGATCCTTGAAGAGATCACAACTGTAGGGTCAACAGGGAGCCCAGGAAAACCATCAGAAAGAGAGCCTACACCAGGACCCACAACTAGCATCTTCTTGAAAACATCTGAGTTCTTACTCAACAGTAATGCCCTGGAGGTTAGTTATAATCTTTGTTGAGGAATGGTAAAGGAATTTGCATTTTTATAACTCATGCCTAAATATGTCAAAACGCTTCGCAATAATCCAGCCAGTTTGGCTCATCAGCAGGACTTGGAGGGGTAGACAAGTTATTGGAAGCAAAGATTCTTCCCAGTTGGCTCCGTTAATGTTACTAGTGAAAGCCATAATGGGTAGGTCGGTCCTAACTGAACAAACAGCGAGAAAGCTTGTAAGACAGTGCTCTCCAGCAGTACCCCAAAGCAAACTATGGGTGGTCCCTCTTTCCAACCAATACCTAATATTCTCCAGAATTAGTTAAATTGGGTGTGTTCTTCTGCACACTCTCTGTGTGTAATCTCATCCTGGATGTAAAAATTTACATTCTCAGACTCTAACCAGCTAAAACTGCCCAGCTTGCCTTTGAGAGCAGTGTCTGGTTAGCTTATTGCTGCTTGTCCAGATATCTGCTGGGGCTTTGGCTTGCAGGATTAACAGGAGCTGAGTGGGAGCATTCCCTGTCCCCAGTGACTTGGTTTCCCCCTCTAAATCGTATTGATGAGCTAGGCTTTATTATCAGCAGTATCCTGGAGCACTGATAACGCACCTAGGAGCATCGAACCATAGAAATTTCCATTACATATGAAGGACATTTGGCCCATTGTGTTGAGAAGACATTTGAAACAGGATTCATTTTACTGTACATTGTACAATGTATTTGTAAGCAAATGTGGCAACCCAATGCACTGAGCAACATCCTGCAAACAACCAATTTTATTTGGGGGAATTGTTTGACAGGACACCAGGAGAAACTTCCTTCTTGTTTCGAGTAGTGCCATAGAATCTTTAACGTATACCTGAATAGCCACACATAGGAGCTGAGTTCAACGTTTCATCCAAAGCACTGTGCTCTCTGACAATGCACCCACCCCTCTCTAACACAACAATGGAGTATCAACCTAAGCAGCAATAAGCTAACCAGACACCGCTCTCAATGGCAAGCTGAGCAGTTTTAGCTGGTTAAGTTCCAGCAAGTGTTTGGAGTATGATGGAAAGTGTAGCCTGCTTAGGTAGACTCAGTTCCATATCCCGACATGGAGCTTGAACACAAAAATGCCTGAATCAGGCAAGAATGCTAACAACTGAGCCAGGTTGAAGTGAATGATCAGTTTTTTTGGGGGGGATTACTGGAGCGAGAAAGCTTGCCAGACAGCAAAATCAATAGCAAGCTATGAGGTTTTAGCTGGTTAGACTCCAGTAGTTACCCCAACGCACACTCTGGGGTCCCCAAGCCTTAGCTCTTGCCAACAATACTTTCCGGAATTAGGTAAGCAGGATGCATCCCTCCAAGGAGAGAGTGCACATTCCATTCTTACAATCTATCTCTGGGATTTCCATGTGCAGGTTGGATGCATGGAAATCTCAGCTTGGTTTCTGCATGTGTCAGATACCTGGCTGACCAAAAAAGAATCAAATTCTTACAGTGATACAGCAAAGAAAGGAGCCATTTGGCCCAACTAGTCTGTGCATATTTTATACACCTCACCTCTTCTTAAAACATTGATGCACTTTTTTTTCTCTCACTATTAGTTTGTACCGAGAGCCATGTCACATGAGTTGCTGGACGCTGACGGCGGACCGAGCTATCAATATAACCTGCTTCTGGCTCAGTTCTACGTGCTGCGGCAGGAATTTGAAAAAGCTGAACATTGCCTGCAGGAAGCAGCCCGATTCAATCACCAGGTAAGTGAGGAGGTAACCTAGTAACCTAGGTAAAAATACATCGCAATAACTAGTCTAGAGGAGTGTAACTCTCATTTGCACTTATAATGGGAACTCTAATAGGTGGATAAACTTTTTCTGCTTCTCTGGTTCCTTCTGCTGCATGGAAAAAGACTTGTACCTACAAATCATTGAATTCCCTTTTAATAAAAATAAATCCAGGGAAGTGTCTCAGGGTGTAGAAAGTGGAAACATGACTGTCGATGGTGTGTTAATTTGTACGTGTCTGAGAAACTTAAAATTGATCTGCTCCACATAGGGAGCCAGTGGAGTCTGGCAAGGACTGGGGTGATGGGGGTGCAGAGTTTAGATCCTGTATTGAGCACTGTACTACACTTTATGATTTGTGGATCAATTCATCTGTTTTCATTTGTTTTGTTTTACCTGAAGCAATTTCTCTTATGACAGCCTCTGAGAGATTAAGACCATCAACAAAGACATTTCCCTTTGTATAAAACACATTATGTGTGAGTAGTGGATGGCTGAGTAAATTGTGACATTGATGTGAGACCACATAGTAATTCTCAGTATATAACCTTATAGCTTATCATCTGTTTTATCGTATTCGATACAATGAATTCCATAAACTTATTTTATTCTAGAATCCAGACATATGGGCTCTAATGGGACATGTACATTATTTGAGCCACAATTACACCAAGGCCAAGGAATTTTATGAGCGTACTTTATCTTATGCTAAAGATGCAATAGACATGCACACCACCTGCCTGAGACTCGGGGCCATTTACCTTGAAGAAAACAGGACTGATTCGGTAAGGACAATTAGTGATGACTCATTTCATAAAATAATAAGGAAGGATGGAAATGAATACAAGAAAATAATCTCATTGGAAAGCTGAAACTGTTTCCAGAATTTTCTTTTAAAATATGTTGAGGCATAGATGCAGGGAGCATCATGAATAAAATAATCAGCCTCAAGCAAAACTTGAAATTTAAAAATAAATTCCACTTATGATCCTTAAAAACTCGCTTTGCAAGCTTTGCAAGTGAGAGACCTGAGTTCAATTCCAGGCAGAGGGCGAAACCTTAGGCAAGTTTCCTTACTCCACACAGAGCCTAATAATAATCCCTCCAAAAACAAAAACAATAATAAATTGGTCATTTTCAATCCATGACTGTTTGTGGGACATTGCTGTGCGCAATTGGCTGCCGCGTTCGCCCACAAATATATAGTCAATTCACTTTACAGTGTGTTCTGTGAAGCGCTTTGGGACGTCCTCCTGACGTGAAAAGCGCTATATCAAATGCAAGGATTATTATTATTATTATTATATTATTAAACTCCATGAACACAAATCCTGGAACAGGTTTAGTATAGTTTTATTTTATTATCCCCTTCCCTTCCTGTCCTCTTCTTTTTATAACCCTCTGAGAGTTATTTTCCAGGTTGGGCAACCTGGTAAATAACATGATGAGTATCCTCCCACTCTGCCCTGCCTCCACTAGCCCCCGTTGTCTCCATACCTGCAGACTGACTAGGCCCCGCTGATTGCTCTGCCTCCAGTCTCGGCACGTGCGTTTTGGCTTTCCCCCAAAATGCCCCATCCCTGTCCTCTACCCTGCATCACTCCGGGGTCCAAATCCCTGATTTCCAGCGCCTTGGGATGTCCTCCCGACTTGAAAGGCACTATACAATGCAATGTGTTGTTTTGGCTTCTATGTTCCTGGGGAGAGAAACCAGTGAAGAATTTGGGAGTTTTCAAGGAAGTTAGTCCACCTGTCAATTGAGTTATTGACCATAAGAGAAGATAAATTAAGGCCCATCTTACAATTACAGCATCAGTTTATTTCTTAAATTAGCCCAGTATCCTTGCCTGTTAACCTGCTCCAGCTGTTGTTTGCCCTCTGTATAAAGAACTAGTTCCTGATGTTGTTGCTAAAGTTGGTCTTCACAGTTCTCGATTTGTGCCTTCTTGCACATCTTAAAAGTTCTGTCTATTTTCTTCATATTATGTACCTCAACAATCCTTTTATGTTGAAGGCAGAAGTCCCAGTTGAGCTCATTATTCATCATCACTCATCCCTCCAATATTGGGGATGAACCCTGATAGTCTCCTTTTTCCTGTTTCTATTTTTTAAAGTATTTACTGTAAAATATAAACCTTTCAGTGCTTGCTTGTGGTATGTTTTCAGTTTAAAAAAGCCAAATCCGCCTACCTCTTGGCCTGCAAGAGAACACCGTCCTGTTTGTCATGGCTAGGATTTGGGATAGCTTCCTATCGGGTAAGCCTATGGTGAACTCCCCACTCCCCTGCTCGGTGTTGTGTTCCGCCACTGTCAGGAATTCTGGGATGCTACCTTATGTGAGGGGCGCTATATAAATGCGAGTTGTTGTTGTGCAAGCTCCAGTTTGCAGGAGAAGCTGAAGGGTAAAAATTGCCCCAAATATATATCATATATAGAATGCTGACAGTTTGAAACCTGCCAAACCAATAGATTGTTGCTCTGATGGAGTAACCTGACATGATGTACACTGTACAGAGCCCTAAAGATTAAAAGGCTTTTCAAAAAAAAGTAAACACTTTTTAAAAGCCCAATTATAAGCACTGTCCTAAGTGAATAAATTAACAACCTCACAAGTGGATGCATTTGAAAGGATCACAAGTACAATTGGGATGCTTTGCTTTTTAACAGATTATGTTATACTTTGCCTAAAATATGTGTTTGTTCTGCACAATCCTCAAGCTTTCTGAACTGAGAGATGCTGAAGATGCTCTTGCTGAAGCAAATATTCTGTGTAACAGCAATTCAGAAGTCTGGGGCTACCTCACATTGGTGTGCTTAAAGGTAAGAACCAGGTGTTCTTGATATAAATGGAAATTATTTCACATTTTCAAAAGTAGTCATAAAAATATATTTTTACATTTTATTTAAATCTTGTGGACGCAGAAGCTCTCGGCAATGTGAGATATCTTTTTAATCTGTAATGCATAGTATAATTTTCAATTTTCTCTCCTCCCTCGACCTCACCCATATAAGCTCCCACTCAAATCGTAGCCACCGTCTTGATCTTGTCATCACCCATGGCCTTGATCACTGACAATGCCATCATCTCCTCCATCATCTCAGACCAATTACTCATCTCTCTTTCCTCCCTGCAAAACCCTCCATTATCTCCTTCTGCCCTGGAAAAAGCCCCCTTCCCCCCCCATCCCAATCAAACACCCTCTCATCCTCACATCTTCTCTCCCTCTAGCTCTCACCAACAGTCACATCCACAGGATTGCGCCGCTTCTGTTTGCAGGTGATATTGTGCTGCTGGTGGATTCACCTGGGGACCTTCTGTGCTGCAGCCGCCATCTTGAACACTGGGCCAAGTGATGGGACATGGTAGTAGGCGCCTCCAAGTGCAGAATCATGGTTCTGTTTCTCTGACACCAACTGGCTGCTCGCCTGGAAAGAAACCCCCGAAAGCTGACCTTATTTGATGTTGGCCAGGATTGTGTTTGTCAGGCCATATATCGAGGTTTTATCTTGGGCAAGTCCCCTCTTCACAAGGTGTCACTTAGCTTTATTTCTTGTGAAGGTGATCAGTCAAATTTATTTTATTTTTCATTATTTCAGACCGGAAGAAAACTGGAAGCAGAGCAATCTTACAAATATGCAATAAAGGTTTGTATAAATATTAAACTTACAAAAGGAGATAACTTTGCCAGGTTGCCAATGTTCTTCTAGTAATCCTACCGTGTATTCAAGGAAAAATTGGTAAATTTACCAACCTTAGTAGATGAGCACATTCTTAATCTATGTGATCTCCACTAGCTCCCCGTTCCACAAACGCCTACAAATTACTTCGTGCCCTAGCAACTCAGATCGAACCTGAAAACTTTCCTGTGTCTGTACCTATGCTTACCGTTCCTTTATCCCCGTTCAACGCTCCTTGACGCTCCTGCAAGAGAAGGGTGCTGGATAAATGCAAGTTGTTGATCTTATAATAGAACAATTTTTCCCATGTAGTTAGGGAGAAGCAGCTGAGTGCCACTCTGAAAGGAAGGGTTGATAATAATATTTCTTGCATTTTTGATATAGCGCCTCATCAGGTCTTTGAGATGTCTCAAAGAGCTTCACAGAATATACTGTAAAGTGAATTTGACTATATTTTGTGGGGGAAACGCGGCAGCCAATTGCGCACAGCAGTGTTGAATTTGATGAACTTGAGTTTACTCCGGCTGTCCCATTGTAGAAGACAATTTATGATTAGTATTTGAAGAGACCTGTTACCGGGCTGCCTCTTCCTCCCCGACCTCGTTTCACCCACAGAATGCACAGTCACCACACTTTACAGTATATTCTTTGAAGCGCTTTGAGACATCTCAACCACGTGATAAGGTGCTATATCCAGTTATTGAAATAAAAGTAAAGGTATTCATGCTGATGCCAAAGTATTTTGTTTCAAACAGTTAAACCTTCAAAATCAGCAGCTGCTTGATGAGATTCACCACTTCCAACAAATGACTGGCTTTGGAAACCCTGAATTCTGAAACCTCTGCGAGCGACCCTTCTCAGCCTTGGGCTGTGTTCTATCAGCATTGTTGGAGAGTCTTCAGGTTTCATTTTATTTCTAATTATTTTTATTATATCAACTTAAATGGCTTTCTCTCCAATATTAACAGTTGTTCAAGGTATAATCCAAATGTTAAGTAACATTATCCAATACCTAATTATATTATTGTTTCATGATATAAAAGCAGAATAAAAAATGTTTTTTTGAAAACTTTCTTGCTTACAATGTTTATGAAGCTCGATGTCATGGTGGACACCAACTTCTGCCGGGTCCTGATTGACAATAAATTGCATAGTGCTTGGTAGCAGTGAGTAAAGTAAACCAGAGGCTAGGTTGTATTAAGGGGGCAATATTGAGCTGAATTATTGGGGTAATCCTGCCACTTTATAAATCAGTGTTGCGACCGCATTTGGAATTCTGTGTGCAATTCTGGTCTCTGCAGTACGAAAAGGATATTGCAGCGATTGAGAGGAGTACAGAGGAGGGCAACCAAAATGATTGAGGGGATGGAGGGACTGGACTATGAGGAGCTATTAGGTAAACTGGGCATTTTCATGCTGGAGCAGGTTAAGGGGTGATATGATTATGGTCTTTAAGTTTCTAAGGGGACTAGATAATGTAGACCATGATAAGCTGTTTTATCTTGTACTGAACAGTAGAATCAGAGGACACGGCCTGCGATTGAAAGGGGGGAAACAGATCTACAGGAACACTACTTCAGTGAGCAGTGGGACATATGGGAGAGGCTCTCTAGGGAGACGGTGGAAGCAGAAATTGTTGATTCTTTCAAGAACAAATTAGATAGATTTGTTAGGAAAGAATCTCAGGATACAATATATAGTTTGGGACAGGACACGTACATGCGGCTGCCAGGTTGGTGGAAAGTGAACTAAATGGACCTTGGTCTTCTTTTGCCTAGCAAATGCTTATGTTCTTAGTTGTAAAATGTCTTAATGTCTTAATAAAAATAAAGTTGCTGGGAACATGCAGCAGGTCAGGCAGCATCTATGGAGAGAGGAAAATCAGTTAACGTTTCAGGTCAGGCTCATTTTCCTCGCACCATAGATGCTGCCTGACCCGCTGTGTGTTCCCAGTGACTTTTTTATTTAAAATTTCCAGCTTCTACAGTATTTTGTTTTTTTGTTCATGTCCTTAATCTCTTGTCAATAAACTTTTACTTTGTTTGAGCCAAAATCTGTGACTGGGCTCTTCACTTTGGCGCCTGATTGGGTGATTGTGGGGCATGAACGGAGCAGGGAACGGGCGCGGGTTCCAGTCTCATCACATTTAAATTGCCACGGTAATCCTTGACGCAACACTAAATGTCGACCGCAATCTGTGACCAGACACTGAATTCGGGGTACAACCCTGGTCCCTGTGAACTCCAGCCCGGTCTCTGTGAGAAGCAAATCTCATCTCATTGAGCTAGAGTCTCAGTGAGGTGCAAAGTTGTTCTCAAGAGGTACCAGATGGGTCTGAGTAAAATACAACGTGAGTGAGGTCCAAATCTCATCCTGGTCTCAGCAAGGTACAAGATTCATCACAATGAGCTACCAGCTTCATCTCCATGAGGTACATCATTGGTCTGAGTTTGGTCTTAGAGTGGAACAACCTCGGTCTTGTCACGGATTCCCAATCCCAATCCCTGAGTGACTGGAGTTAGGGTTTAGGAGTCTGGAGGACAAAACCAATATCACATTTATATTAACGAGAGAGAGACACACACACCCAGACAGAGACACACAACCAGAGAGACACCCAGACAGAGACACACACCCAGAGAGACACCCAGACAGAGACACACAACCAGAGAGACACCCAGACAGAGACACACACCCAGAGAGACACCCAGACAGAGACACACACCCAGAGAGACACCCAGACAGAGACACACACCCAGAGAGACACCCAGACAGAGACACACACCCAGAGAGACACCCAGACAGAGACACACAGCCAGACAGAGACACACACACCCAGACAGACACACACCCAGAGACACACCCAGACAGAGACACACAACCAGAGACACACACCCAGAGACACACCCAGACAGACAGACACCCAGACAGACACACACCCAGAGACACACACCCAGACAGACACCCAGACAGACACCCAGAGAGAGACACCCAGACAGAGACAGACAAAGAGAGAGACACACACACGTATCAGCACCTACTCTGACTGCACTGCGGCTGCGCGCGCGCGCGCGGGGGGGGGGCGCATGCGTAGTGCTTTCAATCGGGAAGGCCGGCGCGATGGCGTCACCGAGCGCCTCGGCGCCATTTTGAGGCGGGAAATTTGTACGTCACAGCGCGACCGACAGAGAGAGAAAGAGAGAGAGAGACTGAGAGGAGCGGAGGGGGTGGGGGTCGGTCGGCCTCTGGGGGTACAGACGGTGCGATAAACAGGGAGGTGAGGGTGACGGGGTGAGAGTCAGGGGGACTTGGCCATCTCGGTGTCCGGGCGGGTGTGAACCCATCGCTGCGCTCTCAAGAGACTCCAAACCGGATAGTAATAATGGTAGTAATAATAGTAATAATCCTTTTGCATTTGACACCGCGGCCTCATCACGTCTTCGAGACCGACCCCGAGCCCTCCCCGGGGACACGCCGCGAAAGTGCAGTGACTGCATACTTTGCGGGGGCGAAGCGCGGCAGCGGCACCGCGAACCCCCGCGGGATTGAGTGACCGCATTTTTTTTTAAAAAAAAGGATTATTACCCCCCACCCCCCACCCCCCCCACACCCCGGAAACACGATCCGCCAATCGACTCACGACCGGGTTCCTGCTTACTGCTGGTTAAACAGGCGTGTGTGTGCGTGCGTGCGGCGTAAGGGAACTTGTCCGATATTTCCCCCCCCCCCCGTCCGGGAATACAACTGAGTATTACACCCACACCGAGAAATCCCCACGTATTGGAATGGGACGCTCACTCTCTCCCTGGAGGGACACATCCTACTTTTCTAATTCCGGGGAGTATCGGGCGCAGGTTGGCCAGAGCCCAGGCTTGGGCACCCCAGTGTGTGGGTTAGGGAAAGTGCTGGAATCTAACCAGCTAACAGCATAATACTTGATACAGCGCCTTATCACGTTTTGGAGAGAACACTGTCTGACAAGCTTTCCCGCTGGTTCTCCAGCTAGGACCACTGTGCCCTTTAGGGCTTTGGCTTGCGGAGATATCAGGAGCTGAGTTGGAAGCATCTCTGCTCCCAGTGACTGGTCTGCCTTTCAAGATCCTGCCGATGAGTCAGACTGGGCTGTCGTTAGCAGTGCCCTGGGGTACTGTGGACCCGCCTGGCTCAGGAACCAGACTGCAGACCGCCACAGAGAATTGACCCGGTTCTGATATTCTGTTTCCAAACATGTGGACCTGTTCTGCTCCAAGGAAACCCCTCTTACCTCCCCCCCCCCACTCACACAGGGATAAAGAGTAAAGACTGGAAAAATACATTTCAATATTCTGCTGCGAGTGCTAAGAGATGACTAGGGAAAGGGAGACTTCAGGGTGGTAATAGAGTGGTGATCAAGGATGGGATAGTTGCGAAAAGGGAATTGGGAGTAAGATATTGGTTGGAAGGGGGTAGGATTAAAAAAAAATGATGGTTGTAAAATATATATGAACAGTGAGGTGAACAAGAGGTCAAAAAAGAGATACAGTTGGAGTGGACAAAGCACATTGTAGAGAGAGAAAGGATTACGGGACTGATAGTCAGTGGAACAAGTGGGCAGGGAGGTGCTTGAATGTGAGAGTAGAATTTGTTTTGTAAGAAGGTATGAGATCATCTGCTAATATGTGCTAAGTGGCTTTTTATATTTGATTAACCTATAAGATTAATATAAGGCTGGAGTTGAACAAAGTGTTGTTTTAGTTTTTGTTACCCAAACGAGTATGTGTCATATATTCATATCGCAAATATTCATATACCTTCTATTCATGTATTGAAAGGTTTGAGAGCTGTACGAATTGCGAAAAATATACTGGTGCTCCTGACAATTCAAACTCAACAAGAGAAAAGTCTGGCTGTGAGGACCTGACAGTGCTATGACTTGCAAAGGTAAGGCAGAAATTGGAAGGAAAATATGAGCAGTTTAGAGTTTACAATGCTGTTATACAACAGTCAATCAAGTACAAATGTATGAACAGGAGAACATTGTTACAATGCGGTTGTTGAGATCAACAAAATAGTTACCTGTGGTATAAGTGAGGATCCTAAACAAGCACCGCCAGTCAGGGCTTCTGGGTTCCTAACATCACCAGTGACACCACTGTACATGTTTGCAGAAACCCAGCCGGTAGCTTTCCCTGCTCGTGATGCAAAACTGAACCGACTAACATCTACATTCCAATCCATCATCTGCTCCCTTCACCCCACCCCCACACTGTTCTTGGCTATCCAACGTTCTCTCCTCACTTAACTGCTACCTGAAATCATCGACCTCATCCTCTCCACTGACACTGAACTGAGACTGCCCTAGTCAATAATATTAATAATAATTGTTGCATTTGATATAGCGCCTTATCACATCGTTGCGACATCTCTGAGCGCTTCACAGGATATATGGTAATAATAATAATAATAATCCTTGCATTTGATATAGCGCTTTTCACGTCAGGAGGACGTCCCAAAGCGCTTCACAGAACACACTGTAAAGTGGATTGAGTATGTATTCTGTGGGCAAAACGCGGCAGCCAATTGCGCACAGCAGTGTCCCACAATTTTAATGCACGAAAGAATAAAACACATGAAATAGTAAAACTTTAAAAGGAATAGAGGGAGCTGAGAGACCAAAGAGTAAATGTACACAAATGTTTAAATGTAGGAGTGCAATATGACAAAGTTGTAAATAAAATTGTTCATGGAATCCCATGTTTGATAAATAAGAGAATAGAAAAATTAAAAGTGGTAATGCTAAACCCGTTTAAATCATTAAATATGCCGCAGGGAGATTATTGTGCCCAGTTTTGGTGACCCTGCTATAGGAAGGAAATTTTGAGGCTTGAGATGACAGCTTTTCAAAGTCACCAATGATATTCTCTCCAACTGCGACCAGAGCCCCATTTAACTCCTTTTTCTCCTTTGTTTCTGCAGCCTTTGACACTGCCGACCATTCTGTCCTTCACTATTTCTTCACTGTTCCTCCTTCACAGTTCTGTCCTTTCCTGGTTTCCTCTTACCAATTTATGTCTTCTGTGAATTTCTGGATAACTGGATTGATAGATGCAGGAAACCTTTTAAAGGCAATTTTAAATTAGATGTCATTGCAAAGTATGTTTACTGTAAATATTTGGGATTATTTTTACTTGTGTCAAATATTTAAATTATTTCCAGTTAAATTATTATATGTATTGTCTAATGGGAATTCTAGTTTTTGTTGGTGAGTTTTACCATCTTTTAAATTTGAATTTTCAGAGTCTCTGTGGCAGCGTCCGTATGTGAATATCTTCAAGCACTTCAAGGTGGAAGAATGGAAGAAATCAACAAAAGAAGGGGATGTAATGAGTTTTATGGTACTGTCTAAACCATATCTATTTTTACTATTTTGTTTTCCCCCTCCTTCAACTGTTTCAGGTTCTATGCATTGTTCTTGGCTGTTCCTGTGGTGAATAAACTACCTGACCTCTACAATGTGATGTAACTACCAAAACATCCTAGTGAGACTAGCTCTCTAATTGATTTTGCCTTGAGGTAATGTACTTGGCCTCTCTGTAATTTCCAGCTAATGGCATAACTGAGATTAGAGAATTTGAGTGGGAGGTAAATCATAGCTGAAGTTCATATCTTATTGCTCCATGGCAATGTCAGTCTGGTGGTGCTAAATCGGACAAAATGCCCTGCCCCAATTCATTTGTTTTCTTACCTGTTAAATATGACGGTTAATTGGGATAACAATCCAAGTTAATCCGGGCAAAATACCACAACATTTTGTATACAGTACTGTATATGAAAAGAATGGGCCACCACCATAGCTTTAATATGTATAGGTTAACCATGGTACTGAAAAGTTGCCTTAATGTTACCAGACAGTACTTGTGTATTTCTTTTGTGTAAATCGTATAAAATTTACTTATACATAACTTTATAAAATTATATGATGATAATAATCCTTGCATTTGATATAGCACCTTATCACGTCTTCTCGACATCTCAAAGCGCTTCACAGAATATACTGTATTGTGAATTGACTATGTGTTTTGTGGGTGAAACGACTTATGATATATGACTTATGCAAGTTTCACATAACTCATACTTTGCATAAGCCATATTAAATGTATGGTCTCAACTGATGCGACTTGTGTGAGGTTTACAGACGCAGTGGACGAATGACCTTCTGTGGTGCTTAACGGTTAATTATAATGTCTATTATTGTATTTATCCATGGATTTTGAAGGACAGAACCTTGAAGGCCACAGTTTACCGTATCCGAGGAGCTATCCCTGCTGGTAACTATATTCAGCTACCGAAAACTACCACTCAATCGCTTGGACTGACTGGCCGTTACCTTTACCTCCTCTTCAAACCAGTTGCCTCCAAGTACTTTGTAGTTCACTTTGATGCAGTCACTGAGGTATGTTATGTTAATAATAATAAGCCTTGTATTTGATAGAGCGCCTTAGCTTTACGGAATATATTGTAAAGTGGATTGATTGCGTATTTTGTGGTCAAAACACAGTAACCAATTGTGGCCATCCAGGCGTTGACATTTTATTCGCATTTGCACCAATATTTTGTTTGTTATATGCACAGAATGATGCGGGATAGCTTCTGAAGAGTCTTAGCAGTGGAAACCATTTATACTGCATTCTTTACTGGGATCAACGACTTATTAACTAAACTACAGAATTGCTGCAATGCACTACAGTAACTCATTTGTAGCTTTAGTACTAATGCTTTGTTAGATGTTTTGGGAATAAGATTGTATTTGGAGAGGCAATGATGAAAATGTTCTGTTCCTGTGAAAAGCTTTGATTGAAGAATTTGCGTAAATTGTTAAAAAGTGCATCTTTTGTCCCCAGGATAGCCAAGTCATTCGCATTTCATTCTCCAACCTCTTCAAAGAATTCAAGTCCACAGCCACATGGCTCCAGTTCCCCTTTATTTGTGGTGCAGCCAAGGGATTTGTATATAATAGCACTGCAAAAACTGCAAAGGAAGGTATGCTACAGAAAGTTTCCAGTGAACCTTTGTTCAAGTTCCATCCCTACCCCTCCTTACCTCCCAGCTCCACTCCTTGCCCCTCTATTAACAGACATCGTCAACCTCCCTCTGTCCACTGGCATTGTTTCCATCCCCTTAGAAACAGCCGTCATTACCCCCACCCTCAAAAAATACTTCTCTATGTCCCATCTCCAACCTCACTTTTCTTTCCAAGGTACTGGAACAAGATGTTGCTTCACAGCTTCGCTCCTTCCTCTTCTGCCACTTCCTGTATGAACCCTCCCAATCGGGTTTCCATGCTGCCCGCAGTACAGAGACAGTCTTCGTCAAAGTTACGAATGACATTTTGTCCACCTGTGACCAGGCTCCCTCTGTCTCCTCGTCCTTCACAATCTATGTTGCTTTAGGCATTGTTGACCACTCTCCTCTTTCTGGTTGTCCTGTTAGTATATTATTTTCTCTTTTCACGTCTTAGACTTGGTGGGCCCTGCTCCTGTTGGTGTGCCATGGATATGCCTAATGATGGATCTTCAGTACATCCTCTCAGTTTACCTTAATCGGCGATACAGCCACCTTAAGAACATCAAACTCTGCTCAAACATGCTTGTTAAGAATATCTTTACCAGTGACATAATATTTGAGCCAAGTAAGTGATGACATTTTTACAGGCTCTTAGGTTTGTGAACTACATGTTGATAGAATATTGCTGTGTCACAAAAAATAATAATGATCCTTGCAATGGATGTAGCGATATATCACATCAATAAGTCTCAGAGTGCCTCAAAATGTTTTCTGTGAAGTGGTGATTGTATGGTAACCTAATAACATATTACAGTCCTGATATCCTTTTCCCTTTGTGAGCAATTCTACCACATGTTTTGTATGGGCGATAAAGTGGAGCTTAACTCAATTGACATTTGTGAATCTACATAAATCGCAAAGGCACCACATTGTAGCAAATTAAGCTAGAATTCTAGTTTCTGCCCTGCTTCAGTGGAGTGAGATATTTGGGGGATCGTCCAGATGTCACCCATCATCATGCTATCACCGGGGAGGAGGAGTCTCCTTGGAGCTGAGCTACAAGGACAGAAAACTTCAGCAGTATCCCAACACACACTCGGGTCCATAATAGCTTAGCTGAACAGGCAGGAAATTTAACTTCTTTACTCCTCTCATTAATCAGCTGGGTGTAAAATATGTGTTAAATGCTACAGCAAACCTGCACCTTGTCAGGCTTTGACCTATCAAATTATTTACCTGCACTTTCTAGGTGTGACTGTCTCCAAAGCAAAACGGGAAGGGTTGGTTCTTCAAGATGTGTGTCCAATTCCACGAGAAATGGCTTTCCTTGCGCCTAAAGGCGAAAATTGGCATGATATATACGATTATATCAGGTTAGCAAAATCGCGTGACAATAGATAACACTGGTTATACATTCTTTTTATAATGAGTGGATCTGTCTCTACTAGTACAAGATTCTTTAATCAAGAAATTATTTTAATTGTTTCTAATTGTGGGAGTGATAAGAGTACGGAATGAACATCTGGCCTATAAAACAGCGTAACACTATTCTGAAACAAAAAATTAACTTACAACAACCTGCATTTATATAACGACCTTCGCATAGAATAATGCCTCTGAGCACTGAGTTAATTTAGTTTCCTAGGTTAATTATTTATAATTTTTTGTATTTATATTGTAATTTAGCCACCTTGATGGCATCAACCTATCTAGCTTCAGTCGCCCACCTTAAATTGTGAAATGCAATTGTACTTAACTTTGAGTAGCTCTCCATTAATAGTTTAATTTTCTGATGCAAATGGCAGTAGTGTTCCACAAGATCTATTGCCTCCGGTTGTATTCAAATTAATTTGTTTCCAGCTGTTTTTGCAAGACTTTGCATTGCACTTTGAATGCAGGTTCAAATTGATCTGTTTGTACCCAGGTTTCCTTCAAGTGGAGCTAAGATGCCATTTGATTCCATTCAAAAGGGACAGTGCAGCCCAAGTGGAAAAGGTTAGTAATATACAACAACAACTTGCATTTATATAGCGCCCTTCATGCCGGACGGCGTCTTGGAGCGCTTTGCTAAAGCACCTAGCTTTAACTTTTTTTAAAAATCCTAAAATGTAAGCTGTGTTTTGAATACATTCTGTTTTGGTTTTGTAATTTCAATGTAATTTTAAAGATGAATTGTTATCTCAGAAACTCCATTCAACCCCTGGCATTGGAAAGTGTTTGTGGTCTTAGTCTTCTGCCTCCAAAACAAAATTGGGAATGGTTGATAACAATCCAGCATTAAATACTTTGACCAAAGTCGATCCTGTAGCCCTTTTCCCTGGAAAGCTAAAATGCCATAGTAAGTCCATCACATCTACTGTGCACTACCTGGAATGGTGTCAAACTTCAGGTAATAATAATCCTTAAATTTAGTATAATGCCTTTTACATCTCAAAGTGCTTCACAGGCAGGATATACTGTAAAGTGGAGTGACTGTTGTGAAGGTATACAATTTCTCCATAGAAATGTCCGACTTTACTAAACAGCTATAAAGTGAATGACCAAGTTTATTTGGGGGGATTGTTGGCCAGGACACTTCTCTTCTCACTTCCTCCCTCACCGCTTCCAAGGCATGTCTCAAAATGTGCCACTTTCGGTCACTTTTCCTCTCTCCAATACCTTTGAATCCCGCCCCCAGTTTGGCTGCCCGTCATGCACTGACTGTGAAATGCTTTGAGACGTCCTCCTGAGTGAAAGGCGTTATGTAAATATAAATTGTATTGGTTAGTGCCATGGGATCTTTAATGTCCATCTGAACAAGTAGTCAGGACCTCGGTTAAATACCCATCCAAAGGGTGGCACCTTCAGCAATACCGCATGGCCCCAGCACTACACTGAAATGTCAGCCTGGGTAATACAAGTTCAAAGTCCGCTGTGGGCCCAAATCCTTCTGACTGATGTGAGATTGCAACCAACTCAACAGTTACTCTCTCACATCAAAGTCAGAAGGTTGTGGGCCCACATTGGTCTCAATCCATGACAGTTTGTGGGGCATTGCTGTTTGCAATTGGCTGCTGGGTTTCACCCACAAACTATACAGTCAATTCATTTTACAATATGTTCTGTGAAGCGCTTTAAGATGTCCTGAAGATGTGATAAGATGCTATATCAAATGCAAGGATTATTCTTAAAATTGAACCAGGCTGGCGCAAAGAACATGTAGCTACATTCTTTGGAGCTGCAAAATAGAAGCTTTGATCAGATTTAAGCGGTGTTGCTTTCCACTAAATGTCCGACTGTCAATAGTGGGGCAGGAAGTGCGAGGGACCTGAAGCAGGCCGGTGTCTGCCGAGGGTAAGAAGTGAACAGGCTGATATGAGGTTAGGAGATCGGAAAGATAGGGGAAAGCAAGACCTTGGAGGGCTTTGAAAGTGAGAACGGGGAGTTTATACTCAAATCTCTGAGGGATGGAGAGCTAGTGAAGGGGCTATACAAGTGTAATTTGTTGGTTGTTGATTCTATTACTACAAAAATATATAGTTTCTTAATTTGAACCAATGCTTCAGTTGTTTTGAATTGGGTAATTAGCTTTCTAGCAGTTGCTTGTTCCTAGAAAAGATCAATCACAATTCATCAAAACTATTTATTAATAATAATAAAAAAATAATAATGATGATCCTTGCATTTGATGTAGTGCTTTATCACGTTGTTGAATCGTCAGGATACAGGATATACTGTAAAGAGGGGTGACTGTGTGCTTTGTGCGTGAACAGTTAATAGTGTCATTTACAATTTGAGCCTGTGATAGATACACCTGTAATGTACTTTCTTCTGGAATTTTAGGTCTTCCAACAAATCGCAGTCCAGTTAGAACAAATCCATGCACATTGAGTGTTAGCAAGACAGTTCAAGACCGTGTTTCCCTCATCCAGCAGATTACCAGTCCAGAAGCAGTGAGTACCTGCCATAAATAGCAGATTAATAATAAACTAAGACATCAAACATACAAAAATTCTCAAAACAGACTAGTAAAAACCAAATACAGACCTATACAATTTGGTGTATCCAAAATGCTGAGTTGCACTGTTAGTTGGCATACAATCTACTTAACCAACCCAGGAAACAACAATAGATTACATGTGTTTAGCGCGTTGAGACGTGGAGCCTGCTGAGTGGAGGGAGTGGACAGGTTGATATGGGGTTAGCAGGTCACAGAGGTAGGAAGGGGAGAGACTAGAGGGCTTTGAAAGTGAGGGGGGATGGAGAGCCAATGGAGCCTGGCGAGGGTGGGCATGATATAATCACGGAGCCAGTGCAGGAGAGGACACAAGCTGCAGAGGTCTGGATGATCTGTAGTTTGTGGAGGGAAGAGTTGGGAAGGCCAAGAAGCAGGGAGTTGGCGTAGTTGAGTCTAGATGTAATGAAAGCATGGATGAGGGTCTCAGTGGCCTGGAGGGAGAGGCAATGGAGGAGCCGGGTGATGTGAAGGTGGGGTAAGTGCTGAGCGGGTCATGGCACAGATGTGGGGTATGAAAGGGCAGTTGAGCGTCAAACAAGACGCCAAGGTTCCAGACTGGCTCAGTGAGGTGTAGTGTGCATCCATGGATGGTGATGCTGCCAGTGCCTGAGATGTGGAGACGCTGACAGGAGCCATTCAGGAGGGCTTCATTCTTGTTGAGAAAGTTAGCTCGTTTCCAGGACCTGATGTCTGACAGACGTTCCGTCAGCACAACAGTGGTCCTTGAGTCGAGAGTGGAGGCAGAGAGGTACAGTTGGGTCTCATCTGCATACATGTGGAAGTTGGCTCCATGTCAGCGGATGATGTCACCAAGAGGGAGCATATAGATATTGAAAAGGAGGGGACCAAGGACAGAGCCCTGAAGAATGCTGCTTGAATTACCCATGCGCAGTGATGATTGTTGATTAAACTGGATTTTATGACTTATACAATTTGCCTGCAAATCGGATTTCACTTAAGTCATATTACGGTCCCGACTGATACGACCTATGTGAGCTTTACTCTATTAAGAATTGTTCAGTCTCTCTAAATTACACTCTCTTGTGCCCCAAATTTCCTGGGGAAAAATCCTTCAGAGTAACTAACATCTTCACATTTTAGAGGTGTTAATATATTTCTTCCTATTAGGCATTTTATAGATCTAAAAGACGCCCTCTGGTGACAAAAAATATCCCAGAAATACACTTTCAAGAGACTGTGCCAAAGTTCTCTCCTTATAAAGGCGAAAGGTTTGAAGATTGGAAGGAAAATGACCAGGAAGCACCTGCAGCAAAGAGCGATAGGATTGTAAAAGTGATTCCAAGGGAAGATGGTGGGATTCATGTGTTTGCACATCGAGGAGTTGGCATTGCAGTCCATAAACACAGCAGTGACGAGGTGAGGTGAGCTATAATATGCAGCCCTGATGGTGTAGTGGATAGAGCTGCAGGTTGTGGACCAAGAGCTCGCTGGTTGGAATCCCAACCCATGCTACGTCTTCTGGGTTGAATACATTCATCTATTGGAACCATCGTGCAATGGGAAGGAATGTGTCCGATTTGTGGGCAGGAAAATGGTGGCAATGCTCTTACGCATTTCACGCTGAGCTGTGTTTCTCACCACGAAGCTTGCAGGGAGTTGCTGGTACCTGTGGGCTCAAACCTGCAATTATTGGATGACAAATGGCCAACTCGTGACTATTCTCTTCTCCGTGTATTATGAATGGGAACTCTGCCCATTCATGTCATGACTGGAGCACAGCCTTGTGGCTACAAGAGCAGTGCTGTACCCTGTCACATCTATTTTTAACACTTATATAGATTTATTGTGCTTGAGAAACTTCTAACCAAGACGGAGGGTTCCACATACGTAGGCCACCTATAAATGGAAAGTTCCCTATGTCTGAAATTGAATGCCTACTCCTTTAAGGGATACATCCCAGAGAGTATTCAGTGCAGGTTGGTGAGAGCCAAGGTATGGAGACCCAAAGTGTTTGTTGGGTACTGGAGTTTAACCAGCTAAAGACACATACCACTGTTTGGTAGGTTTCCCGATGCTTGTCCAACTTGCACTCCCTACTTGTTAGGGTTTTGGCTTGCAGGGTTAATGAGGAGCCAAATGGTGCATCCCAGCTACAAGTCCTGCTGTCATGCCAAGCTGACTGGTCTGTTATCAGCAATGCCATGAAGTGTACTGCGGACCTGCCTGGCTTGTGGACCAATCCACTTAGATCGCCACAAAGTGTTGGCTCAACTCCACCATTCTATTAACAAGCATATCGTCTAGTTGTCAGCTTAGTCCCAACAGACCGTGCGTGCTTACCTGCTCCTACACTCCAGAACATTCCTACCGATTTGAAAGGCTTTTGTACCAATATAAATTGTAGGGATCATTTAAAGGATTGCTCTAATAATAGTAATCCTTGCATTTGGTAGGACGCCTTTCATGTTGGGAGAGATTGTTAAAATTTATTTTTAAGCAATAAACAGCATCTCGTCACTGTCCAGTGCCGACGTGAAAGGCTGTATAAAAGCAATTTGTTGTTATTGCTTACTGTTTTGATTTCTGTGTTATTTGAATGATATTTATTTTTCCTGTAGCAGTAATTCTAATCTTTGTCAGTTCCACCAGTTTGAGATTGCTGTGAATGGTCTCTGTCTTGGTTCCTCTAGCTACCACTGTGTTTAATCTGTGTGGAGCTTTGTTCTGTGTGAAACTTTGTCATCCAAGTCTGTATTCGTCTTTTAGAGCAGTATCTAATTTTCCCAGCATTCTAATGTAAGTGGAACTGTAGAATTTCCAGTGCTCTGGTTGATTGGTATTTCATTAACTTTGCATTTCCTGTAAGTAAATGCTTAAATTATCCTGGGTGATGTATTTCAGGGGTGAATTGTTTGAAGATATTAATATTTTCATATTTATTTGTAAATCGTCTGAAGATATTTATATATTTTGAAGATAAGTTCTGAATATTATTTTTATTTAATATTTTTAAGGGACTGCAGCCTGATCCAATATTAAAATTGAAGAAAATTATTGGATTTGGAGGAAGCACTTTGAAATATGTAAGTGTGTACTGAACCTTTGTAACGCTGTAAAATTCGCACAAGTCTGATCTGAAAAATATTATCACCTAAGTTGTAAAACTACCCAAGTCCTGTTCATTAAACTATTAAATCCACTTAATAATAATAATCCTTGCATTTGATATAGCGCTTTTCACGTCGGGAGGACGTCCCAAAGCGCTTCACAGAAGACACTGTAAAGTGAATTGACTGTATATTTGTGGGCGAACGCGGCAGCCAATTGCGCACAGCAATGTCCCACAAACAGTCGTAGATTGAAAATGACCAATTTATTATTGTTTTTTTTTGGAGGGATTATTATTAGGCTCTGTGTGGAGTAAGGAAACTTGCCCAAGGTTTCGCCCTCTGCCTGGAATTGAACTCAGGTCTCTCGCTTGCAAAGCGAGTGCTCTAACCACTGAGCTACAGGACTCCACAAGACTTACAATAGTTGTGTTAATAATTGTGCAAATCGCAAAACTTACTTGCTTTCGGGTCAAAACTTTGTTTCTTGCGCCTGCCGCAATTGGAACACCACACATTTGCAGCCCAACGCTTTCTGCACCCTCCCTCCCGGGAACTAACATCAACCTCATCACACATGTTATGTGTTAGTCATATAAAATCTGCCTCATATATACATAACATAAGTCATACATGATACTACTTATGCAATTTTGGCATAACTCTTCCTTTTCACAAGTCATATTAAATGTATGGTCCCAACTGATACGACTTATGTGAGATTTATTTTAACGTGAAATCTTTGTCTTGGTTGCTTCCTTTCTATATTGCTTTCATTTTTATCTACATAAAGATAAACTTATAAAAGATAAACTCAAGATGACTCATGTGAAGAGATTGTTTCCTTTTATCAATAGGTAATACATTACTGCTTTCTAATTTATAATAATAACCTGGCTAATAACTTGAGGAAAATCTAGAAATATAAACATTTCCTTTCTGCTCTTCTATTACGTAGACTATATAAGCTCTAACGATTCCAACTGTAGTGATTGTAAAAAAAAATTATATTTTTAAGGCTGTATGGACCAAGTCTGGATCAACTGTGGTCTACCCATGTCATGCCATAGTTGTGGCAATGGAAATTGAGACAGGACGCCAGAAATTTTTCATTGGACACACTGACCGGGTAACTTTTTTTTGATCTTTCTAGTCCTGTTGTCAAAAACATCAAAGAGAGTTAGTTACTCAACTCAGAAGTTCTGACTATTATCGTTCTTGACGGTTGATAGGACGTGTATCAGAGAATCTAAACATAGACAATCTAGATTTCAGCTTGGCTCATATATAATTTGGAATTTAATGTTTTAGGAGTTGCAGTTGGAAGTTTAAGTTTAGGGGCTATTGATAGCACAATGCTGCCCCACTATATCCCACTTCACAATAGCAGGAATTTGCTTGCACTGTGGACCTTGTTCATTGTCTATGCACGCAGACAGCTTGCTTGTATCCCATGTGCTGAAATGGCCAACTTCCAGTTTAGGTTGCAGCCAACATCACCTCCCACTTTACTGTGCTGCCTAAAGTAGGAATGGTCATGGCGATCTAATGATAATAAACCTACATTTGGTATGGCATCTTTCACATCAGGAGGATATCTCCAAGCAATATACAGGATATACTGTAAAATGTAGTAACTGTATGTTTTGTGGGTATAACTAGTTACCACGAGGTTAGCCACTTAGCTTATAGGAAGTGATGTTGTGGTGATCCACCTGAAAGTTGGCAATTTTTTATTTTAGCACGGTAACTAAAACCAGTAGAGATACCCGTCGGCCACTTGCATGCTGCGCAGTGTTAGGATATAGGGATTCCCCTATAATCATTTAGAATCGAACAAGATTTTTATATCCATTCTTTTAAGATATGTTTAATTAATTGTATTAACAGGTCAAAATGGCCACCAAATTAGCTTTCTTACTAACGGAATGTGGCACAGGCTGGAACCGCGGTACCCGTTATCTTTCCTCTCTCCAGATGCAGAGTCCTAAGTGTTATTGTAACCTTGGGTACCAGCTAGAAATAGAGAGAAAAAGGTCTGCAAAACATCATGTGGCAAGCCTAGGAAGATAAGGAGTAGACTTCCCAATAGGCCAGTCCCGAATAACATCATTATAGACAAGACAATGGAGACTCACCTTATCAACACTGGTCAGGCTGGCGCCAGGCCAATGATTGATTAGGATGAGTACGTGCAGGACAAGTTGTGAGAGGGAAGAAGGTATCTGGCAAGAGTCCAGAGAAGAGTATAATTAGTGAAGAGAGAGAGAGCAAAGTCAGTTAGGCCTGGCTGGCAGGAGGGGAGCGAGGGAATTACACCAGCAAAACCAGGGCAAGCGCGTGATGACAGCCAAGAAATTTTTCTTCCACTTTTGTTCTACGCAGATTAATCAGATAAAATAATTATTGCACCATCTTGGATTGTTGGGTCATATTTCGAACTCTAGCGATCGGAAATCCCATCAGCAGTAAAACCCACTGTTGCGCCAAGCTTTAACATGATTTGAGATTTTATGAATCTTTAATTTCTAACCTATTTATAATGAGCCTGTCCTGTATAATACATACAATAATATAGTATGTGCTGCCCAACGACATCAATGTCTCACTAAATACATATGATTTTTCTACTGAACAAATTAACCCTTTTTCTTCTCCTGCCTGCAGGTTTCTGCTCTGTCTTTTAATGGAAACACAACATTGTTGGCATCGGCGCAAACTGGAAATCTGAGTGTGGTCCGAGTTTGGAACTATTTTAAAGGGAGCTGCCTAGCCATGTTTAGAACCCACGTGCATTCAGTATCGTGTCTCAGGTAAACGGCAATATTTATAATGTGTATCTAATGTACTTATGACTGTATTTTATAGGCGAACACAACTGTCCCATAAACAGCCATGAAGTAAATGACCATTTTAAGCTGGTGATTATTGGCCAGGACACTTCTCTTTTGAATAGTACTATGGGATCTTTAATGCTCACCTGATCAAGCAGACAGGATTTAATGTCTGATCCAAAGGATAGCACCTCTGACAATACAGCCCACCTCCAGCACCTGACATGGGTCTTGAACCCACAACCTTCTGACTCAGTGGCAAGAGTGCTACTAACTTCGCCAGACTAACACCTAAAATACCGTCGAGAAATTGGTTTGTTCTGGTGCTTTGCCGTTAGGCAGGAAGTAAAATGTTTCCTTTCTATTTCTTCAGTTTTTCATTCAGTGGGGCAGTGCTCTGTGGTGTTGGGAAGGATGGACATGGAAAAACTGTAAGTACTATCAATAGTTATATTACTCTAATTATATGTGTAGAGAATCTCTTGTCACACCCATTATTGAATATGGAAATGATTAACGGGCAAATAAAATATCGGATAGAACCATTACCATTCATTATAATAATATCAGTATATTAGACCCTCACATCTGATCTCTTGGTGCTTTTCTTCACACCGAGACTCTTTTATTTACTCATATTTTTGGGGGGTCAACCGGGTGTCTTGACATATGCAGAAACCATCAACATGCTTAACAGTACCCAAACCAAACTGAGAATTCCATGCTTCCCACCTACACGTGAAAATTCCAGAGATAGATTGTTGGAATGGAATGCGCGCTCTCTCCCTGGAGGGATGCATCTTGCCTACCTAATTCCGGAAAGTATTAGTCACAGGTTGGTAAGAGCCAAGGCTTGGGCACCCCCGAGTGTGCGTGGGGGTAACTGTAGAGTCTGACCAGCTAAAACCGCATAGCTTGCCATTGATATCACTATCTGATAAGCTTTCCCGCTGCTTGTCCAGCTAGGACCACCCTACTCGTTTGGGCTTTGGCTTTCAGAGTTAACAGGAGCTGAGAGGAATGATTCCATGTTCCCAGTGACTAGTCTGCCCTTCCAGGTCCTGTCAATGAGCCAGGCTGGGCTGTGCTGTCATCAGCAGTGCCCTGGAGTACTGGGGACCCGGCTGGCTTAGGAACTGGACTATCAAGACCTCCGTGGATGGCTGGCTCGATTCCGACATTCCGTTGCCAAACATGTCAGCTTGGAGCCAGTTCAGCTCCAGGGAGACCCGACTAATTCCACCCCCCCACCAGAGGATAATTGTCCATTAAAAAAAATTATATTTGGTTACTCAATCCACGACTCTTTGTGGGACGTTGCTGAGCAGAATTGGCTGCCATATTTCGTCCACAAAACGTACAGTCAGTTTTACAGTATATTCTGTGGAGTGGAGTACTTTGAGACATCTTGAAGACGTGATCAAGCACTATATCAGATGCTTATTATTTTGCCCCATTCTGGTGTTAGCCCCCTCCACTTCTAAATTCTACTTGTTTAGATGGTGGTGGTTTGGAACACAGCAAAGGTCAATCCAGATGGTGAAGTTGTGGTGATGGCGAAGGCTCATACTGAGGTGGATATTCAGATGATGAAAATAGCATCTTTTGATGATACCAGGTAAAGCAGTTTATGCCTTAATATCGCCCTCTTCCCGTTGTTTTGCAGTGCGTGATCTTTCCTCCATCCCATCCTATAAAATAGTTCTACATTCACTACTCCCTTCCTCAACTCCAATAAGTGTTAGGTTAAATTATATTTGCCTGCTTTTAGAGAATAACATGAAAGCTAGTGCAGGTGAATTGTTAAGTACAAACCCTGATAGTTACTCCAGCCTCTCTTTTATGTGACTGTATATCTGTGAATGCTTTGTTTTTTATCTAACAGGATGGTGTCCTGCGGAAGAGACAACATCCGTTTGTGGAGGATCAGAAGTGGGGCCCTACGGTCTTGTCCAGTAAATCTGAGTGAATATCACAGTTTAGAATTCACGGATGCATCATTTGAGGAGGGAAACTTAGCTGACAAAGATCCTGAGGATAGGACACTGTAAGAAAACAAAGAAACTTTAAAATAAATGAAGGGAATTAGATATCTCGGGTAATTTGCAGGGCTATGGGGAAAAGGCAGATAAATAATAATAATAATCCTTGCATTTGATGTAGAGCCTTATCACGTCTTAGAGGCGTCTCAAAGCACTTCACAGAATATACTGTAAAGTGAATTGACTGCATATTTTGTGGGTGAAACATGTTAAATGGACTGAATGGATTGTTCTTTTAAAGAGCCAAACCTGATGACTTTCTTCTGTGTAAATTTCTTTGATTCGATTTCTCAAAAAAACACAAATGTTAATGAATGGGACAAGTTTATAATGTACCAAATCCAAATTTTAAACACACGTTCGCTTTTTCCCACCGTCAGTATCATTAATTCCAGCAAGATATTTCTTCATTGTTGTCGGGACGTATTTTAGCAAAATGCAAGGAAAATTAGGATATTATATATAACTGGTCAGTCATGATGTGATTATCTTATACATTTGCAGCTTTGCATGCAGTAAGAGTGGGCACATCCTCGAGATTGACTACAAAAATGTTGTGATTAAGAATGCTCGTCGGTTATTCACTTCACAAACAAAGCATTCACATCGAAGGGAAAAGTCAACGTTCAACTCTGGTGAGGGATTACATTTCTGTGCTGGTCGAAGAATTATCTTATGATTATAGCAGCATGAAGTACTGACTCTGTTAAATGTGATATTTAAAATCATGGGGCAATCAGTATGGGAAGGGAATGTGTAAGGGAATCAGTAAGGGAATGTGTTCCCTTAGTATTGCTATTTTGACAATACTACATTCCAACAACATGTTTTGCATGTTATTTTTCTTGTGCATTGATGATGGGGTGCAGGTGATGAGAGGTGACTTTTCCTTGTGTGCATAATATACTGTATATCTATGAGGGTGCTGCGAAATGTTCATAATATACCTTTCCTAATCACTCCCCCCATACTCCTGTTGTGTCAACTTGGCTCAATTGGTCGCACTCTCGCCTCTGAGTCAGAAAGTTATGGGGTGAAGCCCCATTTCATGACTTGGAACTTGTATAGTGTAAACAAGCGGCGGTCAACCTTTATGATCAACCAACAAACTATATTTTCCTTGATTGAATGTTTCTTGATTTAAGCTATAAATCAACAAATATTTAATTGAGNAAAAAATAGAAACACTAATTATCGAACATGGAGTTACCTAGATTCATGCGAATGTGGTACCCAGTGTGCTACATCAGGCTGTCTAGAAAAACGCTTTGGTTGAGTTTCCTTTAGAAAGTGGGCCTTCCTACAGAGAACCCACCAGAAATAGTCATATTGCTGCTCCCATTCAGATTTAGCATACATGTTTGCCATACAAATGAGCTCGGAATGACAATGCAGAAGCTTTCATGTGTAGGGATTTACCATTGGTTTTCTCATGCCTAATGTGCAACATAGTGTCCAGACGTATTGGTATAACCATTTTTTAATCAACCAAGATTAGTATAGTATTATTCTTTTCTTACAGGTCCTGCTATTGCGATCAACAGTATCAGTGTTTCTGCTGCCTTCTGTGCCACAGGGTCTGATGATGGTTACTTGCGTCTCTGGCCCCTAGATTTCTCTACTGTTTTTCTTGAAGCCGGTAATTAATTTGGGGGGCTGGGGGCAAGGGTGGGCATTAGTCAGCTGGGTGTCTGCCACGTGTAGAAACCCATTTACTGTGTTTAAGATTATTCAAAGCAAACTGATAGTTCCATGCATGCCACACCTACATGTGGAAATTTCTAATTCTGGAATGAAATAGAGAGGGTTGTATGGAGTACCCTGCTTACCTAATTCCGAAGAGTATTAGGCGCATGCTGGCAAAGGCCTGGGGACCCCAGATTGTGGTTTGGGGTACTGCTGGAGTCTAACAGATCAAAACTGCAGCTGGGATATTAACAGCATGGCTACTTAAGTTGCAGTGACAATTTAAGCCAGGGTATTGTTATCAGGAGCTCACTGATATTTCTTCTGAACGAACATTCACTTTACTGAAAGCTAAAATTCCTTAAATAATTAAGGAATTATTTATTCCTTGAAATATATTTTAGAAATATAATCTCTTCTGTTGCAATTGGTTCAGTTGGTAGGACTGAAGATTGTGGATTCAAGCCCTACATCGGGACTTTGAACTCAAAGTCTAAGCAGACACTCTAATGTAGTGCTGGAGGTGAGATCTTTGGTTGAGACGTCAGCCAAGGTACTGTCTGCCTGTTCAGGTATGCAGTAAAGATTCCTGGCGAAAGAGAAGGAAGTTTTTCCCAGTATCCTGGCCAAAAATTCCCTAAGACTCTGAGCCAGAGTCACTCAAGGCATAGGTATTTCCCACCACCTATATGATCAGCTGTCTCACTCCACAAATTCCCACATTCTGCAGCCTCGACACATTATCCACTCTTTATTTAATGTTTTTTTCTTTAGAGGACTTATTTATTTACCTAATTATTTTTTATTGATTGATTTTTATTTACTCAATGCTAATGGTTAGGTTTTATTACTTGACTTTTATTTATTCATTTTTTAAAAAGTTTAGTAGCCCCTTAATCTATTTCGCTGTCACCCAGAGGAATTTTGCTGTTGGTTTAGGGGGGGGATTTTGAAAATGGCGCCTCCGTCCTAGCCCAAGGGTGAAGTGCAAAGTTTTAGTGTGACACCTCGCCAACTCAGGAGGAGCATCAGATAAGAGGCAGGTGGCCACCTCCCCTACTAACCAAATACTGACAGCGCTAGTGGGAGAGCGTCACTGCAAGAAATCAGGTCTCACCACAGCGCAGCGCAGACCGGAAGAGCACGAAACTAGATGTAACAAAACGGGGATCGAGAAAGTGACCTTTACTGAATTCCTAATTGCTTCAACCGTCCACAGAACACGAGAGTCCTGTCAGTGTGGTAAACATTGATCCTAATGGACTAAAGGTCCTCGCTGCAACATGTACAGGTAACCTGGGATACCTGGATATATCAAGCAGAGGCTACACTACTCTTATGAGGTCACACACGGACAGAATCCTGGCTTCCTCCATGGATGGAATAAGGAGACATCTTGTTACGGTGTCTGAAGATGGCACCATCCGTGTGTGGGAACTGGATTCCATGCAGCAAGTAAGTGCGTGAAAGCTTCATTTGCAAAAGAGTAGTGGGATTTGGAAAGATTGTTGAAAGCACGAGTTCCTTTCTAAGATTAGGGAGGAAGGTTACTTTAGCTGTGGTAGTGGAGCATGTTTCTGTGTGTCGTTCTGGCTCATTTTGTAGCACTCTCGCCTCTGAGTCAGAAGATCGTGGGTTCAAGCCTCACGTTGCAACCTTGATCTCAATTTTCTGGGACTGGGGAGAAAAGAGAATGGAGTTTCTACCTGTGTCCTGGTCGATAATCCGGTAAATAAAACTGGGTACTTACGTTATGTATTTGGACCGAATAGATTTACGCTTGCAACCAAAGGATCCTATATGGAATGTAGATTTCAGTATTATTATACTTTGTATTATATTTTATACAATTATTATACTTTATATCATATTATTAAACTTTATGATACTTTATATTATATTATTAGACTTTATATTATTATTAGACTTTATATTATTATTAGACTTTATATTACATTATTAGACTTTATATAACGATAGGAGACTCCCCCATGCAAGATCGTTCTGATGAGGCATAAATCAATCGATTATTACGTTATTGGTGGACAGACACAGAGACATTTTGTCTTTATTGGTACAGATATAAATGCAATCTTGTTGTTGTTGTAGATGTATCTCTAGAAGGGTGTGTAAATTTTCTTTGTTGCTACTTTGTTAGAGAATATATTAGTACAGATGTATCTCTAGAAAGGTGTGTGATTTCCTCTGCCACTACTTTGTTGTGTAATAGTACCTCATATTTTGGGGCTGATTAAAGCATTTTTTATAGCTCATCAACAATTGCAGGACCTTTCTGATGAGGTATAACTCATGTCTCTAAGTCGATTGGTTATTGCATTCTTGGTGGACAGATAGACAGACATTTCGTCGTGGAGTCCTGTAGCTCAGTGGTTAGAGCACTCGCTTTGCAAGACAGAGACCTGAGTTCAATTCCAGGCAGAGGGCGAAACCTTGGGCAAGTTTCCTTACTCCACACAGAGCCTAATAATAATCCCTCCAAAAACAAAAATAATAATAAAAATTGGTCATTTTCAATCTATGACTGTTTGTGGGACATTGCTGTGCGCAATTGGCTGCTGCGTTCGCCCACAAATATACAGTCAATTCACTTTACAGTGTGTTCTGTGAAGCGCTTTGGGACGTCCTCCCGACGTGAAAAGCGCTATATCAAATGCAAGGATTATTATTAGTAGTAGTATAGATGGGTGGGATACATTCAAAGGGAAGTGGTAATATTGTTGTCATGTAATGGAGATGTTCAGTGTCTCTATAACTGAAGCTACGTATCTATTGCTAACAGTTCTATGACTTTGTGAGTCCCGGAGAGATCCCATGTGCTGTGAACTATCACCCCATACAGCAGATTTTTGCCTGTGGATTCAACAGTGGAGTGGTGCGAATCTTTAACGTTGAGAATTCCAGTCTCCTGTCTGAACAGCGGTGAGTACTCAACTGTCTCATGTCATGTTTAATTTATAATGAAATTATTTCTCGGAGGGACTACACTTTAGCATGACCTCGGTGATCCAGGTTTCAGTTCCAGGTTGGATATCAATGAAAACTGAACAGATTACTTGAACTTCACTTCAGCATCTCAGTAGGCTAGCCACAGTGTAAGATTGATAGTCTCTGAATATGTCTGTATATACTGAACTTTGAGTTTAGGGTCCAGACATTGGAGACTATGGAAGGAACAGAAATTATATAATTGACTTTAATATAGTGCCTTTCACAATGGGAGAATGTCCCAAAGAGCTGGGGGTGAGAGCTGAATGGGGTAGGGAGGGGCAACATTACGAAAGGGCAGTCAAACAGGTATGTCTTATCTCCCTAACTACTTAACTCCCTGGCTAGTCTCCCATCTCCAACTTGCCTTTCCTCTCTGTAAGGTACTGGAATTGAATCGTTGCTTCCCTCTATCCTTTCCTTGCACTGCCTGAGGCATGAGAAGTTGGGTGAAGGAGGTGGTTTGTGGTGCAGAATAATAAATTATATTTGGAAAAGGACCTTTTGGTAGAAGTATTGTCATATGCCTGAATAGCCAAGGTGATATTTTTGGAAATCTTACCTTTTTTTTACTGTGTGTCTGTAGACAGCACAGAGGGCAGGTGATTGGACTGCTGTTCTCTCCTAATGGAGAATATCTGTATAGCGCTGGTTCTTTGGGTTCTCTGGCTCTATACAATGCCACAGAGGAGGATCACCATGTCATTAGGCTTCTAGGTAAGTAGTACTATTAGTGTCGCAGAGAATATTTCTCCCAGTGTCGGGTCAACGATCCCCAAATAAATTGGTGATTAATTAGGTGCTGGTGAGAAAACCAAGGTGAGATGTGGCATCTGACTTGAACCGTGAGAACATCAAGGTCCTCCCATCACTCTGAAGGCAGATGTCCCTCAGATAGCTGATGAGGAAATTCTGAGTAAGACAGCTGTTGGAAGGCATTACCTCGTGAGCATGCGTCTGCACATCAAGCGTTTGGAATCCAGCTTGACTGGTTTGCAGAGAAGTAAGCAGCTGCTGCTCAAGCTCTGCACCTCCAATGAGAAGGGATATGTGTCCGAGTTGCGAGCAGAAAGATGGTGGTATTGCTCTCACCAGAAAGCTTGCAGGGAGTTCCTGGTACCTGCCATCCACCTAGTGAGGCTCAAACTCGTGCTTTCAGATGTTAAATGACCAACTAGTGGCTATCCTCCCTGTGGGAAAGATAAGCGGGGTCTCCTTGGAGCTAAACTGGTCCAAATGTGACATGTTTGGCAATGGAATCAAGCCCCCACCCCCTCGATTTCAGTAATCCAGTTCCTGAGCTAGGAGGGTCTGCAGTATTCCAGGACACTGCTGATAGCTTAGCCAGCCTGGCTCATCGGCAGGACTTGGAAAGTCAGACTAGTCACTGGGGGGAGGGAATCCTCCCACTCAGCTCCCAGTCAACAATGTGATAAGGCTCTATATCAAATGCAAGGGTAATTATTATTATTACCCTGCAATACAAAGTGTAGGGTGGTCCTAGCTGGACAAGCAGCAGGAAAGTTTGATATTAATGGCAAGCTGTGCGGTTTTAGCTGGTTAGACTGCAGCAGTATCCCAATGCACACCCAAGCCTTGGCTCTTGCCAACCAGCGCATAATACTCTCTGGAATTGTCAAGTGTACTGAATGCCTTTGTCGGCAAAATACCAGCTAAGTTTGTGTTACTGTACATACACTTTGTATTTCCCTTCAGGCAATGTTGTAGCGAGAGGTTGTGATCGTGCCCCGGATGCACTGACAGTGAGCAGTGATGGTCGTTACTTGGCTATGGTGGGCCCAACTGAACACATTGTCACTGTGATGGATGCTTGCTCACTGGATGAGGTAACCTGCTAACCTTCATTAAAACTTTCCTTCTAAAAAAAATATCAAAAAAGATCTGGAGAAGTGAATTGGTTTGGTGAGGGTGAAACTCTTTTTCTGTATTTTATGTTTTCTTCTTTGTTAACGATCACATCTTCTGATGAGAAATGGATCAGCCTTTTTACCTGTGTGCAATCCAAGCTCATATTTTGTTGGTCATCTAAAAGTTATTTTTCAGATCAGTGCCAATTATAAAATATCTGGGTCTTGCTCCTGAGCCCTGGGGTAGTGTCTGGCTGTGACTGTCTCCCATGTAGTCTCAGAGAGACTACTTTGCAAGATTTTGTACACTTTGTACTACCAGTAAAACTATGTTTGTTTGTTTCTATCCACACACCTACCCACCTAACAATCCAGAAATTGACCATTTCTCAGCTCGGGAAGCCTGTGATGTGCATTGCCTGCAGCCACCTGATGACCCAGAAGTCGAGCATTTGTCAGTTTCACTGTAAGCAACACCTGAGACATTGAACCCCAATGACCGCATTATACTGAGCTGGTGATATGTCCTTTCTATTGTAGGTAATGCGTGTGGATGTTAGTATCCTCGACCTGGAGACCTCAACTCTTGATACTGCTCTCAAAGTCTGCTACGCACCTGCCACAATCAACCAGCTACTGGTGACAACATCTTCCAATAAGATCCTATGGCTGAACCCAAGGACTGGGAGACTGATTCGACAGGTACAGAGTACAATAATATGAACAATTGGATTTCTTAGTCAGGAACGTAGCATTTACTTGTTCTAGGACCAGTTCTTGTTCTGTCGCCTTTTTTTTAATTAAAGAAAGGGTCCAGGATGGGACACTATCGAGCCTCCAACAAAAGCCGATCTTGTATGGTCTCAGTGGCCATTATCACACTTGAGCTTAGTGGAATTTTTTTTAGTTTTTGGAAAGTTCGTAAGTTTTTTGTTGAGTTTTTAATTTTAGCTGAATTCTCCTGAAAACTTGCCCAAAATATGCCTTACTACTTCTACGTTCTAAGTTATTTGATCAAAGTCTGTGTTTCATTACTCTGGTCAACTTAATACCCAGTTATTGGTTTTGGTTAATGCCGATACTGAGTTTCAAGATCAGCAACTCTTCTCATGGATTCTTCCTGGATGAACACAAAGAGTTGCTTACATTGATTTGCTTGTATCTTATTTTCAAGATAATAAGTTCTCCACCAAGGTAAGCAGTAAGCCCTGATAGTGCCTGAATTGGCTGCTGCTTTTCGCCCACAAAATATACAGTCAATTAATTTTACCATATATTCTGTGAAGCACTTTGAGGTATCTCGAAGATGTGAGAAGGGGCTACATCAAATGCAAGGATTATTATTATCCGCAATATTTGGTACTGGAATTATTATTATATTATTATGCTGGAAGCGCTCTGGGACGCTACTCTGCGTGAGGGATGCTATATATATATAAACGTTGTGGTTGGATGTACTTAGTCTCTAGTCTTGGACGTTGTATAACAGCAAATAAGTGTTTTGCCTGTATTGTATCAAACTATTGTTTACACAGATCTGTAATGCACACAAAAAAGTCGCCTCGGCTATAGCTGTGAGTGAGGATGTTCAGTACCTGCTGACTGCTGGAGAAAAGGTCATTAAAGTCTGGGATTACCATATGAAACAGGACACTAATTTTCAGGTATGGAACTTCTGTTAAAGTGTTAAAAGACTGTAACGGGTAAACTTGAAATGTGACTTCAGCATGAACACACACATGGATACTCTAGGCCAAAGTGCAGTTTAACTATCGGAGATGCTCTGGTTTTCAAATTTTTCTTGAATTAGATATATGATCTGGATTCTGAATAATGGGCAGTTTCTCAATTTGCAGACAATACAAAAGTAGGGAGTGTAGCTAACAGTGAAGACGATTGTAAGCAACTTTAAGCCATACATTTCTATGGTTCTAAACTTTGTATAGCTTCTTTACAATATGTAAATGAACAAATAATCCTTGCCTTTAATATTGCGACTTTCATGTCAAGAGGATATTTCAAAGAGCTTCAGAGGATATACTGCAAACTGTAGTAATTGTGTATTTTGTAGGCAAATGCAGCAGTCATGTCCCATAAACAGTCATGAAATGAGTGACCAACTGTATCGGGATTATTGGCTAGGAACTTGGGAGAAAATCCTTTCTCTTTTCGAATATTGCCAAGAGATCTTTAATGTTTGCCTGAGCAGGCAGGTGATAATAATAATAATAATAATAATAATCCTTGCATTTGATATAGCAATTTTCACGTCTTCAAGACGTCTCAAAGCGCTTCACAGAATATACTGTAAAGTGAATTGACTGTATATTTGTGGGAGAAATCCGGCAGCCAATTGCGCACAACAGTGTCCCACAAACAGATTGAAGTGACCAATTTTTTTTTCCTTTTTTGAGGGATTATTATGGGTTAACTGCACTTTGTCTAAGAGTTTACTGTGTGTGTTCATGATGAGATAGCATTTCAAACTTAACTGTTATGTGGTCAAGGTGATCTCTGAAGAACTTCAGGTTATTTTCTTCCTTACTAGGTGTTTATTGGCCATTCTGAAGCAATTCAACAAGTCGCTTTCACTCCAGATCAGTTGAGTGTAATAAGTGTTGGAGATGGAATATTTATCTGGGATTTTCTTGCTGGTTTATCAGACCAGAAGGAGACTAAGTAAGTAAGTGAGGTAGTTTCTATATGATAAATTGAACTGTTTTTTATTTCATGTGTTGAGGCACTCAGACTTCTTGCCCAATTATTATTCAAATGTTGTGAATAATTAGATGTTTATTTTTAGTTTCCATGATTGGCGAATCGCTTTTCCGGGGTTAATAATCCTTTCAAAAAATAAATCAACAAAATAATAATTTGGTCACTCAATCCATCACTGTTTGTGGGATACTACTGTGCGCAATTGGCTGCCGCATTTCGCTCACAAACTATACAGTCACTACGCTTTACAGTATATCATGTGAAGCGCTTTGAGACGTCTCAAAGACGTGATGAGGCGCTATATCAAATTCAAAGATTATTATTATTTTATTAATTTCTCTTACCCAGATGACGTAAACTAGAGCTAATGGAAGTGCATTGGGGAGGCCAGGTCAGGTTGTATCAATGAGAAGGGGATTCAGACAGTTACCCAGCTACATAAATATTGGATTTAGAAAATTGTCGTGTTTGGTTTGCTGACGGGTTATTAATTTTTTCCACTCTTCTAGTGACAATTTGCCGGTGGAAACATTTGCCCCTCTTAGAGCTGGTGAGTTTTCAGCACAGACGATATTGTTTTCAATCCGATTAATGTTTGCAAATTCATGGAGCAGTTATGTAATTGGATTATTCTAAAAAATCTTAATATCTGAAGTAATCTAATGGTAAGTATTTTATTCATTCATCCCTTTAGCTTAGTGGTTAGAGCACTCGCCTCGCAAGCGAGACGGCCTGGGTTTGATTCCCGGCAGGGCAAAACATTGGGCAAGTTTCCTTACTCCACACTCCTTTGCTTAACGAGTAGTAAGTAGGAACCCGGTTGTTAGTCGATTGGCAGATCGCTTTTCCAGGGGTAATAATTCCTTCAAAAAAAATTTGATCACTCAATCCACATTTGTTTGTGGGACACTGCTGTGCGGAATTGGCTGCCCCGTTTCGCCCACAAAATATCCAGTCAGTTCACTTTACAGTATATTCTAAGAAGCGCTTTGAGATGCCTCAAAGACATGATAAGGCACTATATCAAATGCAAGGATTATTATCATTATATTTTGCTCCTTGCGTAGTGTCTTACGGTCACCTAACCCCCCCCTCCCCCCCGCCCAGCGCAGAGTCAGGCTCTGCCAGTGTTAAGCGTTCTGAGACACTACCCGGCGTGGAGAGCGCTATATAAATGCAAGTTGTTGTTATCTCTTTAAGAAAGCTCGTCATCAGTTCTACAGAAACCACTGGGTTATGTATCAGATTGCCCAAAAGTGGTGCTGTAAAATTTATTTTTCCATTTCCCTCCACCTTCCCAAAGCAAACAGCGCAATCCAAGTAACCTGCTTTGTAAGCGACTGCAAAAAATTGCAACCCTGTTTCTTTGCAATCGTGATAAAAACAAACAAACTGATTTGAGGTCTTTGTTTCAGAAGCTTCCTCAAAGGCAGATGGCAGAGAACTGCTCATGAGCAGTGGGATGCCTCGTCAGTCGGTGCCGTTTCCTAGTTCCTCCCCACCCCGGCTTGATATCAGCGGCATTGAAACTAATCACCAGGGCGGTGAGTATCTAAAGAAGTATCAGCTACATATATAGATGTATCTGTGTTTTTATAGCAGGGATTCTCAAACTTTATCACAGACATAGTTTGAGAACCTCTGGTTTATACCATATATACTTCAGTCACCTAAATATGTTAAATGACAAAAACACTTATTGCCAGCTCTCTGAGTTAACCATTTAATTTCATCAGTTTTGTGCTTATCAAAGCAAAGAGTTTAAATCATGTCTGATTTAATATAAGTTTTTTTGTGTGTCCTGCTGGTTCTTTTAAAATATTAAACGCTATTTTCATAAAAATCATTGTTCCGAGCAGCACACTGTGTGTGTGTATAAAGCTATCTGTATAATACTGTATAAATAATAACCACAATGACCTAGGGCGGGGGTGGTTACAGGGTCTCGGTGGTGCTAAACTGGCAACAGAATGTCGTAATTCAATCAACCCTCTGTAACAATCTCAACATCTGGTTTCCTGAGCCAGATAGGTCCGTAGTACTTCAACCAACTGCTGATGGCAGACTAGCCAACCTGGCTCATTGGCAGGACTTGTAGGGGCAGGTGCAAATCTACAAGTTAAAGCTCTGGGGACTGCAAGCCTTGGCTTTTGCCAACCTGTGCCTAATAGTCTCTGGTGTTCGATAACCCAGGCGGGTTCCTCTATGGAGAGAGTGCACATTCCATTCCAGGCAGGAAATTTCCATGTGTGGGAGTAGAATACATATTTGGAATTTGTGTGGTTATTATATCTGACATTGCTCTGTGTGAATATATCTGTTTCTGTCACTAATTAGGTTCTTATTGGCAATTTCTCGTCAATTGTTTTTTCCTCTTCAGAACTCTTGTCCGATTCTGAGAATAAATGTAGCCACAGCCAGCTGGGTGGCTCCCGAAGGAGAAATGAAAACTCTTTCCTCCATGTTCGTGAAGGCATATACAAGGAAAGTTTGTCGCCTTTCTTGAGGTCCAGTTGTGGTCAGGAGGAGCTGGAGCCGGATGGACCAGCAGGTAGCAGGTTTTCTTTTGTTTTCTGCATCTGATATTCTTCTCAACTATGAGATTAGCATAGGCAGCATGCAAGGAATAGTGCTGGGTGGCATGCTATCAAGTGGTTTACTCTCATTCTGAACTATTTGCTTCAACAGCACGTGTGCTGCTCAGTCCTCACATTCGCATCCCTGATGTGGAGCCCCACATCAAGAATTGGAACTTATGTTGCTAATCCAGTACAGTGCTGGGGGTATACTGCAATGTCGGAACTGCCATCCTTCGGATGAGGCAATCCCATCTGCTTGTTTAAGTGGACGTTAAAAATCCCATGACACTTCAAAAAGAGAAAGGAGTTTCTCATGGTGTCCTGGCTAACAATCCCCCTAATAAAATTGGTCACTCACTTCAAGGCTGTTTGTGAGACATTGCTGTGGGCAACTCGCTTATAATATTTGACTACAAAACACACAGTCAGAATATCCATTTTGAGACGTCTTTCTAAAGTGAAAGGCATTATATCAAATGTAAGAATTATTATTAAAAAATAATATGACCACAGTGCAATAGAAAGGTCAGTTTTTAAAAATATTATGGAATATATTTGTTAATATTGGAACTAAATGCTTTGCTATTGATACAAAATACCAGCAGCTAAATTAATAACAGTTACACACATCTCATTAAAAAAAAACTCATGAAGGAATTGTAGAAACTTTCCTGATGTACGTTTTGATTTCATATATTTTTTTCTCTCATAGCAACACAAGTTGGAGATGGAGATTATTTGCAATCTTGTGCACAGCCAGATTCATACAAACATTTCACTGCTAGATTTAAGACCTCGTTTGTGTCTCAGGTATGTTAACACTTATTAACAACAACAATAAATTGTATTCATATAGCGCCCATCATGTTGGGAGGACATCCCAAAGAGTGAATTTCATAAGTGTTGTTTTGCTACAAACAAATCCAGAACTACAATAAACATCACACAAGTTGTATCAGTTGGGACATATATTTAATACGACTTGTGAATAAATATGAGTTATGTCAAACTTGCAAATATATATGACTTATGTAAAGTTAGGTATAAGTCGGATTTCCTTGGAGCTGAGCTGGCTTTAAGGTAACATACTTGGCAATGCAATGTCATAATTGAGTCAATGTCCCTGTGGTCTTCTTGGTAGTCCAATTCCTAAGACAGGCAGATCCACAATACTCCAGGACACTGTTGATGACAGGCCATCCGGAATCAGTGGCCGGACTTGAACCAGTCATTGGGATCACAGATTCTTCCCACTAAACTCCTGTTAACCCTGTAATAAGCTCTAAGAATAGGAAACATAAGTACTCCATGGATGGGATAGAAGTTGCCAAGGGGGAAGCTGAATGAGATCTGGGGTGTTAGTTGACTTGTTGCTCACTATGTCAAAACAATGTGAGGTGGCAGCAGTAAATAAGGCAAACAGGATGCTGGGCTATGTTGCTAAATCAGTTGAGTTTAGATCCCGAGGTGTCACATTCTGGCTGTACAGTGTGCCTTGAATACTGCAGACAGCTCTGGTCACCGTGACATAAGGGGCTGTCCATAATCTAGAGGCAGTACAGAGGAGACCAAGAAAATGATCCACATTGGTAGTTTAGTTTAATCTTACCATAGTTTGCTCCAGCACAGCTATAATACTGTAATAAGTAATGTGATCAACTCGCACTCTGAACCTGCCTTATAGAATGCAGTTCCCTCTCCTGGCAAGAAGAAACTGAAATTGAAAGTGGTCAACGGATATAATGGAAATGGGAGAGGAAACATGGTCTGGAATCCTGATACAGGTAATTAATAAGAATATAATAAGAATATGGAATCAATCCAACATAAAACACTGTTTGGAATCGGAATATACTTGATCAGGAGAAAAGGAAGGTACAGTGTACAGTTGCTAATCAAGATCTTGCATTTCCAAATGGGTTATCCAGCTCTGATGGACAGAAATTATCACTGAGATCAAGTGGAGACTTTCACTACCTGGCATAAGCGCTGTTATCTATGCTGCCTTCAGAAGGGCGAATGGGGAATTTGGAGAAAGTTGTATTTTGACTTATAGTTCACAGAGAAAATGTTGAATAATGTGTGGGATAAATTGTTCTAGTAGGTTGGTAAACTGAAACTTTTGTTCTATGCAATCAGTTTGATGAAACAAAATGAAAACTAAAATTATAAACTTCACAATATTTTTTGCTGAAATATATTATATTCTTCAAACCAAGAGTCGCTAGTCTAATATTGTATCTGATTTTCTAGCTTAACTTAATGCCGTTTTATCATATGTACCAAGTCTGCTTTCGTAGCTTGCTTTTTGGATAGTGCTTCAGCTTCTTCATTGATGGTTTTTGTGTGTTTATCTCCAGCTCTGTTTGCCTACTCATGTGGGTGCTTGGTGATAATTGAAGACTTGCACTCTGGGTCTCAAAGACATTTAACTGGTCATGTTGAAGAAGTCTCCACCCTTGCATTGAGCCATGATGCACAGGTATGCCTAGTCTGGATTTTGCTGAGAATTGATCTGCTCAGAGAAAAAATTATTATTGTGTGACTCTGAACTATTGTTTTAAACAGCACACCTGTGCTCTGACCTGCTCAGCTTTCCACCACCTCCGGCACATTGCCCCCATCCACCTCCCCTGTGGCTCGCCCATGCCTTTATTACGCTTGACTATGCTAAGAGAAGATGACACAGAGGGGGCCTCATAGAGATGTACAACATTTTAAACGGGATTGAAAAGAAAACCTAGATCAATACCTTAGGCTACACCAAGACATTAGAACAAGACATGGGTTTAAAGTTGCAAAGGACAATCAGGACAGATACCACAAAGTATTTCTCTATGCAGAGGGTAATTACTGACTGAAACAAGTTACCAGGTAGGGTTGTTGAGGCCAGCTGACTCAAAAAAAAAACAATTTGGACTCACAACTTGTCTACAACCTTATCTCTTCAACTGTGCCCTTACCATCTCCTCCTTACCCTCTCACCCTCCCAGCTCAGACTCCCGTTCCGCTTTTATGAAGTGCTTTGAGACTTGCTCTTAGATGAACAACCACAATGACAACTTGGATTTATATAGCACTCTCCACGGAAGATGTAAGGTGCTATATCAGTTCAATTTAGTGTTGTAGAGGAGTTGAGATTTTATGGCAAAATATCTGTGATATACTTGTATGTATTATCAAGTCTTTGATGTGTGCAGCTCAATCATGTTTCCTTGAGTGGAGTTCACATATGATTTATTGCTTTCATCATTTTTGTTGAATTATAATGGTTCATCTGCAAATTATTGGTGTATGTTTTATCTGGAAGGATCTCGCCTCAGCCTCTGGCGGCCAAGGTCAGGCCAGCAGTTGTATTTTTATTTGGAATGTGACAAGTGGCACTTGTAAGAAAGTACTTTCTCAACATACAACTGAGGTGCAAGCTATGGCCTACTCCAGGGATGATCGGTTACTGATATCTGTGGGTAAGTTCTGAAACATGTGGTTGGTTCATGTGACAATGGATACTATTTACATCAGTATTGTGAAGACTGTTCAGCAAAACACTTTTTGATTTTAGCATTTCTGTCCAATTGTGCTTCTTTTGAAAATGAACTCACTTTGAACTGTCTACGTCACATTTGTATATAACCAACTCTGAATACTGGCAGTGTGGAAGCCCATTTAAGGTGTGGCTCTTCAGACTGTATCGGTGGAAGGGTGGGGACTGAGTCCAGGTTTCTCCCGCACCTATTACCCCCCTATGCTCGCCCAGCTCCACTGGCTCCCCACCACTCAGGATAGAGTTCAAGATCCTGGTCCTCACCTTTAAAGCCCTCCACAGTCTTGCACCTCCCTACCTCTGACCTCCTAACCCCCTACCAACCTGTCCGCTCAGTGGACTCCGTCCTGCTACACGTCCTCCGCCTTGCCCGCCCCACCATTGGCGGTCGGGCCTTCAGCCTCTCTGCCTCCACCCTCTGGAACTCCAACCTACCGTCCCTCTGTCTCGCCCCCTCCCTTGCAGCCAATTGCACACAGCAGCGTCCCACAAACGGTCATGGATTGAGTGACAAAATGATCATTATTATTTTTGAAGGGATTTTTACTCCCGGAAAGCGATCTGCCAATCGACTAACAACCGGGTTCCTATTTACTGCCCGGTAAACAAAGATGTGTGGGATAAGAAAACTTGTCCACGGTTTTGCCCTGTCCAGGAATCAAACCCGGGTCCTCTCACTTGCGAGGCGAGTGCTCTAACCAATGCACTGCAGGACTTCATACTTTGCATAAGTGATATTAAATGTTTGGTCCCACCTGATATGACTTATGTGAGGTTTTACTGTTGTATGTTTCACATCAGGAACACGTCCGAGGTCCAAAATGAATTTAACTTCCACATTTTGGCTGCCATGTTCCTTACATATACATAGTCATTATACTGCACAGTAAAATCCTGTGAAATGCTTTGAGACAATGTTATAAGGCAATATATCAAATGCAAGGATTATTATTACTGAACAAAATATTAGTCGAAGAAATATCACTTCCAACCAGCAAGGGTGTAAATGAGAACTGACTGCAGCTTATTAACACTGATTAATATCCTTTCCAGGAGATTACAGAGATCTCACAATTGCTTTGTGGGATACCAGTGATTATGTGCTATTAACCATGACAAAGGTATTGGATGCTGTCCATGAAATAGCATTTGACCCAACAACTGCCTGTGAATTTGCCTGTGTTGGGGTGGGAGCTGTGCAATTCTGGTTGTTGGAAAAGAATGGCAGTGATGTACAACTCAAGGTAAAATCCATGTTTGTTTGAATTTTTCATACCTTTTCTCCGCTCAGTGTGAGCTGCGAAGGCAAATACCTTCAGGCTTTTGACAATAATCATAATAATAATAATAAATGAGAACAGACTGTCCTATAAACATTGTCACAGACTAGTTGGATTGAATGGCTTGTTTCTGTGTTGTACAGTCTTATATGATTCGTTGTATATCTGCATGACTGAGCCTCTGTTCCGTCACTTCATCGAACTGCTTTATCAATTTTTTCCAATTGACTTTCCTTCTCTCCTGAAGCCCAAGACTCCTGTCCTTATTGTTAACAGGCTATTCAATCATATTTAATAGAGTCAACTTTGTTGCTGTCCTCATTTAGTGAATATACACATGTGACACTTTCCAGTATGGGTCAAACATTGGTTTATTTCCATCAATACTAACATTCCATATTTTGTAGTGTTCAAACCAGTTTACTTAAATAAGTACTGTACAACCTCCTCCCTTGTTTGGAGGGGGGAGTTAGTAAAAACAAGGCTACATGTCTGACAATGGATTGTTGGAATTGAGTCAACCCTCAGTAGTCCGGTTCCTGAGCCAGTCAGGTCCGCAGTACTATACTCCAGGGCACTGCTGATGACAGACTAACCAGCTCGTTGGTAGGACTTGAAGGAGCAGACTAATCAGGGATTCTTCCGACTCAGCTCCTGCTAACCTCGCAAGCTGAAACCTTGATGGTTAGGGAGGTCCTAGCTGGAGACGCAGCAGGAAATCTGCCACACACTGCTCTCAATGGCAAGCTATGTGGTTTTAGTTTATTAAACTCCAGCAGTATCCTAATACACACTCTGGGGTCCCTCAAATTTGGCTCTTGCCAACCAGCACCTAACACACTTGTGTCTCCACTGAGAGAGTGCACGTTCCAATCCAAACATTGGAATTTCCCTGTGTAGGTGACATACATGTGTGAAACTTTTAAGCATGGTTTCCACAGGTGTCAGGCACTCAGCTTTTCAAAATAATTTACTGTATGTTTGGGCTTGTCTTAATGTTTGTGATTGTATCGCAGGTTCACAGAGTCCCAGTCCCCGATGAGGTGGGCCTTGTGGAGCTCACTGCACTGTGCTACAACACAGATTCTGTTCTTTATACTGCTACCAGCACAGGGAAGGTCTGTGCTTGGGATACCCAGTACAATCGGTGCTTCATGGTTTGGGATGCAGATGACGGAGAGATTGGTAGGTTTTAGTCTCAGCTAAAACAGCATTCTGTTGGAGTATGAGACTACGATGTTATTTACTACGTTGATCTTCTGTTGTAGGGATTGTGAAGTGTCGAGGACACCGTTTAATGACCGGTAGTAACGCAAAGAAGGTCCGGTTATGGACAGTCACAGCAGTTCAGGAAATGAGACTTGAGGGTACAGGAGCAAGGTGATGCTATTGTCTAAATCTATTTGACATGTCATTTTAGGTTCTTTTTCTTAAGTATGTGACTTTGTTGCATAACAGCTAGAAATCACAGTGCCATTCGGTCTATTGTTTACACTGGCTCTCAGAGAAATTTCAATCCCACTGCCCTGCGTTATCCCTTCCAAGCCTCTACCTTTCATATACCTGTCTATTTCCCTTGTGAAACCCTTAATACTTGGCTTCTACTTGTCAGTGTATTTCACGTCTCAACAACAACAAATTACATGAGTATAGTGTCTTTCACGTCGGGAGAACGTCCCAAGCTGTTGGACAGTCAGGGATTGGGACCCAAGCTGGGGGTGGAGATCAGGAAGGGTGGGGGTAGGAGGGTGACCAAAGGCGCTGTCGAAGGAGGGTCTTGAGACAGGCCTTAGAAGGAGGCAAGGGAGAGAGCGAGGCGAACTGACTGGGATGGAGTTCCAAAAGGTGAGGGCAGAGAGGCTGAAGACCCGGCCGCTGGTGGTGGGGCGGGCTGGGCGGGGAACGTGGAGCCCACAGGCCGGAGCCCACTAAGCAGAAGGAGCGAACAGGTCTATATGGCGTTAGCAGAGGTAGGAAGAAGCAAAGCAGTGGAGGACTTTGAAAGCGACGACAATGATTTTGAACTCTATCCTCTGGGGGATAGTGGGGGCTAGTGCAGCCAGGTGAGGGTGGGGCTGATAGGGTCATGGAGTTTGGTGTGGTCTGAGCTCAAGGACTCTCTTGAGTGGGGAAAAAAAAATTTCTTTTACTCCTTGTGACTGCCTTACAACTATGCCTCCAGTCACTGACTCGAAACACTTGAAATAGCTTCTCCCTATTCACCCTGTCAAAACCATTTACAATTTTGTGCATCTCCATCAGGTCCTCTGAAGACAGACCCAACATCGCCAATCTCTCTCACATCTATAACCCTCATCCCTGGGATCATTGTAAATCTCCTCTGCCCTCCCTCCAAGGCCTTAACATCTTTCCTGAAGTGAGGTGCCCAAAACTGAACACATCTGCAGCCTACTCAGTGATTTGTACAAGCTTAGCATTATCTGGCTATTCCATATTGCTTTAAATTTTCCTTGGTGAATACTGAGGCAAAGCTCATGAAATAGTTCTGCCAAACCCTCTTTTCTACCACTAATTTGCTGCTTTTGCTCTTAAGAAATGTGCTTGCTCAATCTCATCCTAAAATAAATCCCATCACTGCATCGCTTACAGAAAGTTTTGATTTTCATTTGGTTCAGATGATATATTTCAGAAGAAGGAGAGGTTTGAGATACTATGTAACTCTGCCAGATAATCTGACCTCCTCCATATTTTATGTAGTGTCTGTCAGAATACCCTTTTTTTGTTCATTGATGTGTAAATTAACTATTTCACGCATACTGTTTTCTTTTCACTGCCAGGTCAAGTTCAGTGCTCCTGGAACATGAAATGGTTTTGGATGGTACAGTGATTAGTGCAGTCTTTGATGATATCATGGATATGGGTATTGTGGGAACCACAGCAGGCACTCTGTGGTATATAAACTGGGCTGAGAACACCAGTATCCGTCTGATCAGCGGCCATAGAAACCAGGTCAGTTGGCATCCACTCTATTGCACATAGAAAAGTTGCATAATTATGGCCTCTTGTTCTGGATTCCCCCACCAGTGGAAATAGTTTTTCTGTAGCTACCCTATCGAGTCCCTTTATTATGCTACTATTCAAAAAGAGAAGTGAGTTTCGACCAACAATCCCCAGATAAATTGGGCATAAATTGCATTGCTGTTTGCAAATTTGCTGCTGTGTTCACCTATGAATACACAGTCACTACACTTCGCTGTAAAATCTCTAAAGCATAAATAACCTGTGAATAAACAACATTTCTTCTTTCTTCACTTAGGTGAATGAAGTGATTTTTAGCCCTAATGAGGGACATTTTGCCACATGTGCAGAAGATGGCAGCTTGAGGGTGTGGGTCATGCAAAGTACTGAGCTGGTTGTACAGTTTCAAGTGCTTAATCAGGTATGTTACTAAATGGAAAAGAACACAAAGTGGGCTAGGGAGGGTTGAATAGAGGCTAGTTGTATAACTGCGACCAGACCCTTTCACAGCTACTGGCTATCTCAAGTACTGAGGAGTGACAACATAGGAATAGAACTCCAGCATGCAGCCTGTTGGGTCTGTTTTACCATTTTATTAGACCATGGCAGATCTTTTAATCCAGTTTCCCTGCTTTTCTCATCATCGTTGGGAAACACATGCAGCAATAACTTGTATTGTGCTGGCTGCACTGCATTGCCAGATAGATCTTTAATGTCTGCCTGTTCAGATGGACTTTAAAGATCCCTTGGCATGATTTGAAAAGTAAAGGGAATTACATTTTTCTCTCCAGAGTTAGGTAATCAGGGTGCATCCATCCAGGGAGACAGTATGCATTCCAATGCAGACACCAGGAAATTTCCACAGAGGTGGAACTCTGATTTTAAATAAGAATATTCACAGAAAAAGTACAGAAAGCCAAGCCCACAGCTGTAGCATGAGGGAATATTTAGGACTGGCACAGGCTGTAAGGAGATCTGGCAGTGCCCTGGTGGAGCAGGTCTTCAAATGAGGATCCAGCCTCATGTCCCAAGAAATACACTGATCTCCAATAGCCATGAAATGGGGTGGGGGCTACATGTGATTCCCGAATCTGTGTTCAGTAAAGTTCCATTGTTATTCCTCAACATGTCTGGACTTCATTCTGCTTTGTTCTTCAGAACACCTAACCCTGTTACAGTATTCAATGCCAGCAGGAGATAAAGGTTTAGATTTTTTTAAATAATGCAAAATTTATACTGATTTGTATCCTATTATGATGAGAATTTTGAAGGTGACGTTGTTATACTGTAGCTGTTGCACTGGAGATGATCACTTTGGCTCATTTAGAGGCAATATTGGGCACAGTAGCTATCCAACTACAAGTCAATTATCAAATCCTTTACATCCTGTGAGTACTTTTCTCTGTTTTAACCCAGAGCTGTCTGTGCATGGCATGGAGTCCAGTGCATCACTCAGGAGAGCTTCTTGCCAAAGAACAGCTAGTGGCTGGATACAGCGATGGCACGATTCGCCTTTTCAACGTTTTAAAGACAGAAATGGAACTGAAGATCCATCCACACCCAGTGGCAGTCAGTGCTATCGCTTACTCCATGGATGGTATGTTGCATGTATGTTGTACACCTACCTCCTGGAACTCTAACCTGCAATCCCACCGCCTCACCCCTCTTTTGCTTCCTTCAAGTCCTCTTCGACCGTGCCTTCGACCACCCTGCCACCCCCCTGACCCCAATTCCAGGCTCGGTTCCTAAACCCCCTGACTGTCCAGGCTCTGGGATGTCTTTCTGATGTGAAGGGCACTATCCAATTGTAATTTGTTGTTGTAGGGAATATCAATGCAGAATGCAATGTTCCTTTCAAAACGCACTGGATCCCTGATCACAAACATGCAACAATAATACGTAGCTAATCAACACATACCATTTGTCTTTGCATTAGCAACATGTATCTCAATTCATGTTTGACAAATCTTTATGCATTTTTTCCCCAGGTGAGGTTATTCTTTCAGGAGATAAAGATGGCCTTGTGGCCATCAGTAGCCCTCGAACAGGATTGACAGTCCGTGTTATCAGTGACCACAGGGGTTCCCCCATTACAACAATTCAGTGTACATTGAAAAAGGTTGGTTCAGTATAAATTTGTCACAAGGTTAATCTGTCCCAAGGTGAGAGAAATTCAAAAGTATGTTTCAAAAAAGAAAGATGTCCAAAAGTATGTTTCAAAGAAAAAATGTGTGTAGCCCATAGCTACAACTCTTGAGTTTGAATCTGAACATCAAACATACACTCACAGAGGCGTATGTCAGGCTCATCTGGCTTGTCTGAGAACTTAACAGAAAACTGGGTCATGGGCTGTGTACATGCACCGTTTAAACATGCTCTCATTATAAAACCCAGAATACTGTTAGCATTTTTCACAGCCCTTTTCATCATTACTGTCACTTTCAAGGACTCCCAGATCCAGTCCCTGATCAAGATCACTTTTCTCCACCTTCGCTAAATCGCCTGCCTCTGACCATACCTCACGCCCAACGCAGCTGAAACCCTTACCCACGCATTCATCACCTCTATGACCTCCTTGCAAAAAAACGTTCATAAAATCCAGTTAATTCAATTCTGCTGCCCATATCATCACCTGTACTAAACTCTGCACCCGTAAACCCATCACTTGTTTTTTAATCTTTTTTAACTTTAAAATTGTTTTAATCTTGGTTCTCTTAGGCCTACCCGCTCTTTAGTCCTTTCTTCCTATCATCCATCTCCCCTTGAAACACAATCGTTTTCAGCGGGATTTTCAAATCTTTTGTGATAGCCTCAAATGTGAGGCAAATCCAGCAGGTTCTGCTATTGTCCTGAATGTAGTTCTTGGATATATTTGTCCGCACATCACTCCTGCATGATAGTCATTATATCATCTAATGGTATGTTTACATCCCTTTCCAGAGTTGCAAAGTACTCTCTTGTTTACTCACCTGCTACATTCAGTAAATAATATTGATAATCTTGGCATTTGATGTAGGGTCTTATCCCATCTTCAAGATGTCTCAAAGCGCTTTCACAGAATATACTGTAAAGTGAATTGACTGTATATTTTGTGGGCAGAGGCCAGAATTTGGAAAACTCTTCTCTTTTTCAATTTGTGCTGTGGGATCTTTTAACAATCGTCTAAACAGGCCTCGTATCCAAAGTACAACACTGCAGCGATTGAGCACCACTGTATAGAAGTGTAAGTCTAGACTGAATTCAAAGTCATGACTTGAGGCTTGAACGACACAAAGACTGACTCAGAGGGAAGAGTGGAGTCCTATAGCTTAGTGGTTAGAGCATTCGCCTCACAAGTGAGAGACCTGGGTTCGATTCCCGGCAGGGTGAAACCTTGGGCAAGTTTCCTTACTCCACACTCCTGATAATAATCCACGACTGTTTGTGGGACACTGCTGTGTGCAATTGGCTGCCGCATTTTGCCCACAAATATACAGTCAATTCACTTTACAGTATATTCTGTGAAGCACTTTGAGACGTCTAGAAGACATGAAAAGCGCTGTATCAAATGCAAGGATTATTATTTTTATTATTATTACTGACTGATACTTTGAGAAAATGAACAACCACTGGGAACGTGTTGAGTAAAACCATTCCCTTTTAGCTAATATGCCAGGAGAGTTAGTATCTAAATGTAGAACACTGGACTTATTTGCATTTCTTTTCCAGTTTGATGAATTTGGGCTTCGAGGATGTGAAATGTGGTTGTCTGTCAGCTCCGATCGACGTGTTAGTGTCTGGGCTGCTGACTGGCTTAAAGACCAATGTGAACTCATTGATTGGCTGACGTTTCCTGCGCCTGTTGATCCTGGGGTAAGACTGATTACTCTTTTACTTTGGGGGGAATCTCTAGTACATTCTACAAACCAGGCTCTGTTCCTTCTCATGCATGGGGTGTAATGTCTTATAACAACTTGCATTTATATAAAGCCCTTTATGTATGGTGATGTCTTGGAAGATTGGATCCACCAAAACAATAAATCGCATTGATACAATGCCTTTTATGTCGGGAAGATATCCCAGTTGAGGGTTTGTAGATTCGGGAGGGCTGCGGAGGGAGGGAGGAAAGATCAAAAAGAGGAAAGTCTTGAGATGGACTTTGAAGGAGATGAGGGCAAGGGCTCCAGTATGATGAATGTTGGATGCAGTTGCAGAAAGTGTGGGCATATAGGCTGAAAACCCAATCACCAATGGTCGGGTAGACAGGAAGCAGGTCAGTGCCTGTCGAGCCCAGGGAGCGGGCAGGTTGGTAGGATTGAAGAAGTTCGCAGAGGTGGAGTGGGGCAAGAACAGGAGGGATTTAAAAGAGAGGATGAGGATCCCCTCTGTAGGATGGGAGTCATTGGCCTTGGATGGGGGCAACAGGCTCGCGGAACCTGGTACAGAAGACACGAGAGGATGGTCTTCATTTTGTGTACTCCAGGGCACTGCTGATGGCAGGACAGTTAGGCTCAATAGCAAGGAGAAAACAGAAAATAACGATGCCAGCAACCTAATGACCTAAGGATACGATGGCGGCAGATACCTGATGATCTGAAAGTTGTCAGCCATTTTAGCTTCAAAGCAATGGTTGACTTCCAGGTCATCAGGTCCTGCTGACATCACATCCCACTTTGTACAAACGACACTGTATCTTGGGTGCTCAGCAGAGTTCGGAATAAACCGAAAATACTTGCTATGATGAAACTTGCAAATGCACGTTTGGAAATCTTTTGTGTTTCTCAGGCGTGTGACAGGAGTAATGTGCCGCCAAGCTTAGCCGCTTTCTCACCGAGTCAAAGTGGTGAAGTGGTTTATGTGGGATATGGAGTGGAGCCAGAGATCATCTTCTACAGTCTACACGTAAAACAGGTATCTCCCAACAATCAACAAACCTGCATCAGAATTGTTCAAAACTAATCGTAAGGTAGCTGCAATACACGTACGGTGCATTTGTATGTGACCATGTAGTTGTACAATGCAGACGAACCTCTAATTTCTCACACAGAACATTTCTCATTGTCATATTATATTAAAGGATTTAAGAGGATCAGTATTCCAGAAAGCAACCCCAGGAATCCACATTGTGTAATTGCAAAGATCTGAAAGGGTCCTTTACTCTCATCGTGTTGGAAATGGTGCACATCATCATCGAACCAAAGAAATATTTTATGATTGTATAATATACAATTGAAAGTCCTTGCATATGATGTAGCACCTTATCGTGTCAGTGGAATTCACTGCTGTGAACTGTGCTTCAATGTATTAAAGAGAAAACTTTATACATACATGAGAATAGCAGGAATGGAGGCTTGTGTGGGGAACAAACACTGCAACAACCTAGTTGGGTCGAATGGATTGTCTCTAATACTGTGTCATCTGGGACTAATTGGCATTACATTGAAAAGCTCAATCAGAGGGGTTAAAATGATGGGGTTGGTGAGTTGAGACCAATGAATGAACTAATATTTTACCCTTCTCTGGGCTGTACTGTGTGCTAAAGTGAATCAAAAAATCTATTCTCCAACAATGACAAAGATATTTACAATATATGTTTTAAAAACTCGAAGTCAGGTCACCTCTGTTTTTAACCAAAGGTTTTTCTTTTTAACAGATAATTAGAACGATGACATTGTCTCACTGGGCCACCTGTTTGAGTATCTCTCCAAAAGGCCACCTTATAGCTGTTGGCTCGAACGGTAAGACAGTGAGTTCATTCTGTTTTGGTGGCTCAACTCTCTCTCTCTCAGGGTTTTGCTGGGATCTTACTTCCACTTTGAGCCTATTGTAGTTAGTAAATCGCCAGTATAGTTAACGTGTGGATAAGTGTCAATTAGTGTTTTAAACATTGTTTGGAGTTTAACATTATGGCAGGGTCAGCACCCTTCCGGAAACTTAACTATTCAAAAAATATTTCACCCATAAATGTTTAATGTATCATTAATATTTATTTTTTGCACAGAGAGACTTCTGAGATTGATTGAATATCCAAGTGGAAATTTCCAGGATTTGCCTGGGCACAGTGATACTGTTCAATTCAGTCGATTCACACCATCTGGGAAATATTTCCTGTCTACATCGTACAATGAGGTGTTTATCTGGGAAGTGCAGAAACATTCCCTGAAGCCCTGATACTTACTTTCAAACGTCTGTAGAAAACATGAAGAATGAAAGATTAAAATAAACACTATAGATGGACTGCTCCCCCCCCTTTATAAAGCTCTCAGAAATCATAGCTTCTGATGTCACACATCTGATTAGTGAAGCACAAGTAAGTGTGTTATACCTGATTTTACACAGAGCTGTATATTTTAGTTTTGTGAATAGTTACACTAATACTTTACTTACAGGATAATATTGACCCTTTTTTGTATAAATGATTTTTCTACTTTTCCGTAAATAAAAAATTCTGATTGATTTTGATTAATTTCAACATGTGAGTATTCCTAAATGATTTGAGATTGAGAACCAGGTTCCCAAAGCTTGGGAACCCGGAGTGTGTAAACTGCTGGAATCTACCGAGCTCATGAGCTGACACCAGGAAGTTTTTATTCAAATCCAGTGTTGGATCCTTTTGTGCCATTTCTGGATCTCGATGCTGCCAAGGAAATTCTCTCGTTTATCCACTTGGCATGTTGTGAAGCATCCCCTCTCTCTCTCGGAAAGCTGGCAATTGGAAAGTTAATGACATGACAGCCGGAGAAAGCGTTTTTTTCCTACGGGGAGAATGCAGGCCCCGCCCCTCTCTGCAGCACTTTGCTGACCGTCCTCATGGCTAGTGGTAAGGAAGCATTGGTGTCCTTGTACCACCTGGGGTCAGTGATCGCTGCGGAGGGTCCCAGGGTGAGCTGGGCCACGTTGGGCACTTTCAGCAAGTTGTTGAGTTCATTGGCATGTGCCAGGATTTCCTGGATATCATCCTCATGGTATAGAGAAGAGATCAAAGCACTTCGGACAAATGGCCTCATCTTGGACAGAAACAGAGACACCCTGAAGCAGAAAGAGAAATTAATTACACTCAACTTCGCACATTCACCGATAACCGGTCTGAACAAATCCTGTGTAAACTTTAACCGCCCCCTAATCTATAAAGCGGAGAAGTGGAAGTTTATTGGGCCCCAGGATTAATCCAAGAGAACCTGTATAAACTGGGACTACAAGGGACTGAGGGTAGGGCAGTCGTGAGCGGGTGGAAATGTTCAGCATCTCTCCTCCAGGGAGAGAGTGTGCATCCCATTCCAACAATCTATCTGGTGTACGGGTGGAGTCCTGTAGCTCAGTGGTTAGAGCACTCGCTTTGCAAGTGAGAGACATGGGTTCAATTCCAGGCAGATCAAAACTTTGGGCAAGTTTCCTTACTCCACACAGAGCCTAATAATAATCCCTCCAAAACCAAAACCAATAATAAATTGGTCATTTTCAATCTACGACTGTTTGTGGGACATTGCTGTGCGCAATTGGCTGCCGCGTTCACCCACAAATATAGTCAATTCACTTTACAGTATATTCTGTGAAGCGCTTTGGGATGTCGAGAAGACGTGAAAAGCGCTATATCAAATGCAAGGATTATTATTATGATGCATGGACTTCTCAGTTTGGTTTGGATACTCTTAGAATATTACAGCACAGAAGGAGGCCATTCGGCCTTCGTGCCTGTGCCGGCTCTTTGGAAAAGCTATCCAATCAGTCCCACTCTCCCGCTCTTTTCCCATATCTTTGCAAATGTTTCCTTTTCAAGTACCTATCTAATTCCCTTTTAAAAGTTTTTATTGAATCGGTTTCCACCACCCTTTCAGGCCGTGCATTCCAGACGTAATCATGGATGGGTTTCCACATGTCAGATACCTGGCTGACTAAAAAAAAAAGGGGCACGACCCAGCCTTTATCACAATTATTAAGATTGGTGACATAGCCCTGGTACCTTGGTATCAGGTCCTGGCTTCTCGAGGCGAGCTTTGCCAGTGTTGTCATGAGCACGGTGATCATGCGGGGTGAGTACTTGGGCACACCGGCGGAGGCTCGAAGCTGCGTGATCTCAAACAGCAAGGCCTCCAGTGTCTCGAAGAACTTGGTGATTTGCTCAACTGTACAGCGCCTGTCATAAGACAAAGATGTGTATTCCCCGATGGCCCAAATCTGAAAGCAGAAAAGGTTTAGTGCAGTTTAACTCAGAGACTGCACTGAAGCAACAGACCTTACTGTCCTATTAGGAAGTTTTATTGAATTTGATTTCTCCCATTTTATTTGTGGGAAAAGCCAGTGTTCAGATGGAATAATACAGGTTTACATTGTGCAGCAGTTTCAAAATAAAACACACTGCAAAGCACATCCAAGGTAACCACCTCTCCAGCAAGGAGCCGACAATATTGCAGGCATCGAACATAGCCGAGGGCTGACTGCACCAACAAATTCTAATGCAATCCTCAAGGGCATTAATTATGTTTTTTATAATGTATGATTTTTACCCCAATCGTTAAGCATTCATGCTGAGATCCCTCCGTTATGTTATAAATTATTTAATTTAGTCAATTTACAGTATATTCCATGAAGCGCTTTGAGATCGAGCATTATATCAAATGCAAGTATTATTGTTATGAATTCACGACTGACGTGCAGGGTTAATGTGCTGCAGTGCTACTCTGGGAAGAGTTCTTGCTTGGACATGAGTTATCGAAGCAGTGAGTTTACCCTCTGTTCACTTACCACGTGGGTGAACAGATTTTCCTTGTGGTTGATGTTGCTGACAGCCCCACAAAACTCCAGCAGCTCTTTGGACTGTTCCACTATGAGGGCCGGGTGCAGCTTGCATAACACCAGCAGCTGTGAGCTGAACACTCTGTGGAATTGGAAAGGTGGATGAAAGAGAGAGAGAAAGAAAGAAAAGTTCAACAGTCTTCCTGTGGATATAACCTATTTCCATCCTCTTTCCCTCGCCTCTCCTCACTCACCGCTGTACTTCAGCCTTGAAATTGGGGATGTTGTACAGCAGACTGCTCCTCTCCAGGATCACCAAAACCAGCTGGTTGATGAGGGGCCCGTCTGCAAACTGGAGCCAGAAGGGAAAAGTGGTTGAGGATTTGGAAATCCAGGCACACGTCATGCATTTACCAGCAGTCGATCATAAGCTAGCTTCTGATTCTGGTTTGAAATCACAGCTCATCTTAAAATGCGAGACACGATTATTAATAATAATAATAATTGTACTTGATACAGTGCCTTTTCACACCACTGAGAGTCGCCACTTTTCTTTTTGAAGGGATTATTATTAAAAACACTACCATCTTATTAACACCTTATTAAAAACAGCTCGGGAGTCAGGGCACAATATTCAGGGTAACACTGAAAATCAACTTGAAACAAGATTTTATTTGGAAACAGTGCGAGTGCCACCCAAACCCATCCAAAATAATTTCCACGCTGTGGATAATAAACTTGGCTTCCTGCTACAGAAGCAGCAGAACAAGAAGGTAAGCAATCAGCTGGTAACAGCAGGAGAGGAGTGAGAACAGCCCTTTTGGGTGCAGACCAAGTCAGCCAAAGGAGCCACAAAGCAGTATTATTAAAATAAGTGCTGAGCCCAGGTTAGAGCACCCCCACCCCCAACTCCGAGGATCAATGGATAATGGGGCGAGCCATGCATCAGGGTAATCAAACAATTTGGAAAACACAAGGAACCAAGACAGTGACTTGAGGTAACTGGAAGCCTACCTATAATGTAATAATAATCCTTGCATTTGATACAGCACTTTATCACATCTTCAAGACATCTCAAGGCGCTTCACAGGATATACAATAAAGTGAACTGACTATATTAAGTGTCTGAATGTTTTACAACCTACAGCTTCAAAACAAACAGAAGCAAACACCAACTTTGTCAAACAGGGACGAGGTACCTATCGAGAACAATGGTTGCATTGTAATTGAAACCTATCTCTGTAGAGATCCAATGTTTGAGCCCAGAGAGCCAAATAGGCCATTCAACTCCTCGCTGTTTGTGGGACCTTATTACTCAGCGTAGTATTAATATTCAGACACACGTACACAGCAAGGAAAATAGTTGCAGTATACATCTCTTTAAATTTCTGGAAAGCTATGTTTAACTGCCTTAGCAAACAGCTATGAAAATACAAGTCAATTCAGCATATTATTTACAGGAAGCTTTTTCCATGGTTACCTTGGCTACAGAGGCAGGGCTCAGAATGAGAGCCTTAAACAAACTACACTCTCAAAGGGAAACGGTCGAGCGGACAACAATGATAAATAACTCAAGTAATAGATTCCGTACTTAATACCATGGCAACAAGCAAAACCCATTACCTCAGTGATAGCATTGAAGAAAACCTGTAGGAGAATGGGAACAATCTGAGCGCACTGCACAACTCTCGGTCGCTCAGCCATGTCTAGGAGAACTTCATGAAGCAGGTTTAACCTGTGGAAAGAATAACATCCTCAATGACGGCTGTGAGTATATTTATGTGTGTGTGTGTGTGAGTCCGTGTGTGTTTGACAGAGGGATAGAGAGACCGAATAGGAGACTGGAAATGAAGGAACGTGTGTATGGGACAGTGGGTGAGTGTGTGAAAGTGTATCTACAGCTTTACATAAAAAAAAGCTTTGTTGATTAAACCTGGTTTCAGTTTGAAATGACTGCACACTATACATATATCCATACATCACTCTTGTCTGAACACCAAATAAAATTTTCCCTCCAATAAACTAGGAGACATCAAGCGAGATGATGTGTAGTCCATTATACTCAATGTTTGCAATAATCCACCACAGTTGCTGTTCTCTGATATGTGGCAAAAAAACTTCTCGCTCCATCAATTTATAAATTTATTTATTTAAAAAAAAACATGCTCTTTATGCTTGGCACCTAATAGACCCCTAATTGTAGGAGGTGATAGTGGCAAAATCCCTCAAGTGACCCTCAGTGGGGAGGAGAGGGGCCATTTTAGCTCCTTGTACAAAACAAGCTCCTTTCTTCAACATTGAAGACTTAGTTGCAAGTCGACTTCCACACTAACACCTGCCCTGATCCGGTTGGTAAACATTACACTGAATACCAAGTTACACCTTTTTCAGAAGACGGGAAACTTTGCTACTGGTTACAACTATTGGCAGCAAATATACCATTTATTGGTCGATGACCAGGGAATAAGGAGAGTAAACACGAGACATGGGGATTCAGTGAGATATCACTGACTGGAATGCGGTATTGTATTCAAGTCTGAAGTGAAGTATAAGGTTGATACTTGTTGGAATATTCTCAATGCTGTTAATAATATGACTATTTTTCCTATTTTCTGCCCTAATCTCCCACAAGGAGCATTCCCCAATGGAAGACAAACAAGCTTCCTGCTCCAATGTTCCCACATTCCTGGGTCCGTGTCAATGCCGCTGTACCTGACGCAGAATGGCTTAGCCGCCCAGACCTGTGTCCCAGCCTGGAATCTCCAGGAACATGAGGGACCAGAATAGTGACAACATTTATCCTCCAGTTAAAGACCTGTGAACTGATTGATGAGTGTGCGTGTGTACCTATCAATGGTGTCTCCGGTCCCTGCCTCTGGCCGGAGAATATACATAAACATGCTCCTGTAGTGAGGGTGCCGTAAAGCTTCCGTGCAGTTCGTTGGCTTCCTGCTCGTATCAGTCCCCTTCTCGCTCACAGAACTCACTGACCTAGAGATGAGAGGAGAGCAGAGCTGTAGCCAGTCGGTCCAAGCATGAACTCGAGCCGCCCAACAAGTAGCCAGAGAAACTCGGCCATCGGTTCTCACCATACAATTCGCACCCGTCACAAAGCTTTGATCACTACCAGCATCACACGCGCATTGGGAATGAGCTGGAATGAGTCTGTGGTTGTGGCTGCAGTGGAGCAGGTTCATGAGGAAACAAACTGGTTCAGTTTAAATAACAATAAACTAATAACCTTTGTATTTGCTATGGAGCTTTTCATGTCAGGAGGGCATAGAATCATAGAATCACAGAATTATACAGCACAGAAGGAGGGCATTCGGTCCATCGTGTCTGGACTGGCTTTTTGAAAAGAGCTTCCAAATCAATCCCACTCTCCTGCGCTCTCCCCATAGCTCTGCAAACCTGTCCTCCCCAAAGTGCTTCATGAGGTTTACTGTAATGTGTAGTAACCTTGTAATTTGAAGGAGAAATATTTTTAAAAACTGAACTTTTGTTCTCTTAAGAATTCAAAAATCTGCATTCGCCACCAAAAGGAATGAAGTTTTAAAATCTCGTCCAACTTACAGGTAATGGATTCCTTATCGTTACTTTGAATCTGATTTTAGTATGTTGGATCAATGTTCACACACAGGGTAGTTAGTACCTGAGCTGGTGCTGACGCACAGACATACACAGATGTCAGTGAGTACCTGAGTTGAGCGTCAAGTGCCACTGTCAAGCAGGGCAGGTCAAGGAGTGAATGGAGCATCTCAATGGCTGTGTCGTAGTCAATCAGCACAGGCAGCAGGTCAATGAACTCGGGGAACAAAGACGAGCTGTTCCAAGCTACAAACTGGTGACAGATGAGAAAGTAACGGTTACTGAAAGAAAACAACCACGAATAGTTTCAAAAGCTGAGTTTGATGTGTGTCAGGGCGGCTCACTGCCCTGATGCTGTCGATTTACTATCAATCAACCCACGCATTCCAAAAACACCCTTTGGAACTCAAACCCACAGTCCCTTCACCTCCCCCACCCCACTCTCTTGCCTCCTTGAAGAGCCTCCTCTTTGACCTTCAGTCAAACTCCAACCCCCAACTCATCCCAAACCCCAGATGGATGCAAGTCCTTGACTGTCCAGCTTTTTGGGACGTCCTGCCAACATGAAAGGCCCTATACAAATGTCATTTGTTGTTATTGTAATTATATCATGTTACACTAGGCAAAAAAAGAGAAAATGGGAGAAGAGGAAACGGGATTCTGTATTGTGAATCTGGCTCCAAATTAATAATTTAAGGCGGGAGTGGGGGGCTGGTGGGGTGTGGGGGGAGCAACCTATTAGCTGCTGAGGGCTGGATGCCCTATTTGAGAAACGTCTTAGGGCCTCATATCCAATATTTTTGTGTTTTCCTTCCAGAAACATAACATAAACGGGTTATTGAGGGAGCGGTTGGGTCAGCTGAAAAAAAAGGGTGGGAGAGGGGAGGAACTCGGCCTGTGGGTCGCCATTTAGGACCACCTTGATTTAAGGGACGAGTCTCTCTTGTTGGCCTTTTTTAAAAAAAATAAAATCAATGAATTAGTGAGATCACGGTCTTGCCTTCAACAAACTTGGGAAGCTCCTGCGGAAGATGCCAACGCTCTCGCTCAGAGTTTTTACATTTTCTCTGCAAAACTGGACAAACTCAAAGGCCATCATCGGGTCCTGGTAGAGCTCAGTGGGGATCTTAGTGAAGAGACGTTTGTAAACAGCTTCCGAGTCCACTCCTGCCGTCTCACCTGAGACATGGAGACAATATGTACACAGTACTGAGCGTAATGAAATATTTCCATTTAAAACATTGGTTCATCACCCCGAATCAGCTCAGTTTCACACAATGAGCTACTTTGTTGTGTAGTGACTATTATACAGGTAATTAGGTCTGCAGCATCTCAAAAACAATGCGAAATAACAGACAAGTCTGTTTCCTTCAAACTTGTTTTTGTAATGAATATTAGCCAGAGAACTAACTGACTGTTATAAATAATAATAGTTCTTGCATTTGAGATTGCGCCTTACCACGTCTCTGAGACGTCTCAAAGCACTTGAAAGAATATGTATGCTGTAATATACTGTAAAGTAAATTTACTGTATAGTTTGTGGGTGAAAAGCGGCAGCCAATTGCGCACAGCAGTGTCCCAAACAGTTAAGGATTGAGTGACCAGCTGATCATTTTGAATTTATTATTGAGTGTTGTTTAATGAGATCCTCCTGATGTGAAAGACGCGATATCAAACGTAAGGGATTATTACTTACTGTGATTGAGGTAGAACTGAGCGACTGGAAGCAAAACTCTAGCAAAGGTGGAGTCTGCACAGATCCTCCCGTACAGAGCTTTCACCACAGGAAAGGCTCGATACACAAACAACATATCCTGTCGGCAGATGAGGTCCAGCAAGATCACCGCTTCAACCAGACACTAAAAGAGACAGAAACTGTACTAGCACAGAGAGAGAGATAGAGACAGAGAAAGTCGTACAGGTGCCACGTGGACACTAAAGCAGACACTTTCCTGAATACATTTTATTGCAAAGAATTTGTTCCCAATATAGTAAACCTCATAAGTTGTACAATTTGGAACATATATTTAATATGACTTATGCAAAGTATGAATTATGTCAAACTCATACAGAATATAAACTCTTGAACAGGTTTTACTGTACGATTCTCACTCTGGGTTCTCAAGTTACTTACCGCTTTCTGAAGATCCGAATCTGACTTCTTTAGGGCTTCTGTTGCAAAATAAAAATAAAAAAAAAATGTTTTATACAGCCAGAGAAACTCTTCTCGCCTCAGCAATGCACAGAAATGTGAGCTTGAATCCCAGCCAGGAGTTTGAACCCACAAGTTTCTGACCCAATGGCAAGTGCGGTACAATTGAGCCAGGCTCACAGCCTCATATTCCTCCCCCACCCCAAGGAAAGGCGTTGTTAATGGTGCACAATCAAGCACTGCCGGAGAAAGATTCAGCAGATCAATCGCTTATATTGAATGATGTGATTATTGGCTATTTACCCCCCTCTAGTGGTGAATATCACCATTTCCTCTGGTCAGTTCACACTCAAAAGTATTGGTCACATACGTCTGGTCGCCTCTCCATGGAGTCACTGTCTAAGATGACTGATGGTGGGCGCGCGCACACACACACACAGTCCAAATCCTGTGCTGCTCGTGCCAGACAATAGGAGAGGCGTTGGTGCACGAGTGACATTGGCAAATCTCTGAACCGAAAAAATGTACGTTTGGTAACAGAATGCAGGCAGTAAAGCAGAGGAGGGCAAGTTTTGAATGCAGTCCAAACTCTCCCTTTGTTGATCTCACACTTACTTCTGTCGCTCTGTTCGATAAGTCGGTTGCAATACTCAAATACCTTCTCCCTCAGACGCTCCTTAGGGGGCATCAGGCGGCTTGAGGTGGAACAAGCAGAAACCATTGACATTATAGAGCTGTCCAACTCTGATTTCTCGTCTGGAAAGCAGGATTACAAAGATTAACTGTGTGACATCAAGAGGCAGCTCTTCCATGCAATTCAGATAAGATTCAGGTAAGCGCGTCGTAGAATCATAGAATTATAAAGCACAGGAGGCCATTCGGCCCAGCTCTTGTGCCAGCTCTTTGAAAAGAGCTTCCAAATCAATCTCACTCCCCATAGCCCTGCAAACTTGTCCTCCCCACTTGGGAGAAATACTTTAATGAACGGGCAGGGGAAGCAGCCAGAATTATTTAAATGTCGTAAAAGTTGCGAGGAGAAAAAAGCACAAGGTTACTGATGAATATTCAAACTCTAATCTTCCTGGACATAATGGAAAATGAATCACAATTGGTTAAGCGTATTTAAAAATGTGCAACTTTTACCCATTATAATTGGCTTTATAATAGTAATAAGAATCATCCATGGATTTCTGTTGTATTTGTAGGCAGCCAATTTATGAACAGCAAGGTCCCACAAAGGGGAAACAAGAGGATTTATCTGGGGAGGTTGGCCTGGACAGCGGGAGAAACTCTCTTCTCTTTTCAAAGCGGGTCTCCGGATCTTTAACATCCATCTTCGCGCAAAGTGAAATTTCATTCTTTGAGTTACACTGACTCTATTTTGCGAGATCTGCAACACCGTTTGTAATTTAGCAAATCCCGCAAGTGTTGCATCTGGTTTTCCAGAACGTCTCTTTGGTTGTCGATCTGTTTCGACGTCACGAAGCAGAACACGCTGCAGAATCAAGCGATCACACGATTTCAGTAGTAAACCTGTACCTGCTTCGGGGCTGCTGGCTCCTTCCGCCTCATAACACAGCAGCCACTTTTTGATCATGGAGAAGGAATGCATGTTCAGCCATTGGTCCTCTGTGTAGTACTGACCAATGGAGAGCACTGTGAAAAAGTCCCCGGCCACTGCTCCATCTACCTCCAAAACAGGTGCAGGCTGCAGCAGAAAGAAAATAATAATACTTGCATTTGATATAGCGCCTTATCAACTTGTAACATACTGTAAAGCGTAGTGACTGTGTGTTTTATGGGTGAAAATCAATGTTAAGCACTGGAAGCTAACCATGGCACAAGGGTGCACAGAAACAGACATGATTCTGGGTCACAGAACATCCCAGAAGGACATAAGGGATGGAAAGGGTGCAACGTAAATTCACTGGGTTGATACTGGCTAGATTGTTCTTTTTTTTCCTCCAATGGAGCACACAGCACATTGAGACGAGACACAACTACAATCCTTGCATTTGATAAGGCGCCTTATCACGTCTTGAAGAAGTCTCAAAGCGCTTCGCAAAATATACTGTAAAGTGAATTGACTGTACGTTTCGTGGACGAAATGCGGCAGACAATTGCGCACAGCAGTGTCCCACACGTGGATTGAGTGACCAAATTATTATTATTATTTATAAAGCAAATTTGTTTGTATTTAGAATTTATTACCTGGTAATACCTCTTAATTTATTATCTGGTTCATTGGGGCCAGATCAATCAAGACATTTATCCATTTCCCTTTTGAATGATCTTTTGATTTAGCCTCAACAGCCATTGGGCACTATATTTCTCAAGACTGTACGATAATTAACAGAGAATAGGGTACATTCCAAACCTTAATACAGACTGGCATTAATCTGGCCGCAGCTCCCGATTACCTGTCTCAATCTCGGACTGGAGAAGAATCCTCCGGAGGAAATGGGGATCCCCTGCACTGTACTTGCATATCTCAGCCAGTCAACGAGTTTCCTACTCATAGTATTCACCTGCTCTGAGGAGCCAAACACAGGGAAATCAGTGTGTCTGAAGAGAGAGAGACAGAGAGAGAGAGAGAGAGAGACAGAGAGAGAGTAAATATGTATCTTTCTAAAACAACATACTGGGGCTCATAAAAGCTAGATATCTTTCAATTGAACACTTTCTCAAAATAATGGAATGGTGTTTGACAACTTCGACACTGTAATACGTGTTCTCTTCCTGTCTGCCCTTTTTTCCTGCACAATATTTTGTTGCCTGCTCGTACAATTATTTTGCAAGTCCCTCTGTCAAATATTTCACTGAACAGGATACTGCCACCAAGTAGTGCACAGTGTAGAAGAGCACAAATACCCTTGAGTCAGTCGTACTGTTTGTAACGCCTCAAGTCAGGTATGTTAAGGCTGTTCCAGAGACTAAGTAATAATAATACTTGTATTTGATATAGCACCTTATCTCGTATTCGAAATGTCTCAAAGCCTTCACAGAAAAAACTGTAAAGTGAATTGACTGTATATTTTGTGGGTAAAATGCAGCAGCAATGTCGCACAAACAACCTGGAAAAGCGATCCACCAAGTAACTAACAACTGGGTTCTGACTTATTGCTAGATAAACAGAGGCGTGTGGAGTAAGGAAACTTGTGTAAAGTTGCGCCCTGCGTGGGAGTTGAACCCAGGTCTTCTCTCTTGTGAGGCGAGCGTGCTAACTAATACGCCACAGGACTCCACAAGTCATCAATGGTTGCTGCAACCATTCCGTGCTTTCGGGTAGCAACAGTTACATTTTGCCCATCCCGCAGGAAGAATAGTTATCTGTGCCATTCATTATCCATCTGAGGATTTACCTTCATTCAGAGCCTCAGGTGTGAGATCAAGGACCTTGGATAGAATAGGTAACAGGTGCCGCAAACTTTGTCCCTCAGCCTGGCGGGATTCTAACAGTTTCAGAACACGGCCACACACACCCTCAATCTCATCTTCCTTGTTCCCCTGTGGGTGGAAATTGCAACCTCAATGTTTGTCAGCCTTCAGTATAGAATAGGAAGCAAAGTGCAAACTTTTTTTGTCTATTCAGTACAGCAGAGTTCTTTGATTCTAGATTTGTCTGGAATTCTGGGCTATGGTTTAGGAATACTTATGATTTTTTTGTGACTGCGGAGATGGGACTGCAATGGTCTTTTGCAGTCATGTAGCTTTATAAACAATCCAAGCACAATGTGAGGGCTTTTGATAAGAGTAAATAGGGAGAAACTGTATCCTCTGGGTTGGTAACCAGAGGACACAGATTTAGGATAATTGTCAAAAGAACCAGAGGAGAGACAAGGAGACATTTTTTTTCCCCCTGAGAGTTGTTACAATCTGGAATGCACTGGCTGAAAGGATGGTGCAAGCAGATTCAAGAGTAGCTTTCAAAAGGCATTTGGATAGGTACCTAAAAAAGAAAAATTTACAGGGTTATGGAGTAAGAGAGGGGAAAGTGGGACTAGTTGGGTAGTTCTTTCAAAGAGCCAGCACAGGCACGGTGGGCCGAATGGCCTCCTTCTGTGCTGTAAGATTCCATGATTCTAAGTGTGATCTGGCATCTAACTTACCTGGGCTAGCAACACTCCCAACAAGAGGCTTACAGTTTTCGTATCAACCATCTCATTGCATGAGACAGTCAAAGCATCGCAGGGCAACACCTCTCGCAGAATGGCTGAGCACAGGACCTGCACTGGAGGCGTGGTCTTCGACAAGCACAAGGTGCTCAGGAGTTTTTGAAGGACGTCACTGGGAAGTCTAGACACAAAATGAAAGAGACAAATAAAACATTAACTTACGGGAACAAACAAAAGATCAATCTCAGATGCTAATTAAATAACCGGAGCCTAGTTACATCCATGCTGTTAACACTTCTATCCCATGATTAACCCTCAAGTGTCCAGACCAGACAACAAAATGCTGCAAAAATATGTCATAGACATCTAAAATATAATGAATGAGAAACTACCTTGTAAGTCTCCCCCTCACTCCCAACCAGCTATTTTATATTAAAGGTTTTAAAATAGATTTTATGACAATAAAATAATACAGCAAGGAGCAGGTTATTGGGGTTGTGAGCAATTAGCTCCAGTGGATGAGACAGAACCATCCCAGGTTTGATGGGTCAAATGGAATCTGACTATTATATTAAGTCAATCATAAAACTGAAATAACTAACTGTACTTCAACAATCCAACCCGAAAATAAATAAATAAAGTAAACTAGCATCACATGCTGAAATTTCCCCCCTACTCTTCCTCTTTTGTTTTAAAACAATTCCCCGAAAGTTCTTACTTTCTGCCGTATTTCGTAACCGAGACAATCAGAAAGACTTTCTGAAGGGAATCAACAGTTTCGTTATTGTATTCCTTGTTGTGGAGCAAAGTGGAGATGCGGCAGCAGAATTTCTGCAGGTCTTCATCTTGTACTTCCCTGAAGAAGAAAACGCATCTCTGAACTCTTTGCTGACACGGTTTCACGTGGTTTTCTTTTGCTTTTTTCCCCTCACAAAATAGTCCCACTTTACAATATATTCTGTGAAGCGTTTTGAGATGTTGCGATGATGTTTTAAGGCACTGTATCATATGTAAGGATTATTATCATGGCCTTACATATGGGAAAAAAAAAGAACTTTTATTCCTCCACCCTGACAGTAGCCGAGGTTCTATAGTAATAACTTAATGAATATAAGGTAGTTTTTGTGATTCAAACATACAAAAGAGCCTAAATAACGCAAAAAACATTGGCACAACAAGGACCCGGAAACAGCGATGAAGAAAATGTATCTGGAAGGTGTTAATAATAATAACGATCCTTGCATTTGGTACAATGCCCACAGTGTCAAGATTATCTGGAAGCACTTCAAGGAGTTTCTGTACATTCAAAGTCACAGCCAATTTGGTGCGTATCAACAACCCATCGGCCGCTGTGGAGTGAGTGACCGTTTTGGGGGATCTGTCAGCAGAGACTCCTATGTTTTTTCCGGTGGACTGTGGGTTCTTCATTAACATCCACGTAAACATCACCGTTACCTCGGTTTACCGTCTCACCCCCAGTGCGGCCCCTCTCGGCAATGCCCCCCTCCCCCTCCCAGGTTGGCGAGAGCCAAGGCTCTGGGGACCTCCCTCCACAGAGTGCCCCGTGAGGAGGCAACTGCTGCCGCCCAACCGGCTATAGCCGCGGCCTGGCCTGGGCCCCCCCCCCGGTACCCGCCCCCCCCCGGTACCCGCCCCCCCCCCCGGTACCTGCGCCCCCCCCCCCCCCGGTACCTCGCCTGCCTCAGGAGACTCTCAGCTGAGGCCGAAAACATCTCTCCGCCAACTCCTCAACTGCGGCTCTGCAATGGTGGGGGGAAGGGAGAGGCGGCGCACACAAGGCACTGCCCTGTACCGTCCCGCTTGGCGGTCCGGCTGGAACACCGCCTCCACAGAGATTGGTTCCGGGGACTTCCAGTGAATAGCCAAGTGACCTGGTCTGTCTGTCTGTGTCTGTCTGTCTGTCTGTCTGTCTCCCACCCCTCGAAGTTCCCTTTGGTTTAAAGTCTGGTCACGAATGTAAAATGGCTCTTTTTTTTAGAAAAAAAATCACCGGAGCTGCCAAATGTTTTCAACAAAAAAATAAGAAACCTGGATGCCAACAAATAGCGAGAGAACGCCCGGCAGCTGCGGCTTCGAGCCTGAGTTTCTTGATCAGCTACTTGATGGGCATTTGTTTTTGATGCGGTGGAAAGGACCCGGATCCTGAAACAGAGAGACCGCATCCATTGTACAATGACACAAATATGCTGGTGTGGTACAACCTGGGACTCCAGCGCAGTGCTGGGGTGTGTGCGTGCGAGCGTGCGAGCGGGGGGCAGGCGGTGGGGTATTGCATTGCTGGATGTGCCATTCTTCGGATGAGACATTAAACTGAGGTCCCGTCTGCCTGTTCGGGTGGATGTTTAAGATCTCATGGCGCTATTCGAAAAGAAAAGGGGGTTTCTCCTGGTGTCCCCTAATAAAATTGGCCATTCCTTTCATTGCTGTCTGTGGGACATTGCTGTGTGCAATTGTGCTGCCGTATCTGCCTACAAATGCAGTCACTTCATTCCTGTGAAGCGTTTCGAGACTCGTCTCCGAGTTGATAAGGCATTATACCAAATGCAAGGATTAATATTATTATTAAAACTTGAGAGGATATGAAGTTGGTCGGATACATTGAAGGGTTACTGTTGAGCTTTACTTATAACGAACGTTTCACCAGTCAACAGAAGGTCACGATCAGCAAACATTCTTCAGAGACTGCGCAGAGCAATGGTGCATTAGTCAGTTGTTTGGAACATGACACAAGCATGCATGCGACTGCCAGGATGATGGAAGGCGAACTGGAAGGACCTTGGTCTTCTTTCGCTAGCAATTCTTATGTTTAAACTCTCACTGTCCGGAGAAGACAAAGGGAAACAGCTGATGTATTCAGACTCTATTCGGTAAGTGGATTTCTGACCAAAACAAAATGTTTCCAGTGGGCTGTGTAGTCTGGCACCTAGCCTCATATCTGAGGGCGGATATTTGGCAGTACCCAGTTCCTGGTTGGAAATAAACATTAAGACGAAGTATGCTTTCAAAGAATGTACTGGATTGCAATGTGCTGAAATGTGGATGTTGGCCAGTGCAAGCCATTTTCACCTCCAGCGCAAAGAATTATCCGAAGGAACATAAACAAGAATCAAGCAGGTCTCCTATTACCTCAAAACATTTGTTTGTTTTCTTGAAGAACAGTCAGCAAACTTTTCAAAATCCTATTTGAAACACTGGTTTTAACATTCACTCAGTTTTCTGCCATTTTTTGTTTTGTCCCCAGATCCCTTTCATGACATCCTTGTACAGTGTTAACCAAAGCGGGTAAAATTCTTAGCAAAATCGTTAAATATTTACATTATATTTCAAAGTTGCATCAAAATATTTATTCAAACATTTGCAATTTGTTTATTCCCCCCCACCACCGTGAACCTTCTTACAAAACTGATTTAAATAGTACATCCATTTAAATGTACTAAATGGACATTAACAAACTGTGCGGAAAGTTGCTATTAACAGAATAGGTTAAAGCTTAAATCAAAGATAATAATTTGGTCATTTAATCCACAACGGTTTGTGGGACACCGCTGTGTGTAATTGGCTACTCGCTTCGCCCACAAAATATACAGTCAGTTCACTTTAGAGTATATTCTATGAAGCGCTTTAAAACATTATATCATATGTATGGATTATTATTAATATTTCAGGATCAGAAAGCAATGGTTAAGTTTATATCCTTGAACCTCTTTCTAGATCCAGACTAATGAAAGATCAATTAACCTATGGACACACCTTAACTCCTTCTCCACTTGGCAAGATATCTCCTTGGTACCTTAGAAAAAGATTCAAGAATCTGTACACTTTGGGTTCTGAGGGCAGTTGTTTCTTCCACTTTCCGTTCTGTTGAGGTGCTTGAAGTTCTTTTCCTTTCAAATGAGTAATGGTTCCTCTGGTACCTGATCTAAGTGATTATTATTCATGCGAGTATTGACTGTATTGGCAGGTTACATAGGCACTGCCAAATACCACCCAATATTCCACCCACTTACTTTCCAGCACAAATTTCTGTACAGCCATCAAGAATGGCAATTTTGACTGATTCTTCTCTTCCTAAAACAGGGTCATGGACAGCAACTGAGACGAGCAACAAGCCTGAAATTAACTAAATCAGCACAGACTACAATTATATGATCAGTAAATTGCTAGAAGACGCTTTGTTTTCCTAATAGTACAATCACATTGCATTGTACCATTCATAAATCCAGCAACCTTACAGTAACCTGTGGTGGAGCTTCATAACCTTTACTCTGACTCTTTTTCTGTAGACGTGAAGTATTTATGAATTGTAATAGTTTTCAATTGTTAGTTCACTTACACCGTAGCGATCCATTCAAAAAAGGTGTGTGTCACAAGTGGCAGGAGACCAGAGGGAGGAAATTAAACCACAGAACAAGCAGGTAGAGATTTCTCTTTAATATATATTTTAATTGTCAATAAAAACCTATGCTGCAGGGTTCCCCACGGCACCTCCTCTGCAGCTCAGGCAGCTTTTTTCTCTCTCTCATGATGAAGATACCATGAACAGAAACAGGAAACAAACAAAAAAAAGGAAACAAAAAAACAATTTTGCTTTTTTTAAAAAAAAACGTTCTTCCTTAAGTCTCGTCGCCTTCCCTCCATTTGCATCATAATCACATTCAAGTTGCTATAAACCGGTACGGCTCTTCCTTGTGTTTTAGCCCAATTTAACAAACATCCAGAATAAAATGCAAATATATCCTCGGAAACAGAGTTCTCAGTTTTACTCAAGTTCATCAATTCTTTTACATACTGAATTCAAACTTGATTTCATTGTTGGTGAGTAAGTGCCAAACCGACACAGCGGTGGGGTTAGGGATGGGGGGAAAAGAAGTGACATAACCAGTAGTGTCTGCCCTGTGCGAACTATCTCGCTACACAGTGGCTGCTCTTTGTTCATTATTAATGCTGGTCGTTGAGTGTATTTCCATACTCCCCGCTTCTTTAGGGGAGCCAAGAAAACAGCAGTGATGTCAAATTTCTACCAATGTCAAATTTCCTCACACAAAAAAACATGACGGTAAAGTTCAAACATTCGGACCATACATTACAATGTGAATATTTCAGTAATCCTACACACAAGCCCTAGGTGCTTCCTCAATGAGACCTGTATGGGAAAGGGAAGCAGTGTTTGATGCAGTGATCCTTTAGACTTGCCTGACAGAAGAGAGAACACTCTGTTTTTCAATGCTTTTCATGAGCTAGGAACAAAGCTCAGGTTAAACCCAATTAGACCAATATAGTAGCTTAATCCCAATGATTTAACAAACCCAGTTACAGCTCAGTTGATTTCTCCAAAGCAAGAAAAGCAAAACATGTAATGTTTCCTTGCAAATTGTCATTCCTATCATTATAAACTCTGGGATATTACCAAAAAATAAAACTCATGCCATGTACTCAACCCCAAATCAAGGGCAAAATTAAGCTTTAAAAAGTCCAGAGTATAAAATTCATGAGTGTTTTACACTGGTAAGTAAGTATTCCATAGAAAGTTTTTCCATAGACTTAACCAGTGATCACAGTACCATACAGGCTACACACAAGATTCGCTTCTGTGGCTTTTAAATGACATAGATTACTGCATTGCATGTATAAGTTAATTCTGTACAATTACCAGGGCTGGTGTTCGATGAAGACTTTGATCAACGGTATTCTGAATGTTTTGTAGCCTAGTGAGGCTTAAAAATGTACTTTTATGTCCATTCCTATTCTTTCTTAAAACACACATTATACAAAGATGAGCTCACAAGAAAAAGTTAAATGACAATGTCCTACCTGCTGCTATTAAGTTATTTTAACGTTTGCCTTTAGTTAATAACCTGACAACAGCTGTAATCAAAACAGCTTCAGTCTCATCAGCTGGGGGGGGGGGGGGCAAGTGAGGGGGAGGAGAAGGCGGGTGGTGGAGAGAGAGAGAGGGAGGGGGGGGAGGGGGCAGGAGGGAGTGGGGTAGTGAGGGAATATCCTATTCAGACTTAGACAATTTGGGAAATTTATTTTCCAAAAAGGAGTTGGTTGCTTCTTCATTAAAAAGATGCATTTCAGTCCAAAATTTGTCAAAACAAGGGAGGAGGAAGGTACGGAGGACAAGAGAAAGTGCCACAGACAATACAAATGGAGGCCAAAGTACCTGAAGAATAATTGCATTTGGTCACCTAAATAATCAATCAAAAGGTTTTTGGGTACAACATGGAGCTGCCATCTTGCATGCTTTGATTTTGTTGTACACACACACACACAGCTTTAAGAATCTGTAGTAAGCAGTCTAACATTTTATTCAAACTTCCTCAACTCAGCTCATTAACAAAACTATTCACTATGATTGTGTGCCGACTCAAAAGAGCTTTTTTCATAGACAAGGAACTTTAAGGATGATTTGCTGTAAAGTAGCTCAATGTTATGCGGGATGTGAGGGGGGAGGAGAAATGAGCCACCGTTTTATCTATGTCACTCATATGTAGTGCCAGAAAAACAAACGGAAGGTACAATCTAGTCTTGTGGAGTCCTGTAGCTCATGGTTAGAGCGCTCGCCTAGCAAGCGAGAGGATCTGGGTTCAATTCTCATCAGGGTAAAACATTGGGCAAGTTTCCTTACTCTACACACCTCTGTTTACCTAGCAGTAAGTAAGAACCTGGTTGTTAGTCGATTGGCGGATCACTTTTCCAGGGATAATAATCCCTACAAAAAAAATAATAATTTGGTCATTCAATCCACAACTGTTTGTGGGACACTGCTGTGCGGCTGCTGCTTTTCGCCGATAAAATATACAGTTAATTCACTTTACTGTG